TCGCTTGATCTTGATCAGCAGTGACATCCCATCGCCTGCTGCGTGGGATGGCATTTGCTTATTCTCATTGCTGCCGGTGATGAATAAGACAGGGCCCCACAACTTGGACCCCCCCCCCCCCCCCCCCCCAGGTTCCTTCGATCAGAGGCTGACTTATTTTCTTGCGCGTACAGTCTGGACTGGTTCTGGGCCTCCTACGCGGCTCTGCAGGCTCTCGGACCAGACACCAACGAGGCCGCACTAGGAATCTGCCGCCAGTTGAACGACTCTTTCATCGACCACGGCAAGATGCACTGCCCTTTTGCGAGAATCTTGAAAGGCATGATCGCGGTCACCCCCGAGGGGATGCAAGATTCCACGGCGATCACAACGTTTGATATCACGTACGAGGACCAGAGCTACAAGGTGCCTATATTTACCAGGTGGTTCAAGCGAGAACCGGTGGCATGTCGGGGATGCCACCATGCTTACCGAGACATTGCGTATGGGTCGGCAGAGGATTGGATCGAAAGCTGTGGAGGCTTTGCGAGCGGCTGGCAGTGGGAAATCCTGCACTTCCCTGCATTCCTGTCCCTCCAATGCACCAGAGGGAAGGACGGCGATGAGAACGCCTTTACGACCGAGTGTTCAAGACTTTTGTGCAACAGGTGTTGTGCAATGCATATTAGGTGCCAAGTTAATCAGTTTGGGCCCCTCTATTGCGATTATCTACGCTGCCCGGGCTGCCCTCGGCCGCTGGACTATTACGAGGTTCGCCTTCTCACTAACCGGGAGACGTTTAACAAGTAAGTTTCCCCCGAAGACCAAGTTAGATGGGCCACAGGAGCTCGGGCTAACTAGCCACTAGGTATGACCGCCATCTATTATTGAATGAGCTTCACAGGAATCCGGAATTTCGCTGGTGTCTAGGTGGGGGGTGTTCGGACGGCGCTTTCTTTGACGTCCGCGGGCAGCAGGAAGCAAGAATACATTGCCCGACATGCCAATCCGCAATGTGTTTCTACCACCAAACTCCATGGCACCATGGCATGAGCTGTGAGGCATACGACAAGCGGTTCGATGGAAGTTCACGCCAGTCCGAAGCCCTCATACGCTCCACCACCAAGCCCTGCCCTCGGTGCAGCGCCCCGATCGAAAAAGCGGAGGGTTGCTTCCACATGATTTGTGAGTCGGGACTGAGTGGTGGTCTCTGGGTGGCTGTCGCGCATTTCTTTGCTGACAAGGCGTTGCCTACATAGGTGTGCAATGCAATTTTGGATTTTGCTGGGAGTGCCTTGCAGACTGGGACCTCGTCCGTACAGAGACTGGCCACAACAGCGGTTGCTGGTTTGCGACGACGGGCGAGGATCCTGAGCAGGTCTTTGGGAACGACCCGGCGCGCGCTCGTACGGTGTGGGGCCCGAGGTTGTTGTAAGCGGGACAGATACGAGCAGAGGCACACCTCGAGAGGAGGGCTCGATTGGGGCAGCTGCCCAAACGCTGCATACATGGCAGCCAGCGTTGAATTCAAGCCCTCTGCTGGGAAATTTTGTATGCAGATTTTAGATATCAGCGGATTAGCTCTTTTGTGAAATGAATATCGCCTGACGAAGCAATAGAGATTGAGCGGTGCGGTCCTCTTTACGTGATCTCGCGATCTCGGGAATGATCTCTCGGGTTGGAGATGGAGGTTGAGGGGGCACCTGGAAGCAGAGTCTTCGCATTCAGACTTTTGTCCCGGATTCATTTGGCTAGCGGTGTCACTGGCTACACAGCGCACCATCTTGTGATGTTGTTAAGCTTTGGAGTATCTCATCTGTTCATGCTCTACGCATCTGATTGAATCTAGGTCGCGAGAGCGTTGACCAGGTTGTTCGGCAAGACGGTCTTGGTTTCTTGATACTGGTCGTCCGTCCTCTGCCTCAATGTCAACCAGACTCTGTTGATAGAAAAGGAATCCCTTTCTTCACCTTTGTACAAGTCAGGAACACGTCGAAGAGAATTGATAGCGATCTAGCCTCGAGTTGAGACAATTTCTATAACTCTATGCGGTGTGATTCATCGTCAGCATTATGGGCCGTGGGTTGGAAGTCTCGCCGGGATTACCGGTGGGGCCGGTGCTAAGGACCGTTTTTGACAGGATCGGGCATGTCGGGCGACCCCGCACTCGGCCGATGACACCGGAGCCAACGAATAAGAGGGGGACAAGCTGCAACGTGAGAACCTGCCCATCCGGACGACCCATGTCGAAAGCTGGAGCTGCAACCAAGGTGTCGGTGCTTGGGAGCAACCACTTGCCACCTTCCATGCAGAGAAGTCCAATCCTACAAGGCCCGGAACAACGTGCGCTGTGCCGCGGGCTATGCGAACCGGCCGACATCCTAAGATCGGCCTAGATGTACTACATAAGAAGGCAATGGTAGCCTCCGAATGCGTTACTCCCACCCCAGGGTTTGAAGTCACTGGCAAAGCTTCCCCCCATTCTTGACACACTACGCTCAATTGTCCACGATGAAGCTTAGCTGGCTTGCCGTGGCGGCGGCGCCTGTCGTTGCCGCCGTCAACATGACGATTACACAGAAGAATGCCACCATCGCGCCCAGCCCACTGCCGCCGCCGGGCTCCTCATCGCAGGGCGAGGAGATCGTCCGCCAGTTCAGCAAGATCGACCGCACAACCAAATGGAAGCTGGTCGAAGAGGTGCCCTTCGAGGGCGACCTCTTCGAGCCCGAAGGGATTGTACGCATGGGCGACAACCGCTACTTTGTCTCCGCCGGCGAATATACCGTGAGAACTCAGAAGTACAACCAGACCACCAACGGCACGGACAGGACTACCGGCGAAGGGTTCGGACACATGATTGTGTTTGACGGCAAGGGACGCCGCATTGCCGATGCCACCATCTCGCGGCCGGGCTCGTCCGAGGTAAGCCTTAGCTTTGTCGCCGATATCGCACGTAGACACACATGGGAGACTATTGTCTGCTCTTCACTCACACACGCACACACAGTATCACAACGGCGGCATCGACTACGATGGAACCTACCTCTGGGCCACTCTCTCCCAGTACCGGCCCAACTCAACGGCGACGCTCGTGCGCATGGACCCGGCGACCCTGGAGCCGGAGGAGGTGCTGCGCGTGCACGACCACCAAGGCGGCGCCGTGCACGACTGGTCCAGCGGCGTGGTGCTGACGCTCAACTGGGGCTCGCGCGAGGCCTCGCTCTGGGACCTCGGGGCGCGGTTCCCCGGGCCGCCGGCGTTCGCGGCCGCGCCCCGGGCCCGGGTGCGCAACCCGAGCCACTACACCGACTACCAGGACTGCAAGTACCTGGGCCACTCGCAGCGGTACGGCTTCCGCCCCGTGATGCTCTGCGGCGGCATCACGGGCATCTACGACACGACGATCGGCGGGCTCGCCGTGGTGGACATGCTGACCATGGCGCCGCTGATGGAGGTGCCGCTGACCCTGACGTCGGCGCAGGGCAACCTGGTGACCAAGAACCCCGTCGACGTGGCCGTCGTCGGGGGCAGGCTGCGCTTCTTCTTCCTGCCCGACGAGCACAACTCGGCGCTGTACGTGTATGAGCCGGTCATCTAGAAAGGCGAGGGCGAGAGGAAGTGGGCTGATGGAGGGGTTTGTGAGCCTCGTCGGGTACTGTCTCTGCAGGAATTGGGCTGGCTCTGATACTGCCTAGGCCTGCATTTTGAGACAACCTTTGTTCCCTTGGACAGAGGTCTGTAAATGCGCATTATTGTAACAGGCCGCCGGTGGAGACCTTTGGCTACACGCAGTCAGAGCTGTCACGTAAAGCCGTTGCTATTGACATAACCCAGCAGGGCTTTGTCGTATGATATCATCAATATCTGTCAAGCTCTTGTTTCATGAGGCCATGCATGGAACAGGTTTTTGGTTGGAGAGCATTGGCAATCCGCGGTAGATGGACGCACGGACCAACCAACCCCCTCCTTCTGGTCAACTGAGGCTTACCGTTTTTTTGAGACCAGAGCGTTTGAATGAGTAACTACTTGTACCTAGCACCCGGACCCCGCCCGAACCGTCACTGCCCACTGCCCACTCAAGACCAGCCACACCCAGCCAGAGAGGCCTGTACAAGTAGAGAATCGTCATCAACATTGCCCGGCACCCTGCTGCAAGTACCGTAGCTGGCTTGGTCACGCGAGACTGAGACTGTATGTGCGTGATCTTTGCTGTCGAGATACCTTCTTGGTACTGAAGAAGTTCAATTGAGCTCGAGCTCCCACGTAGTACGGGCTTGTCATCCACCATCGAGAAAAGAGAAAGCCCTGCCGCAGCGTTTTCGCTGGACATGCTTCGTTGTTGGACAGCCAGGCCCAAGCCTCGCTCGCAAAATACGCCCTGCGTCACCGCAAGAAGCGGCCTTCTCCAGACCGGACAGGGGTGGCCGGTGCCCCACCATTTAGCACTTCCATCCGCCATCGAAGCTTCTACAACATCTCAGAGCCCACCAAAGGTTTCCCACGTCTCCCCACTACTAGCCTCTACTAAACACACCCTCTCTCTAACTCTTCTCTTTCATCCTCACCTTTCAATTCAACCTCAGTGTGAATCTGCCTTTCGCAAGAGAGCTCCCACTTGAGCATACCTCACCAACACACCCGAAACAGCAAACTGCTCCTTTTGCTTTCCTTTGAACACTATTTTCCATCAAGGGTAGTACAACGGGACACACAAAGATCATTGGCCGTATATTCCAAGACCTTGGAACGAACAACCGACCGGCGATAGCGTCATTATCCAGTAGCAGCTATCAGACCACCGCCAACACTACTCAAACACCACCAACATGGTCAAGGAGACCAAGCTCTACGACCAACTAGGCGTCAAGCCAGACGCTACACAAGATGAGATCAAGAAGGGTTATCGGTAGGTCGCTCTACCCCTCTCTGTCTTCATTATCCCCAAAAGACATGCGTGATTGCTAACCACCCCTTCCGTCCAACAGGAAAATGGCCTTGAAATGGCATCCCGACAAGAACAAGGACAATCCCGAGGCCGCGGAGAAGTTCAAGGAGTGCTCACAAGCCTACGAGATTCTCTCTGACCCCGAAAAACGCAAAACGTACGACTCCTTCGGTCTCGAATTCCTTCTCCGCGGCGGCGCTCCCCCCGATGCCGACGGTGCCAACCCCTTTGCTGCTGGCGGCATGCCAGGCGGCTTCCAGAACTTCAACTTTGGCGGCATGCCTGCCGGCGGCGGTGGCGGCACGCGCACATTCCACTTCAGCACTGGCGGTGGCGGCCCCGGAGGATTTAGCTTCAGCAACCCGGAGAACATCTTCTCGGAGTTCATGCGATCCAATGGCTCCGGTGCTATGGGTGGCGACGACCTCGACGGCATCTTCTCCGCCTTTGGCGGCGCCCGCGGCGCTTCGGGCGGCGGCACTCGGCGGATGCGCACCTCGTTCGGCGACGAGCCCATGGGCCGCAGCGCGAGGGCGCACACCCCCGAGGTCACGACGGTGGAGCGGCCGCTGCCCATCTCTCTCGAGGAGATGTTCAATGGCACCACCAAGAAGATGAAGATTAAGAGAAAGATGTTCGACGAGACCGGCAAGCGGACCACCACCGACACCGTGCTCGAGGTGCCTATCAAGCCCGGCCTGAAGAAGGGCAGCAAGATCCGGTTCAAGGGCGTCGGAGACCAGGAGGAAGGCGGACAGCAAGACTTGGTCTTCATCGTCGAAGAGGTAAGCGATTCAATCCCCCTGATGGAACTATCCGCAGCATATGATACTGACTATGAGGCTATAGAAAAAGCACCCACTCTACACTCGAGACGGTGACGACATCGTCTTCCCTCTGGAGCTCACCCTCAAGGAAGCTCTGACGGGTTGGAAGCGAACGGTCACAACCATGGACGGCAAGCAACTGAACCTCGACAAAGCCGGCCCGACCCCGCCGGGTGGTACCGAGGTCTACCCTGGTCTTGGCATGCCCATCTCCAAGAAGCCCGGCCAGAGAGGCAACTTCGTGGTCAAGTACAACGTCAAATTCCCGACTAGCCTGACAGCCGCTCAGAAGCAGAAGCTACGCGAGATCCTATAAGCGCCAGCAGACACCCATCTCAGGTGCCGTTGGGGCGGTCACGACACGACACGACTATGGAGGACGTTTTCTGTTTTTGAGCAGAGCTAAATCGAAAGAAAAGACCAAGGCATTTGGCATACTACGAAGTTTTATTTATTTTCATCTTTTACCTATGTCACTCAAACGGAGGGCTGTGGAGCATGGCGGCATTCGGTTCACGATCATGAAAGGGGACCTAACGGAGTTCAGGATTTGCTTTTGTTATATATATGCTTCCTCCAACTAGCTGGGAGATTTCCATCATCATGAGGGGAGCAACACCTCCCTTCTCGCTATAGGAGCCCGGTGGCTTGGTTTCTGAAACCCGGTTGGACTCTACTCGATAGATTAATACCATGGAAAACTTCCAATCTGACATTCCCAATGCATGTACTACTTTTTGATTGATGTATATAGATAGACACCTTGTAGCTGCTTAGAGCAACATGTATATTATATACCGGACATCCCGATCCTAAAAGTGTTGGTCGAGCCACTCGTCTATGCAGGACACTTTGCGGAGAGGAAAGACCTCTCTCCTTAAAACACCATGAACGCCTACGAAGCCGAATTATGCACTTGTCCTTTCTCCCGAACATTTTCCTCCCTCCGCGGATGCGATACAAGGACCAAAAAACCCTCTCACTCTGCCATGATGACATCGACATCCCCGCTGCCCGCCGCAGGACCTCCCAGGGCCGGGGCCAGCGCGTCCATCTCCTGCAGCGTGTACTCGACGAGGTAGCTCTCGTCGACGAGCTCCTCCATGCGCTTGTAGTGCCGCTCCGTGTAGGCCCTGAGCGCCGACAGCACCTCGCCCACGCTGCGCTGCTGGCCCTGGCCGTGGCCGCCGCCTTTAGCCGGCCTCAGGCTCGAGAGCTTGGAGGCCGGGTAGCTGCGCACGAGGGCCCAGAGGACGCGCTGGGCGACGGGCGCGGTGCGGGCGTTGGTGTTCCAGTCGCGCAGGCGCAGGAGCAGCAGGAAGAGCTGGTCGTCCGACAGGGAGCGCAGGACGTCGTCGACGGCGCGCAGGCCGCAGAGGCTGCCCGGCTCCGGGCCCCGGGGCGAGGTGACGACTGCGGTGAAGAGCGAGAGCAGGCGGCCCGGGTGGTTGAGCTGGAGGGCGAGGGTGATGGCCTCGCGGTAGGAGCCCGCGCGCATGTGGTTCTCGAGCTCCTGCTCCTGCTCGATGAGGCGCAGCGCCGCCTCGGACGCGGCCTGCTGCGTGGCCGACGACGTGTCGCGCCAGAAGGAGACGGTCGAGTCGCCGCTGCCCGAGACGATGGTGTTGTCGCGCGGGTGCACGGCCACGGCCCAGACGCGGTCCTCGTGGTTGTCGAGCGTGCACTCCGTCTCGCCCGAGCTGGCGTCCCAGACCTTGACGAGGCCGTCGCCGCCGGCGCTCACAAACTGGACGTGCCGCTGCTTGTCGGCCTCGCCGGGCAGGTTGAGCCAGGCGACCTTCAGGACGCTGTTGGAATGGCCTTCAAAGGTGCGCAGGCACGTGTAGTCGTGCAGGCTCCAGAGCTTGACGGTCTTGTCACCGCTGCCGGTGAGTACGACGCCCTTGCCGGCGACGGGGCCCTCTTCGCCCTGGATGACCGGCGTGCTGGGGTGGGCGAATCGGACGGACCAGACACCTCTGCGGTGGCCCTTGAGAATGCCTTGGACTTCACCTTCTTGTACAGACCAGATCTTGACGGTGCGATCCTGCGACGCGGAGGCGAAAAGCTGGCCGGTCAGGTTGATGTCGATGGCATTGATGTCCTTTTCGTGGGCTTTGCGCGTGAAAACCGCTCTGGAGCCCTTCTTGGACGTCTGTGCTTGTCGAGGGATCTCCCATCTCTTGATAGTCTGATCTTGAGAGCCGGTAATCAGGAATGGAGGCGGGTTGTTGAGCGGGTCGCTGAAAGTTGGCGAGGACTCGGCCGGGACAGTCTTTGGCAGAGCAACAGCACCCAACGACTCGGCATGACCCGCGAATACGGCATAGCAGCTGAAGGCGTTGTTGGCCGGATCAACCCGCCAAAGCCGTGCAGTGTTGTCTTTAGCCCCGGTAGCCACCCAGTGTCCTGACCAATCCACGTCCAGTGAGATGACAATGTCGTCGTGACCCTTGAGAAGCGCGACATCCTGTCCGAAGTAAACAGACTCCGTTTCGAGACTATTTGAGGTTGAGTCTCGTGCAGAGACAATCCGGACATCTTCCGAGTTCGTCGCAAGAGCTAACAATGACTGATCGGGAAGGAGATAGGCAAGGTCTATGATGTCGTCGTGGGTCCCTGAGATGCGCCGTAGTGGCTCGAGAGGTGCAAGATCGGAAAGGGCCGATTTGTTATCCACAACCGGGAGGTGGTATAGGGCCAGGGTATGATCCAGCTGAACTGAAACGAGAAGAGACTGTTCGGCACAGTATACTGCGCTAACAACCGCCTCACCCTCGGCCTTGGGGCTCTGTTCTTTGGTGACCTCGCGCCCCGTAGAGCTCTCCCATAACCTGATGCAGCCATTGGACCCTGCAGTATATGTCAAGCGACCATCACCCACAAACCCGGCAGCTTCAACCATCTCAAAGCTTGGAACAACCTTCCGGCTCTTCCATGACCGGGAGTCCCACCAAATCAAAGTCTTGTCACGGCTGGCAGTTACTAAGGAGTGCTGTGTCGGAGAGTAATCGATCGCTTGTACGTCTGAGGTGTGTGATTCGAGGTCTGCGACCACGCTTCGCTTGTGCAGGTCCCACACGCGGACCTTTCCATCTTGACTCCCCGAGGCGAGCCGGAAGTTCACGGTCGCAGGGTCTCCATCTTGACCCTCATTCTCCTCAGCCTTTCGCCCCTTCTTCTTCTTGCCACGGCTTGACTCGTCGGCGATGTCCCCAGCGGCAACCTCGAAGAATCGTAACGCGGATACCAGGACACTAGGGCCACGAAATGTGTGCGTGACATAGCCACCGGTTATGTCCCAGACTTTGATGTTGCCGTCTGCAGCGCCGGTCGCCAGTAATGTACTCGTGCGGTCTACGGCGAGGACTACCGCGGGCGTTGCGTGGGGCTTGAGTGTTCGCAAAAGGGTGGCCTCAATTGATTCCGAGTCTTCAGAGGCTTTGAGAGAGTATATCCGCATTGACAAGGATCTCGAGCAGACGACGAGGTGTGATGCGGAGGGCGTAACTAGGGGATCGTTAGTTGGCTCATAGATGTTGAGAGAGACAAGGAACCTACGGATCAAAGTAGAGATTGGCTCGCCATCCTGTAAAGGCACCGTTAGCTAAAATACATCATGTAATGCGTCTTTGCGATTGAGCATACACCCTCGATTTTGGCAAGTTGTTTCCCATTGGTGAGGTCTGTCAGAACAGCATCCTCGCCAAGTGTCGTCGCTAGGACTCGTGCGCCATTGTCGAGCGCAACAGAGCCTCCAGTGAAGATCGGCTGTATCACATTCTCAACCTCAAAGGTGGTCTTATATGGCAGCTTGGTGGCCATGTTCGCGGCTAAAAAAGTCGAATGTGATGTGCCCCGCGGCCTGTTTCCTGGCGAATTCTGGAGGGGAGGAGCTTCAGAAATCTCGAAATTTTTTTGACAATCCCAGGCGATAAGATTAAGGTTATCTTAGCGCCGTGTCGCATCGCTAGCAACCAAACTACCTCCTCCACAAGTCTCGCCAGCTCACACTCACCTCACTGAGCCTGACCTTTCTTCATAGATACTTGCTCTTCACATTCTGTTTCCATCTCTTACGAACCAGCAACAATTCTAGGGGCTCGGCACAACATCTCGAAACGGAGGCCTTGACATTTAGCCACGCCATCTCTGTCAATAGAATGCTTCGCTGGTCGAGCACTTTATCATGGGGAAGCTAGGCCCACTGACGTCCCAGGCACTCGTAAGTGTGAACCTTGAAATCCATGAAGGCAGACCGGATTTCTTTTATGTCCTCACTCTGACTCTTCATAACCCCCATTCAGGGCCGCTCTCCATACGATGACGTTGTTCAAGGAGAGGGCGAAGGCGACCTGAGGGCGCCGCTACAGATGTACGATGAGCGCGGGCGTCCAGTGAACCCTGAGACGAGGCGAATTAATAGAGACGTCATACGCTCCCACAACGAGGTGATGCAGGTTATCGGAGTTGCTGAGCCCGACAATGAAGTTCCCGACCCTCAAATAGAGGTGCGCTTTAGGCAGCAGGAAGACGAGGACCGGATAGGCCAGAGACTTCTCAATGTCGGCCGCATTCTGGAAATTGGGGGTGTTTGGGGCGTCAATGGCATCCGACAGAGAATTCTGGTAAAAGATGCAATCTCTCGCGTATTTGGCTGTTGTTCTAATTTGTGCCCCCAGATCTATCGAAGATATTCCGCGATCCCCTTCTATGACCTCTACCGGCACGAGCGAACCAACGAGTCCTTGGGCAGCGTGTTCTTCGCCGGCTTCCCTGCCTTTGTGGCCAGCCATGCCCTCAAGCAAGTGGCGTTCACTCACCAAGCAGTGCGGCACAATACTTGGTACAAAGTCTAGTTAGAACATTTGCATGGAGACTTGCTGACGTTCCTAGGGCTCAATTTATCCTCTACTATGCCCGGTTGCATCTGCAACTCTATGTCTTCCTGCAGCGCATGGGTATCACCAATTCCATGGCGCCACTGCCTGGTCTGAGATATTTCATTCCATTCACAAGCTCCTCTCCCATCCCACCCCCTCCTCCATTGACTTCCTTCTCATTTCGGGGAATTATCAAATATCTTGGGGGCGTGGCACTCAGTGTAGCGCCAGTTGCGTGCTACATACTCTATACCAAGTTGCGGACTGTTGTAGCTCGCAATGTCTGGCTATATATCTATTCGAACGTCCCGAAACCTGCGAACCGCAGAGCGCTTCCTTCAAGAACGGGACAGTCCAACTGGGCGTCACAGAACCAGCTTCCTCCTCCTCCGCCGCCACCGCCTCCGCCACCTCCGGGGGCATCATTTGCGACTGCCTCTCCCGAAAGTGGCTCGATGTTTGTCGAAGGCGAACCTAGGAATGGCCATGACATATCTCGAGATGAGCCCACTATTCGTGCTTTGGAGGGACAGCCGCCTCCAGACCATGCACAGCTCGGCGCTATACGCAGGCAAAGCACCTTCTCCAGTAGAGGGGATGAATATGCTAGTGACGAAGAGGAGACCGAGATCGTCAACGCTACTCTGATTAGTTTCGATGTGGAAGCAACAGACGCAAGTGATACTCCTCCTGGCGTCTGGTCAGCTGAACTTCGTCCCAATGTGGCGGGCGATCCAAGAAGTCAATCGGCAGAGGAGCCCGTCTATGAAGACAATGCTCTGACAAGGCTACCGTCAGTAATCGCCACTGATGTCCTGACAGTCGCCTGTTCCTACCTCATAGTCGCGCCGTACGAGGCGTTTGCTCTGAGGTTGTTTGCACGCAGTGCCCGTCACCAACAAGGGCTCTCGGTGTCTGACATATACGACCCGAACCCTTGGGCGACCATGTCTCTCACGGCCATGACCAACTTCCTCGGGGTGGAGATAGTGCACCTAATGATTGAGTCGGAGCTGTGGGGGGTTATGACACTTCTTTCAGAGCTCTATCGTGGATGTAACCCCGACTGGGGTTTCTTCCGCGTGTTGCAGGAAAACTTCTGGGAGGACGACGAGCCCGAAGAAGGCACCGGGTGAGGCTTGACACGGAATGTCTTTCAGGGACAGTGGCACTGCATGGCGACTTGATGAAGGGGGACTTCTTTACCAGCAAAATATTACAACTTGCTAGCGAGTATCGCTCAAGAATCATACAAAGCATGCAAACAACATATGGAGATGAAACTCCAGAACGCCAGAGCCTGTTCCCTTGCCCTTCCATGGTATCATCTCCGCCTTCAAGCTCTTCCCTTGCCCTTCGTGACCTTTGCAGCCTTTTGCTCATCAACGAACTCTTTGATGATGCCGTGAAGATCCTGATTCCTGCGAGCTAGCAGGAGTACGTCATCAGTTGTGACTGTGGTTCTGCCAGCATGCTTGCTGAAACTCTCCAAGTCAATCGCCACGTTTTCTTCAGGCTCGGATGGGCATGTTAACGATTGAGTCTAATGATGACGATGTTAAGGGCACAGGACTGACCAATCTGCGCCCAGACCATCTCGGTGAGGGCGCCGATGAACTGGGGAGTTGCATTCCTGTTGCGCCTCATCGACTCCTCATCGACCATCTTGCCTATGGCGAACCAGAGCGCGGCCTTGAGGCGCTACATGGGCAACGAATCAGAACCTGGAATCCGCTGATGCGAAATGGGGGATTCGACTGACCTCCTGGATGTCTTCGTTCTCATCTTCCGCCATCTTTCCCTATTGAACTCGGTGGGGACTTGTGTACTATCCTGTTGTGATAAGACTCCAGCTCAACAACCATCCGGGAGGCTGCATCGGGTCCGACAGGTCTAGCCGCGATAACTACCTAGTAGTGGAGGCGCGTCACAGCGCGTCCCAAAAAAAAAGATGACTGGCTCTCTGGATGTCCGGTCAAGCCGCTGCACAGAGTGGTGGGGCCGGCACTTTCAGCCGGGTGTCGGTGGATTCGGAGGGCACTGATTGGCCTGTAACAGGGCCAGTTTTTGCGATTACTGACCGTGACCTTCTAGAAGACCTGCAAGGAAACTCCGGGACAGGACAGAAAATTGTCTCAAAATGCGACTAAGGGAATTAATTGGGGGCACCCTGTTTTTCAACTTTGGCATGAATAAGAGCGCAGAATACCCTTTCTCTCTCGCCAGCGCTTTCTTTCTGCTTTCCCAAGGTTCTACTGCTAGTCAACCAGGCAATTGATTTGCCCTTTCCCCCCTTGCGAGTGCATACACGGCAGGTAATAGCAGAGCAGAAACCTGCGCGTAACCGTCGCAAAGTCGCAGAAGGACAAGGCAGGGTTTCTCCAACACACTTCCCCCCACCACCTATCCTACCTACTTGGACCTCTCTGTCCTCTTATATCATCTCTCCCAGCACACACACGCACGCCAAGAAGAGAGAAAGCCAAATACAACAAGAACAACAACCCCCCGCGTACCACTCCCCACCCGCGCGACAAACATGGACGGCATCAGGAACCTCGCCTCGACGGTGTCGAGCCGCTTCACCAACAACGTCACCGCCTCCTTCTCGGCCCTGACCCTGCAGCAGTGGATCCGCCTCGTCGCCATCGTGGGCGCCTACCTGCTCCTGCGGCCCTACATCCTCAAGCTCGGCGCCCGGTTCCAGATGAAGCAGCTCGAGAAGGAGGGCGAGGAGTCGGAGCGCGAGGCCGCGCGCCTCGCCGCCCTGACGCCCAACGAGCTGCGCGGCCAGAACAAGAAGCTCGTCCTGCCCGACGAGAGCGACAGCGAGGGCGACGAGGCCGAGGGCGCCGGCGCCGGCTCCTCGGCGACCGACTGGGGCAAGAAGGCGCGCAGGCGGCAGAGGCACATGGTCAAGAAGATGCTCGAGGCGCACGAGAAGAAGCTGGCCGAGGAGCAGGCGGACGAGGAGGACAAGGATATCCAGGAGTTCCTGGTGGATTAAATGACAAGGTCGCATTCCCGGGTGTTACTAGGCTGTTCTTCATCACGAAAAGGCTTCCTTCCCATGGTTTTGGAAATAAACAGGCGTTCGCGGATTCAAAGAGGGGGCCATTCTGCTACGACACGGCCGAGCTGTACGAATAGCAGCTTCAATACAGCGAATTCAAAGTCCAAAGTGTTGTCCTTCTTTCATACTGGCAAGCCATGCTCGGCGCCCGTGTGTATTCAGAAACATGGAATGTTCATATAATACGTAAAATCTACAGTACGCAACGAGTCTATGTACAAACACTTTCTTTACATCTACAGAACTTACAGAGGCGGCAAGCCCTCTCTACATATCGGGCACTGCAGCCTGAACCGCAACCACCCCTCCAGGCAAGCGCTGTGGAAGATGTGCCGGCACGGAGTGACCATGTACTGCCTCCTAGCAAGCACGCCAGCCACGCCCCCACCGGCGGGGTCCTCTTCGCCTGCACGGACGACAGGCACTTCGAGGATCTCGCAACAGATGGCGCAGTCAATGGTTCTGGTATGCGGGCGTCTCTTGTCCTTTCCTGATCCTTCGCCCTCGCTCTTGGAACGGACCCGCTCCAGCACCGGAGAGCCGGGCAACGACGTAGACACGAGGCCGATGGGCAGGCCACCAGCCTCGACATTATCTTCCCTGAGAACAGGATGGTAATCCCAAGCCTCGGGCAGCCAGCCCTTGGGCAGACCATATCTCGGGCCAAGGGCGTCTTGGAAAGCAAGGACCCAGAGCTGGATCCACAGCCAGCCCGCCAGTACCGCGAAAGAGCGCCAGTCGGGCAAGGCGAATATGATGTTGTCCCTTCGCAGGTAAAAGTACGCAAAGGGCAAGGCTCTGAGGATGCTCTGGCCGATCATGAAGCGCCAGGAGAAAGCGCGGCGGCTGTTCCGCTGGACGTTGCGGATGATCTGCGGAACCCAGAGGGAGAAATAGATGAAGGCGATGGTGTTGGAATAGGCGGAACGCACAGAAGCCCACCAGGTCGTAGCGGCGAGGGAGAGGAAGAACAAGAAGATCCCTAGAAGCACGAAGCGGCCCGCTATCGTAGAGAAGGGCGTTATGGGATCGGTTCTGGCAGTGGTGGCCGTCGCTGCGGCTGTGATTGTAGCAGTGGCTGCAGGCGTAGGGACGGCGGCGGCACCTGCAGCCGTGTTTTCCGCTATCTCCGCGTCAATGTCCTGGTCCGACGGGACAATGATGGGCGTGGCAGACACATCCCGGACTGGCGGAGCTGTGACGGGCCGTGGAAGAGAATCGCTGGTCACAGGTGGGTTAGGCGGCGGTGTTGGCTGAGCGGATGCAGCTGCGGTCGCAGCTTGCTGTTGCCTCTCCCGATTCTCACGGTTCCTCCGCTCCGGCGCGTGCGTCCTGTAAATCTCGCCAAGGAAGCTTCCGCCGATCGTCATGGCAAGGAATGCAGCGAACGTAACCACAAGGGACGGCAAAAACGTCGTCGAAGCTGAAAGCGTCCAGAATGAAGATGCGGCAAAGGTAATGCCATCAGCTAGAACCATCATGCTGATAGTGATGAAGCTGGCACGACCTAGCGTTGACGGCGTGCAAGTCTCCCGCATCTGGTTCTTCATGAGCTGGACCTGGCCGAAGATGATGGCGGCAAAGCCCAAGAGCCAGGTCTTGACAGAGTGAAGAAACACTTCTTCCTTCTTGCCGACCAGATGCTGGCCATCTGCGGGCGCGTAGTGAGGAGGACCCTTCGACTCCATAAAGTAGGAGCAGTCGGGCGACCATATGACCGCCGACATCTGCAGCTCCGGTACGTTGCCAATGGGGGCTCCCGTCGGAAACCGAAGTTCGTCCTCCATCCCCTTCACGATCTGTGCCAGCCTATCATTGGATCCGAGTCCGGGCGGAGGTCTGTACATCTTGGTCGGGTTCAGGGGGTGGACCTGCAAGTATATAAGGTACTCGCAGTGAGGCGAAGGGTTCCAGTTATCTTGGGGCCCGTCCGGGTTCGTGCTCCACGGGTTAGACGGGTCGATGAATCTCAGCCTCTCCTTCTTCCGGAGGACCTCGTCCAGCGTCTGATTCAGCACCTTCTGGCTCGACTGGAAGAAGTCCGGCCCGGGTGTGAGATGGGGCAGCCCAAATATGCCCGCAAACTTCTCGCTCGTCGTCGTCAAAAGCATGACGCCCTGCTTCGGCCAGTGCACGCCGTGAAGACGCATCTCATGCGTCGTCCCCGTGCCCACGACGTCCTCCATCGTGACCGACGCCGCAATCTCCCGGACCAGCCCCCCTCCCCTCGGGTACCCTTCCATCAGCACCTGCTCGTACTCCACAGTGTTCTCCTTGTCGTCGATGCGCAGCAGCACCCTGCCCTCGCTGCCCGTGATGTTCCTCCCGAACTCGGCGTGCATGCCCATCCAGCTCACATCCGGCGTGATCTCGGTCAGGTTGTACGACGCCGCCTGCCTGGCCACCGACCCGGGCCGCCGCACCCACTCGCCGCTCACGACGCCCGTCGCGTTCTGCCACGTCGGCTCCGCCTCCCCGGTGTCCCACAGGTCCCGGCCCTCCCCGCCTTCTTGCTGCTGCTGCTGCTGCCGCTGCCGCCCCGGGTTTGCGTTGCGGCTCCACTCGACGCACCGGTCGCGGAAGCGGCCGAGGTCCTCCCAGGCGTACCCGTCGCCGGCGCGGAAGCCCGTCATGTTGAGGTGGCGCGCCGCCGTGCCGTCCGGGTCGTCGGCCTGCCGCGGCGCAAAGTCGCCCCAGCGGGTGCTGTTCATGACGCCGTGGGCGGCGCGCTGGCGGGCGAGCCGCTGGGCGATGAGGGACGGGGCCGTGATGAGGCCCGGGGAGGCATCGTTGCCGGCGTTGAGCCAGAGAATCAGGACGATTAGGAAGATGACGCGGGCATTGTCGTTTGGTTGAGGCATGGTCGCTGAACTTCACAGCGGTCCTTCCGCCCCTCGTGCCCTTCGGATTGGTGGCGCAGACTATCCGCTGGACATTGCTGGTGGCTGTATTCGGCCGAGCTTAGCGGACACAAGCTCACAAGAAGCACACTGAACAATGTATGGAATTACAGTCTCGTGTGGTGAGCTGCCGTGAATGGGGGTTACTGTGTGAGGAGGCAAAGGCGACCGATGATGCCACCGATCAGTACAGGTAGTGGACTTGAGAGTACTCGGAGCTGTCACCCATTCTCCAGATTACGACACCCCGAAGCTGCAGGGTTCCGATGCACCAGCCCGCTAACGCCGCCACTAACGAGCTGGATCAACCAGCCCCGCCCCGCCTAACAGCCCGCCAATCTTCAGGGCGGCTCAGTAACTATCGCACATGCATCCATAGATGGATCGATCCATGGACTCGATATCAAAACACATAACCAGCGCTCATACAACTTCTGACCTCTTGCGCCGCAAAACCACACACACAAACAAACCCAATCCTCGCTAAATCTACCCAATTTCCCCACAGAGGGCGACCTTGGCATCCTCACAGAATGTCATCAAACAATGAATCGAGCCAGAGTGGAGTACGTTGACGAGGGCGCATGACCATAGAGAGACTCCTTAAACTGACCTCGGACCTGCAGACGTCCGACGATGCTCGCGCAGACCTGACTGTCCAGTTGGATGAGCTCCTGAACACTCTTTCAAATAAGTTTGCTGGCGTTTCAAGCGAGATATTTGCCAAGAGTAAGTCAGGTCCCAAGTATGAGACGCACAGGCAAGGAAACTAAACCTCAGACTGTAGTGGACGAGATGGCAAGGAGGCTGGACAAGTTGGAGGCGGCTTTGCAGGCCAATGACAATGACAGCTCAAAATCGTCATGATGTTACGATGCGCATAATTGGCTGGCTCTCGTGTTTCACCAGGCAACTCAAGCAGCTATATGGACTAGAGCAAGGCGTTTTATTACGGGCAAGGGAATATCGACTTCATCTCATGTTCCTTATTTGGAAGCGCTCATTATCTTCGTGCTTTGTCTAGCCTCATGTGTACAGCATAGCCTATATAACCCGTTTTTTCCTCATCCCGAAAGAGATGTGATTTACAGCTCGTCCTTACCACCGCCAGTGATCTTCTCAACAAACTTGCGGAGAACGTTGGTCTTGGCGGTGAGCTCGTCCAGCTTGGCCGGGGCGAGGCCACCCTTCCTCAGGATGCCGTCCAGACGAGTCAGCTCCTTCGAGGCAAAGTCGTCGTTCTTGCTCAGCTTGTCGAACACGCGCAGGTAGTACTGGGCATACTTGATCTGGGCCTGCTCCTTGAGCTTCTCGGCCTCCTTCTTGGCGTCGGCAGCAGCCTCGGCGAGAGAGGAGCCGCCAGTGAACCTGGCGACGATGTGGTCGAGGGCCTCGAGAGTGCCGGCAACAGCATCAAGACCGCCGCCTGCAACACGGTGGGTACCGGCCTTCTTGTTGATGTAGGCAACGATGTCGCCCTCGGATCGGCCGCCGTCATAGTCGACAGCCTCCTTGCTGCCGGCAGGGAAGAACTTGATGGTGGGATATGAGGTGACGCCCTGCTCCTTGGCGATCTTCTTGCTGTTCTCGGCCTCGGCGTCGACCTTGGCAACAACGACATTGTCTTCGCCAGCGAAGTCGGTGGCAACGTCCTCCCAGGTCGGGGCGAGGTTCTTGCAGTCTAAGGAGTGAGGTTGTTAGTCATGTGTATACAGGCGGAAAGGGACATTGAATGTCACATACGTCCACACCAAGGGGCAGTGAATGAGACGAGGACGTGCTTGTCGCCGCCAATGGTCTTGCCAAAAGTGGCATCGTTCAGCATAACCACGCTGCTGGGAGGGGTGAGCTTCTTCTTGGGCTTGACGCCAGTCTTGTCGGTGATGAAGGCGGACAGGCTGTCGAGGTCACGGCCGCTGTTGTACTCGGTGGGCTTGTCCGACTTTCCGTCGAACCACTTCAGGGTCGGGAAACCCTGGACACCGAAGCGCTTGCCCAGAGACTTCTCGGCATCAGCATCGACTTTGGCGATCTGGACCTTGTCCTTGGCGAACTCGAACGACTGGGCGAGCTCCTCGTAGACGGGGGCGAGGTTCTTGCAGTGGCCGCACCACGGGGCAAAGAACTCGACGAGCGTCGGCTTCCCGGACTTGAGGACGACCTTGTCGAAGTTGTCGGGGATGAGGTCGAGGACTGCCGACTTGGCAGCCACGGCGGTGGCGAGGCCGGCGACGACCAGCGTCTTCAACGAAACCATACTTCGTGGCTTTGCTGCGTAACGAAGCTTGAAAGAGTCGGTATTGGTATGAGATACTGTTGGACCTGGAAACCCAACAATTGGCTATACAGGATCACTGGAATAAAAATTGGATTCAGATATATGCAATAAGAGGACCTGTTGTCTGCCAGGATCAGGCAAGCTGGATAAAGATGCCAGCTTACAAGTACCTCCTACCTAGACCGTTTCCACAGTGAAAGTGCTCACTAATGCTGTCCAAGCTCCAGCTCTGGTCCAGACTCCATGTGCCTGTTCCCGAGCTCTCAGGAAGTGGGGTGGGCGTCATTGCCAGGTGGCGCCCGGCGGCTACGGAACCTAGGGTAGGTACTTAGGTACATCTTCTGTCGGGAGTCACGGGGTGATAAAGGTGTCGCGCGAACATTGTAGATAAGGAGGCCTGCAACTTGGAGAGATTCTCCACTTTAAGGCGCGCTCCAGCCGGATTGCGCCAATAGGAACCCACCAATCCAACCCTGCGGCCACTGTTTCCCACACAAAAGTTTCTGTCGAAAACCCTACCTGCGAGAAATATCCCCATCTCGGACGGCCCTCTCACGAACTTCAAACCAGCACCACCAATCGACAAATCCCCCCTCGAGACCGTCGTTGCAGCCACCAAACCGCAAACATGTCTCACGAATCCGTCTGGAACTCTCGTCCTCGCAAGTACGGCAAGGGCTCTCGCTCTTGGTACGCTCCAAACCCCGAACCCCCAGAAGGAGAATGACCTGAGAAAGAGGAGGAACTTCGCTGGAGGAGAAGGGACAGTCGGCAACCAGGTCCAGGGAGACACGGAGGAAGCATGTTTTACTAACGTCTTTGTGCGCAACTACAGCCGCGTCTGCACCCACCGTGCCGGTCTGATCCGCAAGTACGGCCTCGACATCTGCCGTCAGTGCTTCCGTGAGAAGGCTGCCGACATTGGCTTCGTCAAGGTACGATGAGACTCCCCGAGAGGATACACGCCCACACGACACAAACGACGACACAAAAATTTCCATGGGGGACACGATATACTAACGTTGGCATTCTCCTGTAGCACCGGTAAATCATTACGATGGAATGAGCGGAGGGGAAGTTGGGGGGGAGTGGAAAAATTTCAAGTCGACTCGATGCATCCTACGTACCACTCGGACCGATCAACATTTGGGCCGGCCGTGGCTTTCACTGGAGTTTGTTGGTTTTGCTATCGGACATGGTCTCGGAATCTACATACCAGCAGGGGATGGTGCTGTGAAAGGCAAAAGTGCGGAGTCTCGATTCGAAGATATGAATAGATTCTTTGCCAACCTACACTTGGTTCTCGTTACCTTCCGTCTTGTGCGGCCTAGGTGTCATGGACAGGATCCGGAGCCTGCATGATGTTCTAATGCGCGAATGTCCGTTCAGTGTGTTCGTGATGTGTGAAAGAAGCTTCAGTTGTGTGAGTTTACCATGAATAGGGTCAATCGATGACTCACTGTTAGACAAGTAGACCAGGGGCGGCATATGGATGCAATGGGTATGGTTTCTATTATCGTCTCCGCAACTTGTCTAAAGTACATGTGAAAGACAAGGGTAGAAGTGGAGGGGAGATCATGAGCCTAGATGTGTAATGTACAAGATGGCCCTCGTGGAGAATCTCTCAAAATGTACAGCCGTTGTACAAATTCCTTTTTTGCTGAGAAAGAAGAACTCTTTTTTAAACCCTTGACACCAGGCTCAGTCCAACCCCTTCTGGACATCGCGCTCTCCTTTCCAACCTCAACTAGTTTTTGCTCGCTTTACTTGATGATGCGAGTGATCAGACCGGTGGCAACGGTCTTGCCACCCTCGCGGATGTTGATGCGCTGGCCAGCCTCGACAGCGACGGGGTTGTGCAGGGTGGCAAGCATCTCGACGTTGTCACCAGGCATGACCATCTTGGAGCTGGGGTCCTCGGTACCCTCGGGGAAGAAGAGGGCGCAGGACTCGTCGGCAGTGCGGATGAACATCTGGGGGCGGTAGTTCTCGTGGAAACCAGTGTGGCGGCCACCCTCGTCCTTGGTCAGGACGTAGAGGGAGACGAGGAACTGGGTGTGAGCAGTGACGGTGCCGGGCTTGACAATGACCATGCCGCGCTTGACGTCCTCACGGCGGACACCACGGAGCAGGAGACCAGAGTTGTCACCAGCACGGGACTCCTCGCACGACTTCTTGAAGGTCTCAATGTCGGTGACCTTGGTCTTGATAATGTCGCCACCCTTGCCGATAAGCTCGACCTCGGAATCCTTCTTGAGGACACCACGCTCGACACGGCCGGAAGCAACGGTACCACGGCCGGCGATGGAGAAGACATCCTCAACGGACATCAGGAAAGGCTTGTCCAGGTCGCGGACGGGGGTAGGGATCCACTCGTCGACAGCCTGGAGAAGCTCGTCAATCTTTTGCTCGCCAATCTCGGGGCGCTTGTTCTCGAGGGCGCAGAGGGCGGAGCCCATGATGACAGGGCTCTCGTCGCCGTCGAAGCCGTACGAGCTCAGCAGCTCGCGCATCTCCATCTCGACGAGCTCCAGCATCTCGGGATCCTCGAGAGCATCGACCTTGTTGACGAAGACGACAATCCTCTGGACACCGACCTGGCGGGCGAGCAGCAGGTGCTCACGGGTCTGGCGCATCTGACCGTCCGAGGCGGCGACGACGATGATGGCACCGTCCATGTTGGAGGCACCAGTAATCATGTTCTTGATGTAATCCTCGTGGCCCGGGCAGTCGACGTGGGAATAGTGCCTCTTGTCGGTCGAGTACTCGATGTGCGCCGTGGAGATGGTGATACCACGTTTCCGCTCCTCAGGAGCCTTGTCGATGGAGCCATAGTCGAGGAAGCTGGCCAGGCCCTTCTCGGCTTGCCTCTTGGTGATGGCGGCGGACAGAGTCGTCTATTCAGGTGACTGAGTGTTAGTCGAGTCTGAATTCACGCGCTTGCGCATTTATCCGAGGTAAGAATAAAAAAGAGTACCTTTCCATGATCAACGTGACCGATCGTACCTACACGATCACATCTGTCAGTCCCTTACTTTCTCTCGAGGAGGCCGGCTCCGTCTTCAAGCATACCAATGTTTACGTGGGGCTTGCTGCGCTCATAGACGGCATAGGTTCTGGAGAGGTTGAGGATAGGGGAAGCGCTCTGGCGCTGGAGGGTGATGAGAGGGTTGGCGGGCTTGCGCAGGGAGACGCGAGCGGTCCGCAGGAACGGCGCCAGCGTCCTGAGAGAGGCAGACATCTTTGGTCAAACGTCGAGGAGGGAATTATACGAAGGAGCGGAGAGAGAAATAAAAATCAAAGAAAGAGTTCGAGGCTTGCGTGGGTCGTCTTGACAGGAGCTGCCTCTCTTGTCGTCTGGTCTGATGCAAGCAAAATTTACGACCTTGAGAAATTTCGGGAGTCGAGCCATCGAGCTAAGAACGCTAGCAACACTCCTAGGGTGGGGCATTTTGCCATTGCATTGGCGTCTACTATTCGTCCAAGTCGGGAGTCGCCGGATTTACAGGGGCAAGTTGATGGACCATAAAGGCATTTCGGTGATTGGTTGATGTATGGATACGCTATTCTATTGCACGCACACCCATCATCTTCTCTGAAAGTACAAGCTGACAAGCTCAAGACACCATGACCATTTCTAGCTGATCGTAATCCATATGGGCAACGTTCTTCAGAGGGCCGTCATCCAATTCTATGCCTGCGAATAAGTGGCTCTTCAGAGCGCGCTGCACTTCTTTCCAGGACTGCAGGACTTCGATATCCTCCTGAGCGTGTAGACCCCGTGCTTCTTGAAGCCATTCTGGTGTGCCAAACGGCCGCCATGGCTTCTCATCGGCCTTGCATTGAACCCATTTGCCAGTGGCGTGTTGGCTCTTTTCAGCGGACTCATCAAGTTCCGGCGGTGGTGGAGTCATGCCTTCGTTCAGGTAGGCCTTGATCCTGCCAATGGTGCAGAGCGATACTGAAGATAAAGAACTGTGACCTTCCGAGAGCTGCTCAATCAGCCCGGAATTCCCAAATCGCTGTGTCATGGTCAAAGCCTGGTGAAGAGGGGTAATTGGATCGATGGTCGTCGATATGAAGAGAATCGGAAATGACGTGTTGACTGGAGCCCTGTCCACTGTCGGGAAGCTGTCCCAATCAAGATATGGGTTATCCTCCACGTCGACCTCCCACCCAACACACCGTGCCATAAACCTCATGAACTGGATTATGAGTCAGTAAGAAGTACCTTCAATGCAAGCATCCCCCCAAAGAGTAAAGAACCTACCACGCCTGCGAAGGAAGAGGTCGGCGACAGCTCCTCAAACATCTTCTGCACTGCAGACAAAGGAAGATTATTCTGTCATGCGGGTCATCAACAGTCAGCATAGTGCAGGGACTGCAGACGAAAGAAGTCCAAGTCATAACATACCAAGGCTTTCCAGTCGGCGCAACCTGTAGCGACTGGACTGTCCTCCGGAAACTGGGACAGGTATTGGTCGGCATGGCACATGACATCGACGTGTGGGCCTCCCATCAGACTGCTCAAGTCCGCATCTCGATGTAGAGAATCTACAATATAAGCGAGCGCAGGGAAGGACATGACCGGAAAGTACATCAAGACAAAAAGCGCCGCCTGCAGTTGAGCATGCGGAAGGAGAGCAGGGAGTCTGATCTGCTTCGAGATGACGATCTTGGGCTCCTCCTTGAGACTGTTCATAACACTCTCAAAGCGCGATCGGACGTCCTCGACATTGTCGCCTTTCCTGTAGAGAAGACAGTCCTCCTTCGCAGAGTGGCACAGAGAGAAGAAGCGGTCCAAGACCTTGTCCGCGTCTTGGATCGAACCCATCCAAGCCTGTGCTGTCAGTCTCTCTTGTCATTATGGTGGGAGGAGATGTATTTGCTTACATTTTTGAAGTAAATATCACTATCGACCACCCCATCTAGAACAAGTCTTCCCACTCGGTCGGCTGGGTTCAGCCTTGTCAGTCATATATTCGTCAGCATCAGGGGAGAAATTGCGGCCACGTACGGAACATTGCAGCGAAGGTAGATCCCAGGAATGTACCATAGCTCACACCCCAGTATACAAGCTTGCCACGGGTGCTCAACGCTGGGTCAGCGTCAGCCTCTTCTGGTGATGCCGTTGCAGGTTGCCTCATGCACGGCATTGCCTTGCTTTTGAGGCTCCGTGTCCACTCATCCCAAGCATCGACGATGGAGAGCATGTCCCGCGCCACATGCGGAGTGCCAACATATTTGAAGATGCTGTCCTCGGTGTTCTTGTCTGCGCAAAGCTTCCCCAGCGCCTTGGCGTGGACGTACATATCTTGAAGGGCGCTGGAGCTGTCATTGCCAACGCCAGCGGTCAGGCTCTGAAGGCTCCAGATCATGCGGTTCCTGACGACGCGGTTATGCTCATCGATCGACGCCGGGTCGTCGGCGTCATGCGATCCCATGAAGCAGTCGGCTTGCGGCGATGTGCCACCGATGCCCCGGGGGTCGAAGCCGATGATGTCGTGGTGTCGGCCCACCACTGCCTGCATGCCCGGTCCCGCGCTGAGGGCAAAGCCGGTCCCGCTTCCTCCGGGTCCGCCGGGGTTGATCAGGAGTGGGGACTCGGAGAATCTTCCCGACTCCTCGCTATGGCCCTCCCCAGGCAGCATAACGAGGGCAATGTGCACTTTGGGGTGGCTGGGAGACTCGCTCAGCGGGCGGCGATAGTCCATGGGCACGGTGAGCCGGGCACAGTAAAAGTTGCCGGCGTCGCGGAAGCATGGGGTCCATGACAGCTTCTCGCTCGGCTCAAGTCGGTCCCAGAAAGGGAGAGATTGATTGCCCTTGCCGTCATGATGGGATCCAAATGTATCATGAAGCCGACTTTGGTCTGGCCGCAGCCAAAGAAGTCCACAAACAGTGACGATGGCGGTAAGAATCCAGCGGCCCTTCTTGCTTGGCCGAGGTCGGCTTTGGCTAGCGTGATGAACGCCTTCCAACTTCTCGGACGACATCTTGACCTGATTCGTTCGACAATATTATTGATTTGTTGAATGTTTCGAAGAATGGTCCCAGCCAAAGGGACACAATGCCTCGAGGAGGCAACGAGAAGCTGACGAAGCTACATCCGGGGCTTTTTAGGCAGTAGAGCTCAGAAGCGGGGTTGCAGCGTCGCAGGCGTCGATCAGTCCAAGCCTGGCTTGGCTTGCCCAAGACGGCCATTTACAGCGTGAAGAGTCCAAGTGGTTTATGATTTAGGTGAAGTTATGATGTGAAATTTTATAAGGATATTGACGCGTCACAGTGAGCAAGCTCGATATAGGTATCTACTTACTTAGTTTACAAGTTGCACATCAGTGCGACGAAACCCGAGAAAGACTGCGACCAGCTCATCTGTAATCCTTGCTTTGTAAGTAAACCCTCAGGAGAAACGCAGATAATCACAGAGTAAAATATCAGGTCTCGGAAGTAAGAGGCATACCAGAACAGAATACCCATTCCATCTGGCCAAGAGATATCAAGGCGATATGACACATCACAACATTGAAGCTGGCACTTACACGGAAGCATCCATGCCAAGCGGGCCCCAGATTAGCTTGTTTTCCTCCCTAGCAGGGGCCAGTGCACGCAATTACAAAAATAGAAGCAACAAGCTCTTGCCAATGCGTCTCAACTTGGTCATCGAAGCTTTCGCCAAAATACTGGAGGCTTGAACCAAGCTTTCTTGCCGGGAAATCGACTGCAGGCCATGTCTTGTCCCCTCCCATCGCAGCCGTGACCATTGATTGAGAATCCTAGATCTATTGTTAACTCTCTCCATCATTGGGCCGTCTGTCTCTGTCCCATGTTTCTCAGGGGAGCCAGACCTGAGGCAAGCTACTCCATCAACATGCTGCCTCGAATGCACATGTATTCAACGCTATCTTTTTCGTCTAGCCGGGTGCGGCGTTCTGTCTCAGTCTTCTTGTTGAAAAGCTCCGGATTGTTCTTTTGCGGTGATCACCGTCAGGGCTTCAAGACTCCAGAGCATTCTGAGTCCTGCCAAGACGTGAGAGATAATGCCCGTGGCAGTCTAATTTTGGAACCCTGCCGCGAGACCTGGCACCTCGGAGACTCTTCTACTTCGTATGTCTGCGGTAGATTCACCGGGATATTCTACGGCGGCCGTTATCGACGGCTGGTTGGCTGCTGGTCGGCCTGCCGGGCACGGTTGAGGATGTTTTCTTGGCAAGGTCTCAGAAGTGACTGACCCACCTCGAAACACCGCGTTCGAAGCAACGTCGACCCCGGGCAACACACATGCGGCTGCTACTCAAATACTTCTTTGGGCCAAGCGGATGAAGCTGAGGGATCTCTGCCAGGGACCGGCTTTGGGACTTGGTCTCCCATTGTTGTCCTACCGGTACTTGGTCCCCTTGGCACCCCACGATATCAAAAGCCAAGAGATGTACATCTCGCCAAGGTACATCCCTTGGCTTTGCAACTCCATCTTACACACCGGATGCAGATACACCTGTCCTACGCCGCCAATGGGGGACTTGCATCCGTCCCAAACACTTCACCTGGCCCCCTCACGTCGTTCACAGCGAGCAAACCTCAGTCACGCCTCCAGTAGCCTTGTCGTCGACCAGTGTCATCCTTGTTTCACGCCTGGATGGCATCGTTTTCTTCCATCTTGGCAGACCAAAGTCCCCAGCAAATAGACTCGCCTAAGTCTAGGCCATGCTGAACCATTCCGTATGCTTCACATCCCCATCTTCGAGATACCCCTGTTGGCTTCTCCAAGTCCATCTCTTGGCCTTGTCTTGACTTTCTTGGCTCTTGGCTCTTGGCGAAGTTGCCGCCCAAGACGATATGCCGTTGCAGTCATGGCCAAGACGAGTATATAGCTGCCATCTGTGCCAATGTCTTGGGCAAGTCTTGTCTCTTTTTCTCGTCAGCTGGGCTCATTCACAATCTCTTTCCGTTTGGAACCGCCGTCTCCTTTGCGATACATTCACTTCTTTTCGCTGGTCGTATATTTTATAAACTTAAGTTTTATTTTCTTTCGTCACGTTGTGTCATCATCCGCCTTGTGCCCAGACTATAGGATTTCATCATGGTTCGCTACGCTCTTGTCGCCTTTGCTGGCTTGGCCGCTGCACTCCCACTCAACATCAACCTGGGAGCTTACTCACCTGCTCTGGTTGTTGGTACGTCATAAGGAGGAATGCAGTGACCCCCCACACCGAACTCATAACTGACAAGGCGACAGGTGATGGTGAGATTAGCTTCGGTGGCAGACAGGATGTGTCCAATCTCATGAACGCCCTCGAGGGCGCCGCGGTTAATGCTGCAGGCCAGAGGGCCAACACAAACGGTGCCGCTGCCCCGGAAACACCAGCGGCACAGCCCCCGGCTGCTGTTGCCAATGCGGCTGATCCCAGCCTCCAAGAACAGGTCAGTCTTGGCCCTTACCTAAGATTTACATGCATGCAGGCCGGGATACTGGGCTGGGTCCGAGAAACATTTCATGGGATTGAGACACTAACACAAGGCGCTGGATACAGGCACAGCAGATTGCCTCCCTCCAAGGTCTAGGCAAGGAGATTGCCCCCCGAGTCGCCGTCGAGAAGCGAGATCTCACCGGCTTCGACCGCGCCCTCAAGTTCGCCGAAGTTGCTCTCGAGAAGGGCCCCAAGGTCCAGCTCGGTACCGGCGCTGAGGGCTCCGGCGTCGGCATCATCGTCGACAACAACAAGCAAGCCGCTGCACGACCGGGAAAGGGCGCCGAGGGCGAGGCTAGACCTGCACCTGCCGCACCTGCCGCACCGGGTCGTGCCGGTGCTGCCGAGAAGCGTGACGTCGTCACCGGCAGCGAGGCGGGCGTCAAGCCGTTGCGCACCCGCGTTACTACCATGTATGTCCGCTCTGGTGTCCCTGCTTGTGAGTAGCACTCTGTTCCCACAATGGCGATCCTACCTCCCTTTCCTCTCTCGGAATTTCGCAGGGGAAAACGTCGTTCCATTACTGATATCCTGTGATGCAGCGATGCAAGGCACGAGTAACGAGGCCCGCAGCGTCGCGGCGGCCGTCCCCCGAGCCGCCGGCCCCGTCTCTGCTCCCATCTCTGGCCGCAGTGATACCATTGACTCCCTCAACCTTAATGTTGACGGCGATCAAGGCATCACGATGACCTTTGTGGAGCAGATCGCGGACGACAACCAGTGAACGGACAAGGTTGTGTTCTTTTTCTATTCTATTCTCAAGAAAACACATACCGAGAAAAAGACAAAAAAAAATAAACCCAGAGGAGGGAGGTCATTCGTGTTGCACGCCTCATCCTGGAACATACAGATGGACAAGCCTTAGCGTCCGCAATGTGTATACTTTTTTCTTCTCTGGGACCGCATTTCTCCATCATGTACCTCTGAGCTGTGAAGATGGGGGGGACACCCTGCATGTTTTGAGGTGTTTTGTGGCGTTAGTTATTCAGGGACGGATAATTTTTGGTCATGTCCTTCTCCAAGGAAGCAATGGCGTTGTATGATCACTTCGGCGGCACTTTAGACTAGGCAAACATTCATGACGGCATTCCAAGCCCCGACGTTGCGATGCAATGAAGCTAATGTGCTCTGTGTCATCACAGTGTAGATCGAGATTCTGTCATCTTGAGCCTCGACTCCGTGCCTATCTATGTACATGTCGCTCCTAGCAGAGCGATTTCTACACTTCTCGCTTTCTTTCCGTCACGATGCAGAGCAGATGGCAAGAGACAGTCGGCCCTCCGCCCTTGCTCTCATCTCACCCTTCTCCAGAGTCCAACCAACCCTGCCGGATGCTCGAACTTTAGCAATAAGATCTTGTCAGGGTCGCAGCAGCAGCCTTTCCTTATCTATACTCCCCAGTCAAAGCCAGACGGGGGCCTGACACCTGCATGCGGCAATGAGAGGCGAGGGGGCCTTCAATAGTAGATTGTCGCGTTTCAGTCGTCGGATCGACACCGACGGGGTATCAAAGCGCCGGGACATGGAGGATTCATGGCAAATGCCACCCCAGCCCTCCCGCAAAAGATCTTCCGGAAGAAGATGGGAAAAAGAAAAAAAAGATAAATAGCATATCCTTCCTTTTCCGTAGATCGCCCCCTTTTCCCGTTCAAAGATATTTATAGCTCAAGACTGCTCGTTTGCCTCCTGGGCAGTCAAACTAAGCAATATCCAGTGGATCTTTCATGCCGAGACGGGACAGAGTAACTATTCTCGTCCATATCCATGCCGATGATGATGATGATGATGATGATGATGAAAAATGCTGACTTTGTAGGGAGGGTCAAATGCACGCAAATAGAAACTCATCTATAAGATCGCCCTTTGTCTCAAAGGGGAAGATCCCCTCATTTATCCCACTCCTTGTACGCCTTTTGTTTCTGCCTCGTGTTCCAGCCCAGCTTGCCGCTGATGCTGTTGACCCAGTCCTCGCTGCGGCGGCCGGGGGCCTGCACCGAGGCGAAGGGGTACCGGCTGGCGCTGATGGTGACGTAGTCGCCCGGCTTGAGCTCCATACGCTCGCGGCCGTCGAAGCTCGCCCAGGAGGAGGTGCGGGCGTTGTAGGGGACACCGACGCGCAGGACGATGGTGTCGGGCAGGATGATGGGGCGGAAGGACAGTGTGTGCGCGCAGATGGCCGTGACCAGCATGACCGGGTTCTCCGGGTGGCAGAGGGATCCCCCAGCGGCGAGGTTGTAGGCCGTCGAGCCCGTGGGCGTGGAGACGCAGATGCCGTCGGCCAGGACGGAGGTAAAATGCTCGTCATCGCCGAAGATCTCGGTGTACGACATGGCTGGTAGGTATGTTAGTGACACAGGTGCGCGTGCACTGTAGAATAGACAATTGACAACATACTAGGATTAGGACCTCTGTCCACAACGACCTCGTTCAGGATCTCGAAGGTTCCGTCCGGTCGATGAGTGTGCTCATCGTCTTTCTCCTCGCCGATAAGCTCCTCGACTAGATCCCGCATATCCTCTTCGTCGTCCAGCTCATCATGGCTGCCATCTGACAATTGGGGCATGGGCTTCTTCTGGCTTCTCATGATCGTTCCCTCAAACCTCAGCCTCAAGCTCACGGTGACACCCTCATTGAACGCTGTCGTCAGGGTACTTTGATAGCCTTCAAAGTCGAATTTGGTGAGAAAGCCCAAGCTGCCGAGGGCGAAGCTCAGGACGGGCGGCACGATCCTCTGGAAGAGCCAGCTGGCATATAGGACCGTGCCATCGCCACCAAGAGTGATGACAAAGTCAAAGGTATGCGGCCTCGCCCGCGGCATTCCCTCATCCCACCAGCGCAAACGCCTGGCGATGTCCTTGCTCGCCTCCTCGGAGACCTCTCCAGCCTCGACGTAGTCCTTCTGTAGCTCCTCAATGAGCCCGGCCGCATCGAACTTCTTATTGTCTTTGAGGCTTCGCTCCAGGTACACGGTATATCGGACGTCTCTGTCCTTGTCCAACAACCAGCGCGTCAGTTCCCGCGTCTTCGGGACCAAGTCTTGGTCGTAAATCTTGGTGAGCAGGAAGATGGTCTTGACTCTGAACTTGAGCCTCATGCTGCCCAGTCTCCGGCTTAGCTCGCGCACGCCCCAAGCCATCTCGCTCAGCTGCTTCTTGGTGAGGAGGCGGCTGTGCATAATGTCATGCTCTGCAGCATCGAGATCAATCTGGGAGGCCGATTTGGCGATCTCCTGCCTCCACTCTTTCTGGTCCGTCTGGCCGGCTTCGCTTCCGTCACTAAAGTCCACGGCCAGTGCAGGTGTATTGGCGCCAGAGCCTCGAGCTGATCTATGGTGATGTGCTCCCTTCGGCTCGACCTTGCGGTTCAGGCCAAGCTCCTCAGCCGCATCAGAGTTGTGGTTCGCAACGGTAGCATGCTCGACCCGAGGGGTACCTGCAGCTTGGGCGCGCCTTTGTGACTCGAGAAACTGGTGGACTACGCAGTGCGCTTTGTTGTTGGACTGTCGGATCTTGGGCGGGGGAGTCTCGGCTGCGACAAGGGAACTCTTCCTCCGGTAAGGATTCGAAGGGTCGAACATGACCTGGCGATTGAACGCGTGATTAGTCAAGACAGCCTTTGCACAGCAAGAAATGAAGATCCAGCTTTGGATGTAGCTTTGGATGTGATTCTCACCTCTACCGCCTTGTGGTCCTCGTCGCTGGCACTTGAAGGGCCATCATTGAGTCCGTCCTCGAAGGTGATGTGCTTGTCGCTGTTGTGGTCCTTCGGCGCGCCCATCTTGCCAGGCGCTGGGTGGCGAGAACAGCAGATTCGGTGAACCTGTGATGTCCGGTAATCTTGAAGATACTGGGTAAAATGATATTTTCGAGATGCTTTATTTACAATGCGGTGACTATGTACAAAACCTCTCGAATGTGAGTCCTGCACATTGCTGTCTCAAAGAGGAATGAAAGGGCGACAAATCCGATCTGTTCTTTGCGACGGATCTCGTCTGCCCCTCCTCCAGGGACAAGCACTGCAGCGTGGGGGTTTCAATGATTACAGGGCACGGGCCACAGGGAATGACGTTGTGAAGCTGCTGATCAATCTGTTGATTCAGCTGGGCTAGGCGTTGAAATCGCCTAGAGTGACCATTTCTCGTGTCAGTGGGGACCAATCACCGTCTTGTTCCTGTGTACTATCTCTCAGCTGAGGGCTGGAATAGCATGACTTTCAAGATGCGACCAGTACAAGAGCTGACTGCTGTTGGTTTAAATCAAGACACTATGAAGTAGAAACAAGAATTACAGCATTCAACTACAGCATTCAGCAACCCTACAGTTTTGCTTGTACGGAGGAGATAACTTCTAGTTATAGCAGTGGTTCTTGTGTAGAGCTATCACTATATTATCCATCTCTCTCATCAATAGTTCAAAGCAATATCATCTAAAACGTTTGAACCGGAAATGATTCTATATTTCCATGGATAACTAGATCTATAAGTAGACTACCTGCCCGAATGCCAGTGTCTTTACGGTGTTCCGCTTCTTGAATGCTGATCCTTTCAACGAATCCTTTATGCTTTGAGCACTTTCAGAGCAAGGGAAGGGGCCAACAGACACTGTTGATCGAAGCGGGCATTCTCCCGTAACCCACATATTTTGTGACATAAATCGTGATATGGCTATCGAGTATGAGCCAGTTTAGTCGACACAAGCTTCAAAGTTGCGGGCTGAGCAGGTTCACTCCGTAAATATGAAGCGCTGGACCTTTCGGGGAATCAACGAAAATCCAACAGAAAATCGAGATACACGCAGAACCACAACTAACTTAATACGACTGGCATAGTAGAGTAGGTCATGCGTACCAGTATTGCCTGGTGATTTGTTAGCACTAATTACAGGATGTTACTACAAGAACTTGGGAGACCCAATTGCTAAGGACGCCAATAGTCTAGACAGGGTCTATGAGGCCAGGGTTATGCCGGAATCTCCGCTTTCCCAGGCACAAACGAGGCGAATAGGATATGTCCCGAGGGTACGGACTGACGGCCGTCAAACCGTAGTGCCATGAACAAGACGCTCTGGCTATGATAGTCCTTCCTATAAGTGGCGGCGAATCGGGGTTGGAGCCCCTGCGCTGGCCCGGTTAAACTTCGGAGCATTCCTCCGAGCAGCAACCAGGCATGTGCCACCCGGGGAATGGCTGCTTTCTATCTTCTGCCAGCTACATCGGTGACGAAGTGCCTCACTCCTTCACAGTGCCTATCTTGACCTGGCTTCATGCTTTATGTCCTCTCTTTTGCCACTACCTACCCCGCGCCGTCATCACACACTGCCAACGCCCCCGTATAGTGTAAACGAAAACTTGGAAGGCAGGTCCCAAAGATCAGGGTCCAAGTCTGGAGAGTAGTACGTGAGAAAATTTGTTGTAAAAGGATGCGCTAACTCCCCAGTCTTTAGTCTGACCGTCTTCGTAAAGCACCATTCTTGCCTGTCCATCGTGTCTCGAGCACAGTTTATAGCCCTTTACAAGCCTTTGTAACTGGCTACTGAAGTCATGGCAGACCTCGTCTGGCACCAGGTCACACCGGGTGTTTGGGAACGCGACGCTGATGAAATCGAACAATCCTATGCCGTCTCTGCTAAGTGGTATGAAGGGAGTGGTCGCATGTATTTTGCTATCACGGGCCATCTCTCAGTGACAATCTCTTTATCCAAAGAGTTTATCAGCAGGGACAAAGATGTGCAAGAACAATTCGAAGCCGCGCTACGGGCTGCCTGGCTACAGACACGATACGACTACCCAACTATCGCGTCTGTTGTCACACTTGACAAGCAGAGTGGAAGATGGAAGAAGACATACCATACCCTTCAGACGTCAGAGGCTCGAGACGACTGGCTACAGGAGACTTTCAAGACAGTTTCCTCGGACCGAACTGGTGTAGAGTGGGCGAACTCTGATCCTCCCGCGCCCAAAATGCCTACACTGTTCGTCATCAAACCACCCGAGCAGGTCGATCAAGTCCGTCGAGACCTTGTCCTTCGGTCTCCGCACGACATCATTGACGGCATCGGCACGCTCCTGCTCCTAAACAATCTCATATCGCACGCTTCAAAAGCATATGCTGCTGGCGCTCCACTACCGAAGTTCCCTCTCGACGGCTCCGAGGCGGGCAATCTGAGCCCTGCATATCGAATTGCCGCTGCAGTACCCGATGTGCCAACCCCTGCCCAGCAAAAGAGATTAGACGGGCTCGTACCCAGAAATGCTCCTCCAAAGCAAGACCCTGGCGTGGATCTACTCGGCATCCCGTATAGGAAGGGTATCCTCATCCCCGGACGTCACCAGCGTGTTGCACTTACTCTCTCTACGGGGGAGACGTTGAGGCTCACTGCTGCATGCAAAGCAGCGGGTGCCACGGTCACCCACGCCTTCCACGCAGCCATCGCTCTGACTCTGCGTGATCTTCAGGAGAGACGGCCAGAGGAGCGTCGGGTCAGGTACGTGGGCTATATCCTGCGCAACGAGCGCGGCAGATGCGTGCCGCCCTACAACTCGCCCAAGCACGCGGCGGCACTCTACCACTCGGTACCTCAGAAGAGTCTCATAGTCGATATGACGGTGCCGATGCAAGGGGAGGAACTCTCTAGCGAGAAGTCTCAGGAGAACTCCCGAGAAGAGTTTCGGCGGATCTTGGATATCACGAAGGAATTCTACCATAGTGTTCGGGACGATGTTGATCACTATGCGATAGCACCTTATATCTGGGCGGCAGGTATTCCCAATCTACCACCCATTGCGGAGGGTAGGACGCTCCCGGTCCCTCCTCCGGCTGTCCTTGCTCCCGTCACGATCTCTAGTATGGGAGTTGTTGATAAGATCATAACCCCAAATACTGGACCCTTTGAGTTGCACGACCCCTGGGTTACCGGCGAGGAACTACGTAGTGGTCTTGGGCTATTTTTGGGGGCTTTCCGGGGCCAGCTATGCCTCAGCGGTGCTTACAACGATGCCTGGCATGGGAAGGAGAAGGTATTGGGTTACTTGAACCAGTGCAAGGAAGCTGTGTTTCGCGGCTTTGGTATCTAATATAGCTAGCCATTATACAATCTACAACATGCACAACTGAGCGGTGAGGTACGATAGAGGGGACACGCATGGCGAAGTTCTACGGACTACCAATCGTTCTATCAAAGTGACAAAGAAAGAAAGAATGTCTACAGCTTCCCCTTCGCATCCACCAGCTCCTCCACCTGGGCAAACTGGTAGTAGTACTCTAGACTCTGCGGGTTGGCCAGCGTGCCGCTCGCCTTGATCTTCTGGCCCGAGACGATCTGCTTGACGGGCAACTCGACCTTCTTGCCGTTGATCGTTGTCTACTTGCACGTCAGCTCCATTCCATTCCATTCTTTTAAAAACCCTCGGTTTGAACAACAGAAAGAAAAGAAGAAGAAAAACTCACCGGAATCTCAGGCGTCTCAAAGATGAACCTGGGCACGTGCCTCTTGCTCAGGTCCCGCGAGATGGCCTCCCTCAGCTCCCGCACGAGCGCCCCGTCGAACCGGTGGCCGGGCCGCATCAGCAGGAAGAGCACGACGCGCTCGTCGTGGTCGACCCCGGGCCGCCGCTGGCCGACGCACAGCGACTCGGCCACGCGGTCCGCGAACCGCCGCTCCACGACGCCGTAGATCTCGGCGGACCCGAAGCGCACTCCGGACGGGTTCAGCACGCCGTCGGCGCGGCCGAGGAAGGCGATGGAGCCCGTGGCCGGGTGCACGGCGCAGAAGTCGCCGTGGGCCCAGACGTGCCGGAACCGCGCGAAGTAGGCGGCGCGGTACCGCGGGCCCGGCGGCGGGCCATCCCCGTCGCCCCAGAAGAAGCAGGGCACGTTGGGGAAGGGGTGCGCGGCGACGAGCTCGCCCGGCGTGCCGGCGTCGACCTCGCGGCCCGCGGCGCCGTCCTCCTCCTCCTGCAGGGAGTCGAAGATGCGGACGTCGACGCCCAGGGACGGGCCCTGCGTGCCGCCGACGTAGACCGGGGTCAGCGGGTTGAGCAGGCCGAAGCAGCCCGCGATGTCGGTGCCGCCCGAGATGTTGCCGAGCTGGACGTGCGCGGGGAACCCCCGGTCGTAGAACCACTCGAACAGCTGGTCCGACAGGACCATGCCCGTGCTCGTCACGACCTCGAGGCTCGACACGTCGGCCACGTCGCGCGGCGCCAGGCCGGCCTTGGCAAACTCGAACATCCAGCGCGGGCTGATGCCGAGCTTGGTGACGCGCTGCCGCTCGACCAGGCGCGCCAGCACGCGGGCGTCGGGCTGGAAGGGCGAGCCGTCGTACAGCACGGCGCGGGCGCCGAAGAGCAAGGGGGCCACGGCGGCGACGTACATGATCCAGCCCGTCGTCGTGTACTGCATCGCGACGGTGTCGCGCGAGACGCGCTCGTGCAGGTGGCCCTCCTTGAAGTAGTTGACCATGCAGCCGCCGACCGAGTGCACGATGGCCTTGGGCATGCCCGTCGTGCCGGACGAGTAGCAGATGAGGTACGGGTCCGAGAAGGGGATGCGCACAAACGGCGGCGGCGGCGGCGCGCCCGCCTCGCGCCCGCCCAGGAAGGAGGCCCAGGTCTCGGCCCGGGGCACGCGCGAGACGTCCTTGGCCTTGGCGAAGCGCGGCACCGAGATGATGCCCGACAGGTTGCTGCACTCCTTCATGCCGTTCATGACCTCGGTCATCTTGTCGCGGAGGTCGATGGTCTTGCCGTTGTAGATGGCCGAGTCGTCCATAAACACCAACTAGAGCAGGCTCATATTAGTCCACGATTCTCCTTTCATCAGTGTCTGTCTGCCTCAGACGGTCACGGGAGGGGTCCCAAAAAAACGAACCTTGGGGTTGACCTGCACCGCCCGCTGCAGTATCCCCGTGACGCCCATGTCCGTCGAGCTGCTGCTGAAGATGCCGCCCAGCCAGCTCGTGCCCAGCCAGACGAGCAGCGTCTCGACGCTGTTGGCCCCGACGACGACGACCCGGTCGCCCCTCTCGAGCCCCCTCGCCGCCAGCGCGGCCGCGACCTTGGCCGCCTCGGCGCGCAGCTCGCCCCACGTGGCCTCGCGCAGCTCGCCGCCGCCCTCGCGCACCGACGTCACGGCGACGTCGGCGTCCCTCTTGGAGCCGGGCGCGTTGGCGTTGGGGTAGAGCATGTTCTCGGCAAAGTTGACGCGGACGCCCTCGAACCAGCGCGGCACGGCGTCGATGGGCGCCGACTCGTCGACCGGCCGGTCGTAGCTCCCCTCGTAGATGTAGCCCGACGAGTCAAAGATCTGCGACCAGAACGCGGAGCGCTGGCTGATGCTGTACTGGTGCAGGTCCTGGAAGGTCTGTAGAGGGCGGAGTAGTGTATTAGAAAACGTCAGCAAGAGATGCCTTGTACATTTATCCCAGGCCGTCATTGAACGATTTTGGGGGTAGTCTACTCGCCTTGAGATTCAATCCGTGTTTCCTGTTCACTTGCTGCATGAACTTGTACATGGCTGTGCTCTTGGGATCTGGGTGCTCCCAGAGCTTCCTGGGGACTGTTGCCGAAGCCATTGTGACCAGTACCAGTTGACCTAGACAGTCTCCTTATTCGATCCTGAAAAGAAAGGACGTCCTTATAAATATAAGGTCGAGGACGAAATCCCAAGCTTCAAAGCTAGTCAGAGATGTGGCAGCAGCCGGGCCGTTAACCCTCAACCGCGACGACCGAAAATGCCCAAGGTCCAGACTAAAAAGGCAAGGCACCGCACCGCGCCCAAGTCGGAGGTATTCCCTAGACGTTCGTGATGAGGGCTTTCAGAGGCCTACAGACATTCCAGAATCTCTCGCTATGAGGCCATGCCAATGATGAGTCGTAGTTCTAACTTTGAGATCGAATGAGGAGGGGGGAAGAGCACAAAGATACGGAGGGGAACACAAAAAGGCGAGGAGTAGTTCCGCAGAGTCTCGAGACCAGGGTAACACACAAACTGCTTACATCCGCTTCCAAAGTGCTTGAGCCCACTTGGTCTGCTGCGGCTTGCCTAGAGTGCGGAGAAAAGTTGGGGTAACAGCGCAGGAGCCGATGACCGGCCCTCTCTGATAGCTCTGATAGCATCACTTAGGCATGTCGAGAGACTGAATGGTGGTGCTAAAATCATAGCTGAATTAGGTCATTCCGAGGAGGCTAGTCTTGACTATCCCGAGCCTCGGCTCTTCTCTTATTGTACAAACTTGCAGCTTTCATCGTGCTTCACACTTTCCTCGCCCCCCAATCCTGTATCAGAAACCAATCGAATGAAGCAGCCGGACGCCAGGCTATTCGCCCAATTTTGCCAACCAAGCCCCGCAGATATCATAAACCCAAGGCAAAAAACAAAGATGATACAACGATAACAACAATAGCCCCGCAGGTGTTCTGCCAGTAATCGTGAAGGAAAAGTAAGCAGAATCGTGATTCGTACACCGCATGCCGCCTGCCGCCTCCAGGAACCCCCTCCTCCATGCAGAGAGCGAGACGGGCCAATCTGTTTGGCCTCTCACATGTACGGCATCCACAAGGCGTCGCACAGAGCCAGGTTCAGTGGGTTGACCGCCTTGGCAATCAGATCGATGACCGTCTGGTTGGCCGGGAGGTTGCCCACAGGAGCCTGCGCGAGACTGACTGCCCGCTTAACAATCATGTCGCTGTTGGTCTGCACCGTCTCTCGCAGTTGCGCCTCGGTGAGGTTGGCGTTGCGATGGCTGCTGGTAAACCAGAACATCATCTCGTCCCTGACAAACAAGGCCAATGCGTGCTCTAGCTCGAACTCGGGCTCGGTGAGGCACCGCGCAATCGCCATGATTGACGCGCTGAAGATTCCTTCCGTCGCCAACGGTCCCATAAGTGTTTGAAGGTTGGGGGTAAGCCGGAAAGGCACCGGCTCTTGATTGTGGAAGAAGGGCTTGGAGGATGCCATGAACGACATAAGTTCGGAACCCCAGATGTTGCCCGAGCCACGAGCGATGCTGATCTTGTGAGGATATCGCTTGTCAATGTAAAGGATGTACGTCATGAAAGTCAATGCCGCAAGCTGGTACGAAAATCGTCGCCTGAACAGCCAGAAAGCCGAGAATTCGGGGTAGGCGCTTTGGAAATACTCCAGCGCAATTGTATGCGGGACCCATTTCTCCTGGATAGCCGTGAGGACCTCCAGTCGAGCCGTTGCTGTACGCTCGCTAGGCTGTGAGGGTGTGTTAGCACTGTGGATTGCATGACTGCCTGCCGCGCCGCAACTTACCTTGGCATCTCCCAAACCTCGGAGCTTCTCCATTGTGAAGAACACAGGCTCATCCTTGGACATGCCGTTGCGTCGGCAGTGATCCTCGTAGATGCCTTGCAGGGTAATGTACGAGGTATCTTCCTGCACAATGCGGATGTGCGGTGCCAGAGGTACCATGAGCGGCAGCGTGAACTGCAGATCACGCCGACGGCTCTCCTTCTTACGGCTGAGGCGTTGGTTAAGTTGTCTGAACAGCTGCAAGATCCTCTCCTCGCGGCGGCAGTGTCTCGCGGCCGGATGCTGCACAGCGAACGAATGTACACTACCGTCGTGGCCGCGAATCTTGAGGCGCCTGTGGGAAACGCCGATAGTCCTGACTAGGTCTACGTTCGGCAAGAAGCGCTCGATCCGGATAAAGTCTTGGTTCTTGTCCTTATGTTGCAAGTACTGGCCCGGGATCTCCACGTCGTCGAACTTCTGATAGCGGAACTCGCTGAGGTGAGGCGAGAATGACTCGAGGGGTAGGTGTGCGGCCCGGCGATCAAGCTTTTCCTCAAACTTGTCCCGCCATTTGCGGAGTTTATGGATGTACTCGAGCATGGTTGGCTTGACCTGAACGAAATCGACCTCAAAGCTAGGTCGGATGTGTGCTGGAAGCACTGTCTCCGCGAATCGAGTGATGTTGGTCTCTGTGGCCGAAGGTAATTTGACGTCTTTTGCGTACGACGTGGGCATGCGGCTCACGTACGCAAGACCGTCGTTCAGGAGCGCCACGATCAGTCGATACGCGTCCTCGTCCGGCGGACACTTGAAATGCTTCTGGATTTGGTCGACCATGGTTTCCATAGACAACGCCAGGAGTGGGAATGCAGACTTGAGCACACTCATTATTTCCTCCGTGAGCTCCCAGGGCGGCTTCTTCTGTGCAGTGCCGTTCTGCTCGTTGCCTTGTCCTTGAGTGTTGCCATTGGCAACAGGGGCAGCAGCAGAAGCCGCTGGAGCGGCAGGCGCGGCAGGTGCCGCAGCTGGGGTTGCAGGTTGATCGGTGCCCTCAGTCTTCACTGGTTGCGGTGTCTCCCCATTCGCGGTCGCGGGTCTCGAACCTCCCTCAGCCTTGGCGGGGACAGGAGTATCCTGTTTGGGCTGTGAGGGGGAGCTGCTCGGCTTGGACGCCGCAGCCGCAGACTGGGCGCGCTGTTGACGAGCCTTGGCCTTGGCCTCTTGATTCTTCTTGATCGCCAGCATGTCTTCCCGGTTCGTTCGCAGTTGGAAGTAGAGCGCCTGAGGATACGACTTGGCAATCTTGACAAGAATGGTATGGACGCGCGGGGCCTCCTTGTGGCCAAGTCCTGTCAAGAGCTGAGGAATGAATGTGATCCAGTACCAGGTGGGTGTCTCGCCCTTGAAATCATCAAAGCCAGCCGCAATTGTGCCATGGGCATCATCCAGACTCAAGAGCCACAGGATTCTGGCGATGAGTTTTCGAGACTTGGCACTCTTGTAGCTGCCTGCTGCTTGAAGGTAGCAGGTGACTGCTTGACGAGCAGAGTTCATGTCGGTCGGGTCCTCCTTGAACTTCCTATCGTTGAAGTAGCCCCATTCAGCCCACGCCTTGGCAGCGGTGATGTCGAAGTAGAGGGCAGTCCCATAAGCATTGTCTGCTTCATCCTTCTGCTTCAACTTTTCCAAGAACATTCCCTTGAGAGTGTAGAACTCGGCCTTTTGAGGTGCACTAAAGTAGTTAAGATTGGTGTTGTTGATCACATCCAATCCACTCGTCAGCTCGTCCGGATTCTGGTAATGGCACTTGGCCTGCTCTCTAAGTTTGAGGAACGCTTCTTGAATCTCGATATTGGGGAGCGTATAGATGCGGCTGAGTTGATTGATGCAGACCTCGGGCAGGTTGTGCTTCCGGGCGACATGAGCGAAGCGATTGATAATCCAGGCCGTCTCGTGGTAGCCTCGGTAAGCAAAGGAGACACCTCCAGCTGCCGAGTTTTGTGGCTGCAGAAGCTGAAGGTAAGTGGCATTGATGAGTCCGAAAATATGCTGACGCCATGTCACAAGGTCTTGCCAAGCCGTGATATCGTCCCAGGTATTGGGCAAGCGGTCACGCCAGGCACCCAAAAGCAGCTTGAGCTCGCCAGACTTCACGTCCAGGTTGGCTTGAGTAGTGTTGGCGAGGCTTCCACAGATGACGCTGGCATCATGAAGCTCCACTAGCTGTTGGAAGTTCTGCAGCAGCGGAATATGTGCGTTTGTGAGAAGCACCGGCAGCTGGTGCCACTTCCTGATAGACAGCTGGATTGCCTCATCGGTGACTCGACTGAACTCCTGCAGACTCTCTTGTTTATTGTGGAACTTCAGAAGCGACATGAACGCTTGGAAGAAAGCCCGCCGAGGAGTCGGGGCATCCATGACGCCCTTGATCACGCCATCTAGTTGCTCGCGTGAGGTTGGGTCTTGCCAGGTTTCTGGGTTGCGCCAAGCGCACTCCAACAGCAGATCTTGGAAGTTCTCATGCTTTGCGAAGTCCTGCAAAATCTCCCATTGCTGCAACTTCTGTGCGCAAAGGACCCAGTGATCCTCCCACAACATGTATTCGCCTTGCGAGAATGGGATGACTCCAGTCCGAGCCTTTATCTGGGCTGCTTCATACATCTTCTGCGCCTTGTCCCACATGCCGTTTTGCTCGTAGGAGAGGGCTGCATTTGTCTCGACGAATTGGCAACGGCGTCTCCAGGTTCCGTAGAAGAGATCATCCTCCTGCAAAGCAGCATACAGCTCGACGAGCGCATCAAGAGTGCTCTCTCTAACATTATTAGAGTCGACCTCTGGCTTGATGGCTGCGTTCTCGAGTTGGACCAGAGCCGTGTACCAGGCGTCAAAGGTTTTGGCTTCATATTTGAGAACGTGAGGAGGAATCCTGCATTCTGGCCAAGACTTGGCAGCGCCCGCGAGGAGGGATTGAATCACATTCGGACGTTTCTCCAGTTGCCGAGTATGGAAGTCCTTGGTCAGGAGTACGACCAAGCCACGTTCGAGATCGGTGCGCTCTTCCCGCACTGTCGCTGACCAGAACATGGGGAACAGAGCTACCCAGAGCTCATGCGCGAGCTTGGAATCGATGTGCTGAAGTTGGGTGAGTGGCTCGACAATGTCTCGAATCTTGACATCGCCTAGCTCGGAAGCGAACTTCCGATGTCCCGCCATGAAGGCTTCATACTTGTCATCAGCCATTGTCGTAGGCTCCCTTGCATCTTTCGCATAGGTGTTGAAGAGAACTGATGGTCGAACAAGCCGAGGATCTTGAGGGTGCAGCTGTGCAGCTGCGCTAGTCTCGACCGCGCCCAGGAGAAGCTGTGAAGCCTGTGCTAACCAGTACGAGTCTGCAAGGGTATCCCAGTTCTGCGATGTGATGACATACGAAAGACGGGCACTCGCAGTTCTAGTCAGGCTCCGGTCAAAGATGGTCATGAAACGGCTGCGCATCTCGACATCTTGTGCTCTCGTACCGATGAGGAATGCGTGCTCCAAGCGCACAGTAAGCTCTGTGCGGGTGATCTTAGGATCCTCGTAGATGCGAATGACGAGCGCCAAAAACTTTTGGAGCATGGTTGGGTCTTGTCTATGCTCAAAAGAAAGCATCTTGTGAAGAACAGCGGTCTTTTCTTTCAGCGTTGGCCAGGTGCCCTCAGACCGGAAAATCCAGTCTTCGACCATGTCCAAGATCTTCTCACATAGTGCGATGTGTTGCGACTTCTCGACCAACGTTGCAAGGACGCTGAGGAAAGGTCGTCGATTATCGCCAAGGATTTCCATGCGCTTGGCAGTCACATCGATTGCTTTCAGGATCAGGCCCGACTGAATCTCCAGGTCATACTCATTCATCTGAACCGGCGCGTTGGGATCTTGTGAACGAGGGTTAGGAGCACCTAGGTTGGAAACGGCGGTGTAGTGTGAGATGTGATCACGGGCAAGCTTTGATTGCAAGGACTTCATGATAGCCGGTACGTGATTGTCGATGGTCGAAGGGCGTCGATTACCCAGAGACCAGAGAATGTTGATACCGGCCACGTAGTTTCCAGCATTCATGGTCTCGGTCGCGATGTTGGAAAGGAAGGCAATAATCTCTGACGGCTGGCTCTCAGACTCGCCTTCTGCATCAGCATCTTCCATCGTGACATCCTCTGAATCAACAGGCACGGCGTCAAGCACCCTCTTGATGGTGGACTTCAAGACCCGACCATCATCGAATTTTGGGTCCGCAAGATGGAGACAGTCTTGGAGCTCGGGCTTATCCGACTTGAGACACCGTTCCAACACCTTTTGCACTTTCTCCATGTTCCTCAGGATCCAGTCGTCAGATTTGAAGTTCAAGATGATGCGCACGACTTGGAGGGTATTGATGATGTTTGTGACGAACTTCTCATCGTGTTTCTCTCGGTCTCCCGGATCTGCCGCGAGGATAGTGGTGGTCCGCTCGCTTGCTAGAATGACTTCGGTGACGTTGGGGAATAGGTCGACATCGAGATCACCCCAATACTGTGGTTGCAATAGGTTATAGAGCAAAGCCATTGCCCTGTTGCAGAGGTCTGTGGAAACAGGCAATATAGAGGCATCGAGAGGTCTCTGAGATGGTAATCGATACCTCTCAGGCAGCTGAGCAATGAACTCGACAAGATAGCGCACCATCTTTTGTCGACCGACGGGAGGGATGATAAACTCCGATTTCTCGGCAACAGGGCCTTGCCGAGACGCTGCCGGGGAGGAGGTTTGCGAATCGCTGTCCAACTTGCGCTTCTTGGAATTCGGAGATTCTGACACAGCGCGCGGCGGGGCAGCCAATTTGCCTTCCACACGTCGCTGCTCCCATAACCAGATCAACCACATCATGTGCAGTGCCAACTTCTTGCTCTCATTAGAGGCATTCGGTGGCGCTGCAACCTTACGCAGAGATGTGATGATGAGCATGGCGAATTTGTCACGAGACTCGAAGAACAAGTCCGGGTGCTTGGTCAGGAATTGGAAGATGCTGGTCATCTGCTGAACGTTCTGTCCTTCCTCGGCCAGAATACGGCGAGGTGCTACAGCCCACAATGCAGGCTGCACCGAAGCGCAGCGCTTTGGCAGTACGGGCGCCATCAATTCCAACGCTTGTGTGACCAGCGTTCGACCCTCATTGTGGTTGACCTTCAACAACGACGAATACACTTGCGATACGATCTTAGCGGGAGTGTCGTAGTGAGCGATGAAGTAGCCAATAACCACATAAGCAGCATGCTTATTGATCACATCGTCCAGTCGAATGTATGTCCAGCCAAACTTGATGATATCCTTACGGGCGTCTTGAAGGTTGGCATGGTGGTACTTGACGAGCATGGCGGAGAGCTGAAGAACCTCCATGCGTGTGTGGTCGATTCCAGGCTGAAGAAGGTCGTCTTGCGGATCTGCTAGATTGACCCTCCAGATCTTTGCATTGATCGAATCGATGACGGTCTTATCCATCAAACGCACATTCTTATTCTGGTCTGACTGGTTCCAGTGACGCATCACGTCCATTGCAACAATCGGATTGACGATGTAATGAAGAAGGAAGCATTTCGTCCTCTGCGACGCTGTCTTGCCAGCGTACACTTCAAGACATCGCAAGATCATCGTCTTCCAGAACTCGACCGACTCGTTGCAGATAATCTGTTTGTAGAGGTAGGAGAAGAAAGTCTGCGTAGCGGGAAGACCATTGGAAGTGATGTTTTCCACCAGACCCAGGAGCGAGTTGAAGTCCTTGGAGTTCAGCTCGAGAGCTTTGGTCAAGATGAAAACAAGCTGCTCCATAGCCTGAACACCTCCAAGTCTGAGGTTCGGCTGCAAAGTATTGGCTTTCAAGTGGCGCTGCAAGTCTTTGCCAGCATCCCTGAGCCAATCGAGATTCTCCTTCTTCTCGACCCAGGAGACTGAGCCAGGGAAATGACACAGGGCATCGAGGATGTTGATGGTGTTGATGACGGCTGCATGCTTTGTCTCTTTGCCCTCAGTCGAGATGTCTCTGCAGATCTTGATCAGACCTTCGACATTCTTGACCGCAAAATCCCTGAGAGGCGTGCTCGCCTCGGCGCGGAGCACTTGCGCGAGGAATCGACCATATTTCACGTCCTCAATCTTACCCAGAAGAAAGTTCCAGATTTCTTCGGGGTACCTGTTGAGGTACATATACAGAGGAGGCCGAAAAATGCTGTGCTGGGTACGGCGGAGTTTCTCTTCCAGGTCTAGAGCAGTGTCTATCACACGCTCTTTGAACTGCTTGGCAGCATCAGGAAGCAGGTGGAAGATGTTGAAGACAGCTGCAATGACCTTCATAGCCTGGTTCTGCTCAAAGAACGTGAATGAGATCTGTTGCAAGCCGTTGGGGTCAGCAAGGACCTTGATATGGTCCAGGAGACGCGAGCCAATCTCGACTTTGAAGTAGGTCGTCAACAACCGCAACAGCCGGTCAAGGTTATCAAGCCCATGTGTACTGAGACGCTTCGGGTCTTGAAGGCTCGCGAGGACTGGGCGTAGACCAGACTGAAGTAAATCTCGTGGAAGCTTGTTGGTATGCGACAAGACTCGCTTCAACGCGTCATTGGCGGCTTCAATGGTAGGCTTCGATTCTTGGTAGAGGCATTTGAAAAACACAGCGACAATCTTGGTACGGGTAGGGTTGTTAGGCCCCTTCATGAACTCCTCGAAGTCCATTGCAGTGCTCAAGATCTTGATGCACGAAACACGCAGGTTGACAATGAAATCATGTGTCCTGAATTCGCCTGGCTTGCCCGCCAGAGACTCATCACTAGCATCTGATAAAGCGAGAGACTCCATCAGAAGACGATTGAGGTTGTCGTCGAATGCAACGAAGTCAGGTTTCAATGTCATGTAATAAGTTACAGCATCGATGAACCCGATCTGGATGTTGAATGGGAGGGCGCGAAGAGGTTTGTGGTAGATTGGCTGAAGCAATCGGTCCTTGTAAGGCTCGATAAGCTCCCAGATCTCTGTATTCGCGGCCTTGGCAATGAGTCCCAAGGACTTCCTCGCAGTCTCACGAACATGCCGATTCATGTGAGAAAGCTCATTGTTGAGAACGAGGCAGACTTGTGACAGGCGGGGTTGTTTCTGAGGAGGCTGGCCAGGTTGGGATGGAACTGGAAGAGCATCCTCCTTTTTGATGTTCTTGGTCACTCTATGGAGGAGGACCTCGAGGGTGTCTTGTGCAGACCGCCTGGTTTTCTCGGGGAGATCCTGAGGCATGTCTTTGATGACGTACATCAGAGCGCGGATGAAATCCATCTGCTTATTCGCAACCCAGGGGTCGCCCAAGTCGATCTTTGTGAGCAGGATATGAATACCTACGCTGCCACCATTCTTGGTGAACCACTCTTCCTCGTAGCAACCGTGACAAAAGGTTGTCGCAAGGTGGCTGAAGAAGTTGAGTCGACTCGCAATCTGGGGTTCCGACCCAAAGATCGTGACTGCTGAATTGTATACCTCGATGATCGCCCGCTGGGCAGCGTCTCGCACATCTGGATGTTCAGACGCCAGAGACTCGAGAACCGCATCTGAAAGGACTCTGGTGTCGAGGCAAAGAGGCCCTTCCCCGGACGTGACATCGAAAGGATTTGTTGCCTTCTTCAGGTCCACCAGTGTCCGACCAATCTCAAGAATGGTGAAGTGATGGCAGATGTTGATGAGGAATTCATCAGCCTCGTCTTTGAACTCGGGAATTGACTGTGCGAACATGATGGTTTTGATGAGCCGCTTCAAAACATCGTTTTGATCATCCTTCTTGGCCACCGAGTGCTCCCGCTCCGAAGTTTTGAACACCGAAAAGTCAGCGTCGGACTTTCTCTGGAGAATATCCTGCGCCTGGAGGCGTAGGAGCCGAGGTAGATCATCCGGGAGGTTGTCGAACCCGATACGCAATTTCAACTGAGCCTTGACCATTTGGAAAGCTTGCTTCTTATAGTAGATGTCGGGCTGCTTGGTGTTGTTGCTCCTCGCAGCCTTAGGGGTTTCCATGATCTTGGCGATTGCGAATCCGACGCCTAGGTCAGCAGGAAAAGCCCGATCCCGCTTAGAACCGATAAGCCGCACGTCGAAACTAGAGGCATCATCGACATATTTTGTGTACTCAAGTGGCAGTGCATCAGTCATGAACTTCCTGTTGCGGCCGCCAAGCTTTCCAAGGATCCGCATTGTGGTATGCGCATGGAAGTGGCTATAGGGATGCGGCTTCAAGTGGTCGAATAGAGCAGTCATAAGCTCATCGATGACCGGCGCCATGATGGGGTCCAGATAGTCCGCAGTAAGATTGTCAACGCAAAGCTCGAGTGTACGCAAGCCTTGGCCTACCAAATCGGAGCCAGCACGAAGTGCAACGACTAGGGGACGCATCAAAAAGCTGAGGTGCGGCAACAGATTGCTCAGGCGAGCCGGGACGGTGAGACAAAGCTCAACGTACAAGTCTCGCTCAGCAGGCTTTCGAGCAGCCAGCAGTAGGTTGTTCAGGACTTCGAGAAGCATCTCCAGTAGCGGAAGTATTTGCTTGTAGAGATGCTCAAACTTGCCACCTCCAATGCTTCGAAACAACGAACGCAGGAGAATGAAGTAGTTGGTTGGCTCCTCGGCTCGAGTTGAGAGCTCGATCGACTTGGTAACAATGTCGATCACATGCGGGAGGAGGACTTGCTCATTCTGGCTAGCGAACAATGTGACTGCCATGAATGCCAATTTGAACAAGCGCAGCAGGATGGACGACTTATGCATATCTGATGAACCGACGTCCTCAATACGCTCCATCAGGAATTTGAGAAGCATGCCGCAAAAACTTGGTGATGTGGCCTCGCTGGCAAGAAAGAACTGGGGAATGTGTAGAAGGCCTGTGTGTTCCGAGATCATCTCGTAGAGACGTGGAATTTCTTGCTGGAATACCTCATGGAAAGTTGCCGGGTCGATGCAATGGAAGACCGTGGCAAAGGTTTCCAAAAGCTCCTTCTCCTCCTTGCTACTGGATACCATGTAGAAATTGGCCATGTACTCCACTGTAGAGGCATGGGGCGAGTCGACGGGGGGCTTGTCAATCTCGTAGTAGCGAAAGACATAGGCGCCTTCGCGAAACAGCTTGACAATGACCTGCACTTCCTCTGCCGTGAAGCCATACGAGACATCTGGCCAGTGGCCAGGCGCATTCGCTGCCTCGATGCTGATGTGAGGGTTGCAAAATTTGAGCTGATAGAACGTGTTCTTGAGGCCATTCATCAAGGTCTTGAACAAAAACTTGTTGTCCACGATCGGGTCCGCGCCACGCTCTCGCGGATTGGATGTCTTGATTGGCATGGCATTGAAGATGTCGATCTCATCCCATTGAGGCGGGTGTTCCTTGTCTGCAAGATACGTCTCTGTTGCCGCCTCAGACTGGTGTTGGCTGTACTGTTTTGAGAGCTTGACTGCGTTCTCGTATTGCCGGTTCATGGCGGCAAACTTGTCCCCAATGGCATTGAGAATGAGCATCAGGTAGTGCCTCGCGTCTACCTTGTTCTCCATCTTGGCGATGCATTCAGCCATGTTGAGTAGGAGCTTGGCGCTCATGGTCTGGAAGCTGGTCCCTGGAAAGTTGTCCTGGAGATTCTTTGTGTAGACCTCGACAGTCTTGCGTATCTGTTCGGGTGACAGCGATTCGCGAACATGATGGATCAGGTCCGCAAGCATACTAAAAGCCAGCGGACGCATGCCCTCATATACGGTCAAACCCTCTCCAATGAGGGTGCGCTCTTCGAGTAGATCATCAATCTTGCTCAAGAAGATCTTCCTGAAGTTGAAATTGATGATATGCCGAATCGCAACCAGGAGCTCCTTGCGGGCTCCTGACTTCTCCTTGGGACAATCCTTGAGAAGTCGAACGATGATATCGGGAAGCGTCGGCAGGAAATCGGTCAATTGCTGGGCATATTGACGCAAGAGATAGGCAAGAAAGCTGGTGACCTTAACTTGTGCCGTGATGAACTCTCCAAAGGCAGCTCGGTTCTTGATATTCGGACTCACACCGGTGAAGATAGTTCCTTTCGCTGCAGCTTCGGTATGGGCCTGCTCCTGCGCCTTTGCTTGCAAGCAGAGGACACTCTTAATAAGAGGAACGAAAGCCTTCACATTCTGAGGAACGGCGCTGCGGTGGATCTGGAAAATGGAAACGACAATGATCGGGCACTCGGAGAGGACTTTGAAGGACGACCAGCCCTTTAGGAGCGGTCGGGAAGCTTGCTGTTGCTGATCGAAGTCTGGTGCCGGCGCCACAGGGGAGCCTGGCCCGGATTGATGCTGAAACGTTGTCTGCGATGCGCCAGGTGTTGATGGTGCGCCAGGAGCGCTGCCCGCAGCAGGTGCATTGTCGAGCTGTTCCTTAACAACACGATCCATCTGCTCAAACAGCTCTTGTATCAGAGTCAGGAAAGGTTGGACCTTTCCACTCAGCGATTTCTGCTGATGCCGAAGGATATCGGATATGACTTTGACACATATTGTCGCATTCTCCTCGTTGTCATTCTTGACGAGGGTCATCAACAGGTCGACTACCTCTTCTGCGTACGGCTCGAACGGCTCGGGGGGTGACGTGCCCGTGGGCAATCGATGTAGGATCTCGAGAACACAGTTCCTGAGTTTCTGGTCGTTGGAGTTGCTCTGGAAGATGCATGGTCCTCGCAGTATGTGCACGATGATCGGCATTACCCGCTTAAGGAATTGCGGATATATCTGGGGACTCGTGTAATGGTCGAGACTGTCGCGTAGAGCGATCGCGGCCTCGAATTTGACCTTCGCTTCTACTCGCAGGGCCTTGCTGTTAGTACGTGGGGGACCGCAGACAAGAGGGGCAGTTCTGGAGGCATTGAGAAGGCACGTACCATTGTCAGGAGTGCTGAGCCGCTTCAGTATATCGTCTATCACGTTGCTCGCCATGATTGCGGCATAAGGGTTTCCCAGTCGTGAGGTTGTGCCCCACGCCTGAGTTCCCCGTGAAGAATGGGCAAGAATGCGTCTCTGACTGCAGGTCAAGGCAGGGAGACTGCGCAGCGGAAGAATGGAAGTGAAGAAGCTACGCAACACGCGTTGCCAGCATTAAATGGTATTTTATTGGTCGCAAGAGGGGTATCTCATTGATGAAAATGTGAAAGGAAAAGAAAAGCAGGCAGAGGCCCAGATTTGCGCACACGATGCGCTGCGTGCTTCACCAGGCTCAGGTATGGGAAGGTGCTGTGGAGGCTGCAACACGTCGCAGCCAAAAAAGTCGAGAAAGCGCGAAGCTGGGGGGACGGCTTGCCAAATTCAAAAGGCGCTAGGCGCTGCAAGTATGTTTTTCCATCAAAATGCGTGTGCTAATTGGCCTGTAAGTCAATGCGGGGTCTTTTCTTACAAGGGTAAGGCGCGCGGATTAGACATCTAGCACCTTCATGCTTATCTTATCGATAAGAATCTCCCGGGACTCTGGACCCGGTAGTCAGCGCTTCCAACATCGATTCAACAACTCCCTGCAAGTTCCAGCATTCGATACTGGTGGTTGTTGTCATCATGTGGATCAGTCTTTTCTGATTGATGTCAAACAAAATACTCCAAGTTGAGGTTCAAATGCATTTGCAACATCCCGCTTCTCGCCTAGCACCGCGAACCACAACAAGCGTACGCGTGGACCAGACTGGGCTAAAGGTTGAGAGTATTGCCTCTGGTGGTGTCCTGCAAGACTCAGTGTCATAATCAACATCTTGTCAACACAGAGAAGAGCCAGTGCGAAGATTGGGTGTGGACTTGGGGCAAAGCGAACAGCATTTTGCTACAGCTCTCATGCCTTCTATGCCGTTGGCTTCACTATGCAGGCCAAAACGAGGACCCAACACTAGAAACACTGGGCGTTACCACCGTGGCCTTTCACCAACTCTGGCATTGCCGCACCCCGACTGATTGGAAGTGGCAGTTGTTTTCTACACAGCTCTTGAAGTACTCGCCGGTCTTGATCACTCGCGCACATTATCTTGACTCGCACCATCCGCCCGGCGCGGCCAATAAGCGTTGGGAGATGAGCACTTGTAGCCTTGCCGCTTGCTCGAGGCTCTTACCATAACTCTGACTAACATATACAGCAGTCATAAGTGATGTGATGTCCCCTCAAGCGGCAGGAAGGCAATGCTCTTTATCATCAGGGTGTAATTTTGCATGTCACATGGAGACAGGGAAAGGCTCGCATGAGCATATGATTTGTTAATGCACGTATATGTTCATTGTGTCATTGGCGTCTGCTGTCCAAACAGTCCGACCAACAAGAGCACGATGGCTCCATATGTATCTCCCCGAGAATTCTATACTTTGTTATACACAGAGAAAAAAAAGGTTTGAAGTTGAAAAGAAGCGGTCCCGAGACCAGACCAACTTGCGTCGGTGGCAACGGCTCCCGGGACATGATGATGAAGTTCCCCAAGAATAGAAATGACCAAAATTGACCCTATGAAGATGATGAGAAGAAGAGAAGGTGGCAAAAAAGTAGGCCTCGGCGGGTCATCTAGCCCCGGAAGCGAACTGCGACACGCTTCTTTCTGCCGCTGATGGCTGCAATGTTGATGCTGGAACCCTGGCCCGGCGTGCATGAAGTGCCCGCGGCGAGAGCCATGACTGGTGACCAGGTACCGCTGGCACACTGTTGGTAGGCCTTGCCAAGGCAGAGCCAAGTGCCCTCGGTGCTGCAAGCTGAACCGGCGGCCTGAGCACCAGACACGCCAGAGCTAGAGCCCGAGCCGGATCCAGAACCCGAGCCCGAACCAGTGTTCGAGCCAGAGCCCGAGCCAGAGCCCGAACCAGTGCCGGCGCCAGAGCCAGAGCCAGAGCCAGAGCCAGCACCCGAACCAGAGCCGGAGCCCGAACCGGAGCCAGATCCGGATCCGGATCCGGAGCCGCCAGTAGTAGGGGCAGCAGTGGTCGAAGGGGCGGCAGGAGCTTGAGTAGCACCACCGTCGGAAGGTGCTACAGTGATGAAAACACCGCCAGGAACACCGGTCTTGGAAGGCTTGGAGCCGCCAGCAGCCGCAGTGCTAGTGGGAGCAGAGCCGCCGCTGCCGCTGCCGGAACCAGAGCCGGAACCAGAGCCAGAGCCGCCGGAACCAGAGCCACCGGAGCCGCCGGAACCAGAGCCTCCAGATGCTGCCTGGCAGGATCCAGTGGGCTTGGCAAAGGCCGAAGTAGCACCATTGAGCTTCTGGACGTTCTTGCCGGCCTGGGGAAACAGCAAGTCCGTGCTGTCCACCGTGCCACAGCCGTTGCCAATGTTGGCGACAAACATATCGGGCAGCGAGTCGAGGCTCGACTTGCTACCGCCGCTGCCAGTGAGGGTCACGGGAGCGCAGTTCATGTACATCTCCCGGTTGCCGATCTTGTTGAACCAAGTCCAGGCCAAGACGACATCGCCGGTCGGGATGTCGTTGGGGATGGTGAAGTTGTAAGTGTCGGGGTCCAGGGCGTTGGCGTTGTCGCCCATGTTGCCGGTCTGGCCTCTGGCCGGGCACCCACCCTCGATGGAGTGGATGACCTTCCAGACGCTGTTCTTGGTGGGCTGCTTGTCATAGGTGATGGAAACCTGGCAAGATCCACCGCCGTGGACTGCTGAACCGGTGAACTTCAGGGGCTGTGACGACCCCAGGGCCATGGAGTTCGAGGCGCCTCCGGCAACCAGCTGCTGACCGCCTTGCAGTTGGCAAGGGAAGTCGGTTCCCTTGTCACTCAGAGGTCCATTGTGGAGAACTGGCTGAGCAAAGGGCTTGGGCGTGTTCATCAGCATGTGGGCGTTTGCCAAGGTGGCAAGGCCGCAGGCGGCCACTGTAGTCTTGGAGAAAAACATCTTTGAATGAAGGCAAGATATAGCTCGTTCCAGACGAAGGAATATCAAGAAGTCGATAGTACAGAGGATTCTGTCTTGTGTTTCGAATGGGATGTGCAGTCGTTGCGTTCGTGAGGAGTCGTGATACAGGAGCTCGAAAGAATATATGAGCAACTGAAAGCAGAGTCTCAAGGCTTTATCGTGAAGGAAGGTAATGCACCAGGCGGGTTTGTCAATGGACACTTGAAAGGGCTAGCCTTCTCAAGGAATGAAGGACGCGGCTCGTAGAGTCGTTGAAGGACAGCAGCTGCTGAACGAAAGAGGTAGATGGGGTCGAGTAGGACGGGGCTCCCAGCCAGCTTATATGTTCACGATCTCCAAAAATGAAAAACGAGCGAGTCCCGAAGAGGATGGTCGAAAGCGAATGGAGTTAATGAACGAGATGGAGATGGTGGTAGAAACGAATGGTGTACAACGACTGATTGGACCGTGGAGGTTGTGAAAAGAACGCAACCATCACGCGGAATGCATCTGGGAGTCCACTCAGATATCTAGCTGAGCGCCGTCCAGGGTTCGTCCGGCGCGGGCGTCGTGGCACGGAGCCAGTAGTGCTCAGCCATCATGATCTCCGTCGACATGTCTGAAGCATTGTGGATCTGCTGGAGTCCTCCCACTTCGTAAGGGCAGGGAGGAGCGTGGGCCCTTGTCCGCATGGGTGATGCAGGGCCAGCCAGGTGAAGGCGATGATAGGCTCATCCGAGCCGGTCTGGCGTGTTTCGAACTGGCACGGAAAAGTCGAAACATTTTTTTGGGTGGGCAGGATGAGAGATCTGCCTGATGGGTAGTGCGGTAGAGACGACGCCCTCACTCCACATTCCACAAGAATTCGCCCCAAGACCCCTGACTAGGATCGTTTGGGGCGGCGGGGAATATCAACGTTACCATGCAATGCAAAGGAGGTGAGGGCGCATGCAAGGAACAAGCATGCAGTTTGGAGGAAGGAATATGCATACACCACTCTTAATACACTGTTTCCGTACACATCTCCGCCTACCTTTCACAGTCATCCGACATGGAAGGCCCGATGAGAAGAACATGGGATGAATGAATGGCCCAGGTAGTCCTGAAGATGTCGTGTGCCTTTTCCCGGCAGGATCAACTGTGCAACTTGGGCTGACAGACAGCCTGGACGCCTTGTCAGATCCTGCCGTGAGACGGAGATCTATGTGCGTCCAGATGGCCTGGAGATGTTGTGGGGTTGGCTGCTCGCCGACTGTGCCCTCAATGACGCCGGTGCCTTGCATCCAGCGAAAAGCTTGGCTTTTCGCCAGGGGCGTTTCTGCTAGCGCTGCAAGACCAGAATCGGTGGTCTGGAGAGAAGCAAGGTGAAAACACGACGTGCTGTTCGCCGCCTCTCCTTCAGCTGACGTTGCTTGGGTTGACGGAGGTCTCCAATCAGGCCGCGAGAAGGCCTGGGAACGGGAACTCGCTAAAGCTGGCCACGACCAGTCAGCTTGCATTCCTTGGGTCGGAGGTCGGGTGCTACCCAGTCACGGCGCTGGACTGCCGAGAAGCCCAGAACACGGTGAGCCATCCCTGCTTCGGGTCAGTTGTGGGGCTTCTCCTGCAGGGGTCGCTGGGCGAGAGCCGGTGTTTGCGCTGTGGCTGGACGGCTGCGGGCGGGGTTCCTTAGTGCTTCCTTGGGGTTTCAGGGGTCGACGTCAGGGGCACCACTGCGAGGGCTCGGGGCGGGGCCGTGCCGTCAAGCAGCCCGACGCTTGAGCACCACTAAAATTTCTAAATCTTTCCGCCTGGCAGTCCATTCCTGGGAGAGGCATCCCATGGAAGACCACCGCCACCACCAAGCGCAATCAATGCGCACATACAAGTAGTTACTGCTCCGTACTTACGGAGTACATCGTGGTGTGACGAGTGACGCGCGCAACACCCAGCAATACGATAGGCAGGCCGGTTCTTGATCTGCTGACGTATCCCTTGACCACTCGCGCCGCCGCTTCAGGAGATGGATGGAAGGCAAAGACGATATGCAACAACCCCATCATCCATTCCACATTGCTTTCCTATGCATGGGTCTAGGTACCATCCACACGTCGATCAGCTTCAAAGCTTGCCTGAGTTAGTGATTTCTCCTTGTTCCTACATGGAGTCCTTGCATGTGAATGAACAGGCGGTTCGGGATACTACAGCACGTCGCTTTATTCTTGACACAGATATTGGCTAATGGCAAAAATTCAACCCTGACGGAGTGCCACCTCACGGACCACCCAGGGGCGGCGAATCAACTGCGACAGGGATACGCGATCCGACTCAGGTAGGGAGCGAATGGCCACGAGCGGCCGTCCACACGACCACGATCTCGGAGTGGTGAAACACGGCCTAGTTTCAGGACAGACCCACCAAAAGTGAAGCCCTTTCCCAGAACAGCCCAATTCGACCTCGAGCCACCATCTCCTTACTCTGTCGTGCAGCCTGTCTGTATGGAATCATTGGTGTGCTGAGTCGAGAGACCGTCTGATGTTGCTCAATTCCTGACCAGCACCACCCACACAGTCGGATTCTCTTGTTTCTTGGAATCTCATCCTGTGCCTGTCTAACCTGAAGCTCTGTATGGCTCGGTCGGCGCTACACTAGTCAACGTGGCACCTGTCAACCGTCGGCGTTTATGTGAGAGGCTTCCCTCTCTGCGGCCGCGTCTGATACTTTAATCAGAGATGGAGAGCCGTCTCGTTTAGCAAAGTCTCGCCGCTGAGCTTGTCAAGCGAAGAGGCTCAGCGCCTAGTAAAGACCCACGAACGGCACACGGCAATCCAGGCTCGTCTACGGCCCCTGACTGTGGCTCCAATGTGCATGAATTCTAGAGATGAACAAGAATGCAGGACACGGGATGCGTGGCGCAATATTTTGCAGGGGCCATTTGGCTGGGTGGCACTCGTCATCCACTTCCAGTCCTCAAAGTTGCATCCATCGGCGGCCTCGAATGCCCCAGGAATGCTCTATTCTTGGCTTTGTTGCCTCTTCTTTCCAGATACATCTGTTCTGCGAAATTTCCGGGGAATCGCTAACATAATCAACGACCATCTATGCGGGCTAGCCAGGATTTACATTTATTGCATGGACATTAAGGAATGGCTGCCAATGTCTATTGTTGGTCCAAGTCCTATAAGTGAGCAGCTCAACTGCAGCCACGAGAGCCGCTTCCAGCCGCTTCCAATTTGGAACTTTCCGGGGTACATCATTCGGGATCTTGTATCAACCCTGCACTTTGCATATTGGTATCTCTAAAAAGAAGAACCCGAAAACATCGCAGTACCTTCTAGTCAATGTCTACTATGAGACCCAGCACGGTACACCATGTAACGATACACCTCCGCTGGCGGCACCTTGGCGAACAGGGCCGGGCCTTACCCCATGATACCAAATATCATAAAAAGACGCCACGCAACCAGGCACCTGGGTCCTAGGTAGCCTCACCTTGATTGAGGGAACCAGGATGCTAGTTGCTCCATCCCCGCGCCTCGGTCAGACTCATCCTCCCGATCAAGAAACGACAGTAGCTGGGTCATTTGGGTCGCAGCCTAGAGGTGGCAAAGAAGTTCAGCTTGTTTCAACTTAATAGAGATCCAGGATCAAGGGCTGACATACCATCAAAAACATAGCCTTCCCTGGTCCAGTTGCGCATCTTCTCTCGGCGAAACTCTTCAAAGTCCCATTCCCTGTTCTCCAGACATGCGGCGTCCTTGATTACATAGACCTCGGCGGTGACCTCCTCATCGCTTTCCTCGTTGCCTTCGCCCTTGTCGTTTCCGACCTTGCTCAATACGCGGACCTTGACCCGACGCCGCTCGTACTCGCTGCCTTCGAAGTAGTCCAGCTTGGCCATATTCGCATCCGTGAGCCCCGTCACTACAGTCCCGCGCACAACATGCTCCGGATCCTCGATGATACCTGGGTAGTCGGCATAACGTACACGCCGTCGGCAATATCCGTGCAGGATCGCGGGGCGGAAAGTGTATGCCTCGGTTACGGCCGGTGGTGGCTGGTCCGTGAGGAAACACACCGTGTAAAATACCTCCGAGGCCATCTGATGACTGGTTAATCCTGAAAGCACTGGCAAGTCTCACGGAAACTCAACCCACCAAGGTTCCTGCTCAAGGGTTAGTCGGTCTCGCTGCCACTGCGGGTTGCACATTGCCAACTCGACGCACCATAGAAGAAGGCTGTATGAGAGTTCGTATCTGCCTTGGGAGACATGCTGAAAATCGCGGGTCGCCCTTACAAGATTTATGATATTTTGCGATGCTTCTTCGTTTAATTTCGGCGACAAGTGATGGTGATAACTGGATAACTCCTCGCAGACGTTACAGAGGAGAGCAAGTGACCGATGTAAAGAAGTAGGGTTGATGAGGCTCAACTCCGCCAGATAGAGGTAGCAGACCAGTGACACACACCACCTGAGGGTCCAAGTTAGTCACCGATAATCGGCCGATAAGCAACATTGAACCCAGTGCCGTGCCGACTGGAGCAGCCTCGAAGAGCGATATCGTCTATCTTTCCCTTTTTCGACACTACACATTTGTCAAATTCAGAGAAGAAGGCTTTCCTGCCTGCTTTCATGCATTCCCTTTTCTTAGGTACTTTCAGGAGTATTGCTATATTGCATCGCGTGGTGCAGCTCTGCAAGATAAGCACTCGGAAAACCAGCGACGGAGCCATAGTTGAGAAGGCGGAAAGCACCACATGTTCATGAGATGGTGAGAAGAAAGCTCGTCTTCACGAGGGGGCTCCTGGACCCGGAGGAGATCTGGGTTGATCGGACAGGCTGGAGGGGATGCAGCGAGCACTCATTGGCCAGCAAGCCAGATTTTTAGCGCCGGCCGCACCTTTGGGCGGGCCTTCCCGCAGGGGTTCTCCAGCTCTTTAACGAGTAGGTCTTTTAGTGCAAATACACTCGCATCACAGCGGTCAATCCCACTTGACGAGACCAAGGGTCGTGCTCACTTTATGAGGTACCTAGCTTGGTCATGTCACTGACGTTATTTCAGTCTTTTCATTCATTGCATAGATGCACAGGCATTCATTCATGTAGACAGATGTTCAAGTCTATGGAAATTAGGTATGCTTCTGGCCGTTATCACGGGCGACCCCAAGCTTCAACGAATCAAAAAGCATCTTCTCCTACGACTGGCGCTTAAAACGGTGGATCTAGCTATGAGTGCTACAACGCTGATTGCTCAACTTGGCGCTCACTCAGTGTCCAACGTCCTTTCGATGAAACAGGTTGAACGTGTTCCCGGCCGTGCCATACCAAATGAGGTTATCTTTGGCCAATGTTGGGTTGTGGCGCATGAGGTTGTTGGTTCCAGATTCTACCAAATTCTGTCCGAGCATGAGCAATCCTGTAGTATATAATGTCTTCAACATGGCAGCTTCCAAAGACACTCCGCCCTCCTTCGCCCTTTCTGGCTCCTGTGCCTTGGGTACGTTCTCTCCGTATGGAGTATCACGACATCAAGTTCCGTCCCGGTCAGCAGAGGTTCCAAAGAAAGGACTGATCGACTCGAGCCACTCCCATACCTAGCAGTGGGTGGTCGATTCGCTCATGTCACCGCCAAAGGTTTTGAAAAACCAGGAAATGTCAGCGGAGAAGGAGTTGTTAATGTCGAAAATCGGACAGCCAAGGGTCGGGTGGCTCACCAGCCTTCGACGTCTCTTTGCCATGAGGCAGACCGATGGTGAGCAAGGCCGGACTTGTACGCAAATTCCTGCACCTGCTAAACATTACAAGAGAGGATGGTCGGCTGGAAACCCTTCACGATGAAATCCATTGCACTTTCCGCATTTGGGTTTTCATCGTTAGTGGTTGCAGGCGTATTGGAATTCTTCGCACAGAGAAGCTTGAGACAAGGCGGCCTTGCACTCTCGACAACTGATTCCGACGTTCCCACCTTTGTCACCTTTAGCTACCAGTTCTTACCCACCATCGTTGCCGTATTCTACAGCTTGGCCTGGGCCTGGATAGACTCGGATGTGCGTCGGATGCAGCCATGGCTCGATCTGTCCCGTCCCGGGGGCGCCTCTGGAGACTCAACACTATCAGTCGACTACCCGTTTGAATTTCTGGCCTTTGTGCCCTTTAAAGCATGGAAGAGAAGGTAGACGGCCCCTTCCCGCCGTATATGCCCATGGCCATCCACTCATGTTCTTAGGCATTGGCCAGTTTTCCTCACCGGCACTGCGATGATGGTCATCTTCTGGCTGATAACGCCACTGCAGAGTGCCATTTTTGGCATGAGATCTGTCAAGGTTTCGAAAGTGATCGGTCTGCGCCATGATGTCGGCATGATTCCTCTCCAAGAACAACAAAACCGTATTGATGTCTCCATTTTGAATCTGGCGTATGCGACAACCTGGCTTGGGCAGTCTTTGCCCGCATTCAGCACGCCAGAAGCTTCTTTGCTTCCCTTCCTTCCGGCGGAAGAATTTCAAACTTTTGGAAGTAATTACACATATACTGGGGAGACCGTCGAGTACGCAACAGACTTGCAATGCTGGCCTGCAAAATGGCGTCGGCCATCTGGACAAGAGACCTTCGAGGCGGACAATGGACGCGGGTGCCTTACCAACGTGACTGTACCAACATCGCATGCCGTCAAGGGCGGCGATACCACAGTTCTTCTTTATGTCGGCTGGCATCAGGATGCTCGCTCGGATTGGTGGCTCGCGTCTCCGACATGTGGACCACAAGCATCAAACCAGTTCCTTGCTCTATGGACAAAGCTAGACAACCTCCAGAATGCGACTCTCATATTCTGCGAGACATCTTATGCGAAGCAGACTGTCTCTGCGACTATCTCAGGAAGCTCACACGAACCGCTTGAACGCCTGCCGTCCCCAGTCGGCAACCTGCAAGTGCTTGGGAGCGACAAATTCAACAGCACAGCGTTCGAATATCTCATTGGCACGGGCGTCCCGGACAACTTAAGTCATAAAGGTATTGGGCAAGTGATCTACCTGGACCAGACTGTTCGTCTTGATGCGTATCGCATTGCTTACCCATTCACCAATATGGTCGGCTTTGCTGTTGGATTGTACAAGAACGGGTCTGTCGATGATTTCCAGAACCCAATTGTACTTTCCAAAGCCTTTCGTGATGCCCACAAGGCATTGTTTTCGGTTGCGATATCTCAGCTCATGTCTCCCATCCCTCGCGCTGTGGAGTTCTTAGGCAGCGTTGACGCTGAGCTGTTCGGTGTCGTCGTCAGCAGGCCGATATCCCTGGTTGTGGAGATTCTGCTCGTCGTCGTGGCCATCATTTCAGGATTTCTTCTCTTTCTCTGTTCTGGATATGAGAGCAGTCTCCGCAATGATCCTTCCAGCCTTGGTTCATTACTCGAGATGTTGCGCTCCAGCGAGAGTCTACTTGGGGATTTCACCACGATGGATAGACTCAACGATCACGACCTGGCGGAACAGATATCTCAGAAACAATATCGTTTGGAAAAAGCCACACCTGGCGCCTCAGGACTTATCCCTTGTTCTCAACTACGCAGAGTTGATCAACAACACGAGACGAAATCCGGATATTACTCATCATCGAGTTGGTCATCATACGACTACCAACCAGTTCGACCGAAAGAATTACTTCCCGTGACTGGACTCATTCTCATTACCATACTGATCTCGGCTACGACGTTTCTGATCTATCTCAAACGTCAGGAAGGAATCACAGGTGGTAAGTCGGGTCGTGTCATTATTTCAATTCTGAAGACTAATTGTGACAGGCCTGCCGCGACCTACGGATAGCTTCGAAGTGCTACAGATCCTCGAGAACTACTTGCCCACGATCTTTGCGACTTTCTTGGAGCCTTTTCTGGTACTGCTTACTCGATTGGCATGTGTCTTCCAACCGTTCCACCAGTTGAAGCAAGGCAAGGCGTCCTCGCAGACGACGCTGGACATCTCGTACGAATCGCTCCCGCCTCAGCTCAATGTCTTGAGAGCTCTCAGATCCGGATCATTCTTGCTGGCAGCAATGTGCTGCTTATCGCTGCTTGTCAACATTCTTGCTGTGGGAATGGGTGCGATTTTCAATGAAGCATCCGCGCAGGTCGGATACCCAGCCATGGGACGCCTAGTAAGAGAACCAGCACTCGCCAGGAACACTATCCGCCCGCCCACATACTCTACAAGATACTACGAAGCATTCTATATCCTTCTCGCGAACACGAGTGCCGGGACCAGACTTCCACCGTGGACTGATTCAAAGCATGTTTATTTACCTTACGAATACCCAAACAACCGCGAACAAGATCAATCACTACAATTCCATACCTTGACCCGTGGATTTGGGTTCGATCCAAACTGCTTGCCCCTTTCGATGTCTCAAAACGATCCGGTGCACGCCAATTACTCCTCATACTACTTCATTTCGAGCTTCCGGAACAACCTCTTGGTATCATTCAAGAAAGAGAATGGCGCGGAGCTATTATGCTATTTAGATCCCTACGTCATTGAAGACAACCATGTGCAAGGGCCGGCGTCTGTGGAAATGATTGGCACGCTTCACCCCTTGTCAAACAATGATAGGACCGTAACACAGTCCCTGCCCGATGACGGGTCCTGTGAGGCCAATTTCGTGGCGGTATGGATGAAGGCAAACCAGTCAACACACGGGGGAGACAGCACTACCACAGGGGTACTGTGTCAGCCGGAGCTGAGGACTGCCATGTTCAACTTGACGACAGACCGCGGCGGCTACGTGCTCGACTCGAGGAGAGTGGGAGGGTTTGATGACTTGTCAAAGATGCTCTCGCCCGGGCAGATCCTGAACCTGACGAACGAGGCAATAAGATGGGTAGGAGATCCTGATCGGGTTAATGTCGGCCCAGCCTGGCACAACGACACTTTGTCAAGAGATTGGCTGAACTACCTTGCGAATATCGAACTCAAAAGCACGCGACTGGTGGATCCTCGCGAGCCAGTGGTTGGCATGGAAGACGCATTGGCGGTTACCACGAGGTTCTTTGAACGAACAAGTGCAGCGTTACTTGGCGCCAATTTGGATATGTTCAGAGCCATCAACGACACCTCTCAGCCCGTGGGTGGAGTTGTCGTCAGGAGAGAGATCAGGATATTCATGAACAACCCGGCATTTCTGATTAGCGTGGTCATTCTCGGAATCAACATCATCGCCCTGACAGTGCTGTACGCGAGGGAACGTGAGCCATACCTCCCGAGGATGCCGTCCTCGATCGCATCGACGATCGCTTATGTCGCCGCGGGACGAACAGTTGCCGAGTATAGACGGAAAGGGAAGGATGAACGATCATACGGTACAGAAGACGGCTCAATAGAGAAGATGAGCAGGGAGCCAACCTACAGCTTCGGGCACTTCATTGGGGTGGATGGCAAGCCTCACATTGGGATCGAGGTTGACCCATTCGTCCTGCCGCTCGAAGTGTCCAAACAGAACGAGATGTCTTTTGTTTCGAGGTTTTTTGGGCTGCGACAACGGAAGTCGAGTGACAAAGGCCAACTGGTATCGAATTTAGAGTAATAGCGGTAATAATACAACGTGATTTATGAGGCAGGCTGCCTCGAGAGCTTTGCATAACAAATTGTCACGGTTCTGCTTCCTCCCAAGAGCTTGCCGCCGTTGAGGGATTCCGGGTGTTAGGCGCCCAGATTGATCAGAAAAATGGCCCATCAAACTCCACCCGCCACTACCAAAGTCCCGCCTAATATTTCGACAATGCAAAATATCAGCAGCTTTTCGTTCAGCCAACAGTCATGACTGGACGGGTCGAGACCATACACCTGCGCCCATAATTTTTGAGACTTTTGTTTTATCTCGCCCAATCGCCAAACCCCAAAGGACAAAGCCATGTCTGAAGAGCTAAACGACGAGGTCGAAGCCATCAACTCCATCTACGGAGACGGCTCTCTCGTGCCCTACCCCGCGGACAACAACACCGGCGGCGGCGAATCAGACACCTACATCCTCCAGCTGCCCGGCGAGGACCCGTCCTCCCTCCGCCTGCAGTTCCCGCCGGCCTACCCGGCCGAGCCGCCGTCCGTGCTCGGCACCCACAGCGCCGGCGAGAACGCCCGCCGCGGGGCCGCGGCGCGGGACCTGCGGCTCTTCCGCGACGCCGTCGCCGCCGTCTACCAGCCGGGCCAGGTGTGCCTGTTCGACGCGCTCGAGGAGCTCTCGAGGCAGCTCGAGGCGCTGCAGGAGGCCGCGGCAGCAGCAGAAGACCCAGAGGAGGCGTCTCCGCCACCGTCAGATGCCTACGGTAATGACGACGGCGACGACGGACATGCCGCGGCGGCGGGAGACGACCTCGGCCCGGAGCCGGCGTGGACGCTCTCGGACCCCATCGCCGAGAACAAGTCCGTCTTCCTCGCGCGCGCGGCGCCCGCGTCCTCCCCCGCCGAGGCCGCCCGCTGCGTGGCGCACCTGCTCGCCACGGACCGGCGCGCGCGCGCCGCGACGCACAACATCACGGCGTGGCGCATCCGCTCCTCTTCGTCCTCCTCTGGCGCCACCGCCGCAGCGACGGTCTTCCAGGACTGCGACGACGACGGCGAGACGGCGGCCGGGGGCCGGCTGCTGCACCTGCTGCAGCTCATGGACGCGTGGGGGCTCGTCGTCGTCGTGACGCGGTGGTACGGCGGGCAGAAGCTCGGGCCCAGGCGGTTCGCGCTGATCAACCAGGCCGCGCGGGACGCCGTCGTCAAGGGCGGGTTCGTGGCCGGGGCGGACCCGCCGGCGCAGCAGGGTGGCGGGAAGAAGAAGGGGCATGGGAAGTGAGTTGAGAAGACTGCGCGAGTGCTGCGCAGTGGCACGGTAACGACAATCACGAAACTTTTGTTGCCGGTATGTGTCACGCGAAGAGGTTATGGTCGGCTGCCTTTGGGGGGTGGGGGATCAAAAACGGTTGAACGGAGATTCTTGGGTATTCGCCTACAATGCAAGCCGGATCCTGGTTTTGCCAGCCAGAATCTTTGGGATGGAATACTATACATGCCGAGACCAACGCCTCGCTGCTCGCGTACGAAAGCAACGATTCTTTTCGCCTATGCCTATCGGAAAGACCCCCCAAATGTCGCCTCTCTCACACCCGCCATTTTCATGCACCCAGCTTTCTTCCACTGGCCAAGCCCGAGATGCTACGATATCACTCCAGCAAAATGCAACAACATGGTCCATGAGCAGCTGGATCATGCTCCAAACAGGGGATTCAGCCTCGAACAACAACAACAAAACCAATACCGTCATACCCTGACAACTCCCTCCATCACAAGTTCATGTACCGGTGCTCCTCGGGACAAAGAACCCTCCGCACGCCGCCAGACAGCCCGACCAGCGCCAAGCCGCTCCCGAACCGGGGCGACACAAGGGCCCCCTAGACCTTGTCCTGCAGCGGCCGCAGCACGCCGACGGCGGCCTCGACGCGGTCCTGCGACAGGATGACGGTGCCGGCGCGCGCCGTCGAGAGGTACAGCAGCTCGACCGTGTCGGCGGCCTCCATCTCGCGCACGAGCCTGCCCGCGACGCCCGACACGATCCCCGTCGTCTCGGGCGGCAGGCCGCCGAGGTCCAGGAAGATGGGGACGAGGTCCGTCTCGGTGTCGCCGACGACGGCGTCGCCGAACAGCGGCAGCAGGGCCCGGTCGAGGAGCAGCGAGGGCGGGTCCTCGGCGGACAGCGTCACGGAGAGGAAGGCCGGCTGCGAGGCCAAGGCGGCCACGAGGCACGCGAAGAGCTTGGGGTCGATGTTATCGATCCACGTCGGCTCGGGCCGGCGGTACCCGCCGCCGTTCCCGCCGCCGCCGCCACTTCCCGTATGCGCGCGGCTCAGGCTCGGCCGCAGCGACGAGATCTCGCCGCCGACGTGGTGCATCTCGTGGCCGGAGCAGTGGACGAGGTGCAGGCTCCGCCGGGCCTCGGGCGCGACCGACTGCCTCTTGAGCAGCTCGAACGTGCGGTCCTGCAGGTCGCTGATGGCGGCCGACGCCGAGGACGACGACGGTGGCGTCGAGGGCGCGCTGCTGCCGCCGCCGGCGCCGCCCATCGTCGTCGTCGGGCCGCGGCCCCTCACCGAGGCCATCATGACGGGTGAGGTGAAGGACGAGTCGGCCTCGGAGAAGACGAAGCCGCGCGTGCCGAGCGCCTGGATGACGCTGTCGCGGTTCTTGCGGGGCACGAGGATGAAGTCGCAGAAGTAGGTCGTGATGAAGAAGATGGGGATGCCGGCCAGGGCCAGGGGCGAGGTCAGGTCCACGACGCGGGAGCCGGCGTCTATGCCGGCGCTAACGACACAGAGGGCGATGTAGGGGTGCGGCGAGATGCCGACGGCCCTGCGCAGGTCCGCGGGCAGGGCGGCGTCGAGGAAGGGCCGGAAGACGCGCTCGACCCAGGACTGGTGGCAGACGATGGAGCACTCTATGGGCGTGACGCTGACGTTGAGCAGCACGTGCCTGTGGTCGGCGGTGAGGCCCTGGAAGCCGCCTGCGTTGTCGAGGCCCGCTTCCGAGCTCTCCTGCTGGGGGAGCAGGATGCGGAGAATGGGCTCGAGGAAGACCGAGTACAGGTGGCGGGGTATGTGTATCAGGCTGAACTCTCCGTCCTTGCCGTCGAGCACTCTGTTAGCGTTTTCTTTTTCGAAATAGAGAGCTTGCAACGTTCAGGGGGGGAGGGGAGTGCTAGCTCAGGTTACGATGAATACACCAGGAGAGGACTTCCGCGATCGTGCGCTGGGATAGATAGCTCAAGACCTGGCCGCATATCTACGACGGTGCATGGAATTCCTCCCGAGGCAACGGATGAGACAACTGGAGGGGCGTCTTACCAGGAAGGACACTTGGGCGTTCATGGCGGCTGCTTGCCCACGCAGTCACCCGCTTGCGGCTCGGTGTCAAATTGTGTATCCAGTGGGATGAGGTAAAATAGACAGATATTCCTCAAAGTGCGGTCCCGAGAATCACAGAGGCTTCGACGTAGTCTGAAGCTGGGTAGCGCGACTGGAGTACCTAAATGTTGTGGTGTGGTGATGGTGTGGTGTGGTGGCTGTGGAAAGGAGGGTCGGCTAGGCACCGAAATCCGGGAGAAGGGAGTCCACGCACGCTTCGAAGGCGGCCAAGAGAAGGATAGAGGGGAAATCAGAAACGAAGCCTTCCTCGGCCGAGAACCAACAAAGAGATTATCGTCAAGGTTTGTGCCGGGTAGGAGAGAGGAGGGCGGCGGGGGAGGGAGTATCGTGTGGTGAAGTAAGTAACAAAGACCCTGACTCTCTGTTTTTGGTCAGAGATAAGGTTTGAATGACCAAGCCAATCAACAAAATGGCCAAGAGCCGGGCCCGGGCGTGGTAGGCCGAGAGGGGACACGGAGGACCCGCCGGCTGCACCGGGGTCAAAGCTTCTTCAGTGCAAAGCACCGGCAGAGGTGTATTGATTTCGGGGGGGCCGGTGCCCGGCGGCCCGGGAAGCACAGTGATGATGCAGGCAGTCAAAGGGAAAAAACACTTGAGCACAACAGGCCAGTACTGTGGTTGCCCGCCCACCAGACTAGTGGGAGCAGTAGTGTGTGCAGACAGCAAAGAGCAATGCTCGAATGACTCCCAAGTTTGTTGAAGACAATGATGGGCTTGGTCCCGGATAGAGCACTCCGACTTCGCCCTAGCACTCGAGGAACCACAGAGCAGCAAAGGAGAAACAAGAACAAGGCAGGATTTCGCGCTCTGCGATTGTGAGGATGGATATATGATCAGGTTGGTCAAGAAGGTTTGGTCCGGCTGTGGGCCATGAGCCTATAAGTGGGCAGCTCTGGTTGGCCGGATCGCGAGTCTCCCACCTGGGTATCCCATCCCATCTCTCCAACCCCCCGAAAAGGGGCGGCCGATGCCCTCAAAGAGACTCACATCAGATGCCCGGCTCTGGATCTGACGAAAGCCTGCGATCCCAAGCCCAAGAAACAAACGGTCAAGACAAGCATGAAAAGCAGCTACGGCGCTAGAGGCCTTTGGGACCGTCTTGCATTCGGGTCGGTGGGGACGCGATGCGCGCGTGGGGGATGCCCGTTGAAGCATGAGTGGTTTTGTTGTCCCGTCTCTTGCTTTTTTGGCTTTCGCTCGCAATGCGCCCAATATAAAGGGCAAATTCCCGGGTTGGGGGCGATGCCGAGGCACACACACACACACGCACGCACGCACAGCAGGAAGCACCTCGCTTGCTGCCACCCCTTACCTCACACTTTCGTGGCAGGTTGATGCAAGAGAGAGAGAGAGATGCAGAGCCATGTCATTGACTCTCCTGTTCCATGCTGGAATTACCCGAAAGCCACGCACCATGGAGGGCCAGGATGACGAGCTGAGTGGCATGCTTGGCTTCCATCCATCACGTCGTCTGGTGACCCGGGTTCCTCGCTGGCAGGCGTGGAAGTGCACTTTGGTCTCAGCCATCGTTATGCAGGACTTTCAATTCAGGGCCCGTCCTGTCATCACCCGTCGACTAGGTGTCCAGGGAATAGTGCCACCGCGGGGTTACCATCCCAGTGGTGCCCTGCTAAGAGGGCTAAGAGAGGAGGAGGGAGGGAGGGAGGGAGGGAAGCTAGGGATGTGTCTTAGACACACGACAGCTCCGTTCTCTTGCCGTGCTCTGTCTTTCACCCCCGGCTCGTGCTCTCAACCTTGCAGTGACCACTGTGTGTAACGTATGGCTCGACTGAGAAACCTTGAGGCGTCGCTTCTCATGCACTGCGACTGTCGAGCCCCTTTCATTGCCGCAAAGCAGAGGCAGCTGGACGGGAACCTGTTTGGTGCGATGTGACTCGGTTGACACACGCTAAGCACTGAGGGGGGTGCCGTCGAGATCGCGAGCTGATCAAGTAGGTAAGATCCCGAAGTAGTATCGTTCCAAGTAGCATTGGCATTAGACAGACAGAAAGAGAGATAGGAACCTGGGCAAATAGCTAGCTGGTAAAAGATAGGGTTAGCTGTCGGAAGAATTCACATTAGGTCTGTATGCAGTGGCCCCGATGATCTCAGTGCATCAAGTGTGGAGCAAGCTTGGCGTCAGAACCGCACAAAGAAACAGGGGTCCTCGGCGGGGGTCAGATAGGTAGGGAGGATGAGGAGGATGATGGAGGATGAGGTCTGCTCCGAGATGACAATGGACACCACCTCCTGCTTGCCCTCGAGAGCAAATCAGGACCGGCTCCGACAGGCCCTCTCCCCTCTCTATCCGAAGCATCGAAACCTGCTGGCTCCGGCACGGAATATGATATGTGAGGGGGTTGATCAGCGATTGAGCAGCTGGTGGCCCAACAGCCAACAGCAAGGCTCGTAAGCCGGAGATTGTGTGTGCGACAAAAAGTAACACACCCGCGCATGCATGCAGGCCTGATCCGGGGAAAGGAAGGTTGAGGCTGGAGCTTGGTGCCTCGATCGACAGCTCTTGTTCCTTTTGCTTTTCTGCAGCAGTGGTGCCGATGTGATGCCGGGTATTTTCTCACTCGATGCCATTGACTTTGCTTTTTCTTTAGCCCTCCTTTGCGCTGCCCGCCCTTTGTCTATGGCTGCGGAGACAGACTCACCCGGGATGGATGATTCGTCGCTTGAAGAGATACGCATTGCTTCCTCACTACCTAGGTACCTATGTAGGCCAAGCATGACGAGGACGAGATCCCCCAATCTTAGGACGCATTAGCCTTCTTGACTCGTGTGTGCTCGGTGCTACGGCTTCGGCAAGGCCCCTCCAGATGGCGTTCCCGCGAGTTGACGAGCAGCAAGTGGGCCAGGTGATCTGCCTAGCGCTTCGAAAAAAGCAATTTGAACCCGTTGATGCTCGTCAAATCTCCACTGATAACTGGCAGTGGAGCTTTTGCTCTTTGATACAAGTAGACATCGTGCCATCGTAACGCCGTCCTTATCAGCGTTTTCTACAGGACATCAGAATTACCTAATGAGGTAATGGCCGTGGCAGTCGGTCATGGGTTCGGCTCGCATTGACTCTATCATCTTGGTCTTGGTCTACTTTCTCTCCTTCCTAGCTGTGAGGCCCTCGGCTACTTGGGCTTACCGACGGCGCGTCACAAAAAAAAATGATACATCAGTCTATGATGACGAGAGCGAGTCCATCCTGTGACCCGAAAACATCGTCACTCTGTGGGCGTATGCTGCCAACTCTGCTGGCCCACGAGCTCGCCATGAGGTGAGAGACATCGAAAGCGGACAATGCTCCCGCGCTATCCTCGATCGTTCTGGTGACTCGTCTCATTCTCACTTGCCATTGCATCAGCTCCTCTCCAACATGATGCCCGAGCATATGCCTCTTTGCGCTTTTGCTCGTGTCTCTTCCCTCGGTAGTTCCACGATCTGCCCCGCAATTGACGACCGTTGTCGAGGCTGCATCTCACATAGGTGCATAGATGACATCAGCATGCTAGGCTCTTGCACCAAAGGCGGCTGGAGGGGAGCGAGTTGCCAGAGCTCCTGAGACAGACGAGTCCTGACGCAAGTGCATGCTGTGGGCCAGACATCGTGAGGTGGTGATCCCGTCTCCTGTGCCGTGGGCGCCCCCACGCTTATGCGCTGCTAAGCCGGCAGTAGACGTTTTCTCTGCCGCAGACTACCTGGCTCTGAGAACCTGGCCTCACCGCATGATCCATGTGTCTCACTCAGTAAAGAGCTTGGGCCATTGGGAGCAAGCCAGTGGCCAACCCTGATGCCAGCTTGGGTTCCGTGAGTGACCCGTGTCTTGCTACTTCTTGATGCCAACCACGACGAGGTTGCGAGGGCTGTACTTGTAGTCAAAGACCGTCTCGGCCCAGCAGTCCTGCACCAGGTCCGTGTGCTCCTTGAGGAACAGCCACCGGTCTGCCACGATGAGCGACTCGACCACCCCGGCGCAGAAGGCCATCAGGCTCCAGATCGCCGCGATCTCGTTCTTCCTGTGTCCGTACGCCCGCTCGTACTCGGAGATCTCCTCGTCCGTGATGTCCCCCATCTTCTCCCGGACGACCCGGCTGTACTGGACAAACTCCGAGTTGGACGTCAGCTTCTTGATCGCCCCGCGCACGTACGCGTGGAAGGACGTGTAGCAGCCCTTGCGCAGCGAGCCGATGATGACCGGGTTCGTGCTCGTGTTGAAGGGCGTCGAGCTCCAGTTCCCTTGGTCGTCGGCCTCCTCGCCCTTGTCGTGGTAGATCTTGTTGATGACGCCCTTGTCGAGGAACAGCTTCTGGAGGACGGCGCGGTAGAAGTGCCGCACGAAGAAGCCCTGGCTGTCGCTCTCGGTCCAGTTCTCGGGCGCTTGGCAGGCCATCATGCGCGCCGTGATGTTGAGGCGCACGCCGTCCTTGTACTTGCAGAGGCGCTGGCTCATGGGGAACCCTTGCGGGTCGCGCTTCTCGGATTCCCGAGCGACGCGCCCGTTGATCGCCTGCAAGCTGGGCCGCATGTAAGGGATCTTGTAGGTCGGCGGCCCCAGCTTCTCCGTCATCAGGTTGTAGCAGCATCCGACAATCGCGACCGCGCGGATGTCGGGGTTGAGGACCATGGACCGGATGCCAAAGTGCGAGAGGTTGCCGCAGGAGTGGATGGATATTGCCATCAGGCGCAGGTCTTGCTCTTGCCCGGGCAGGAGGTCTTCCTTGACTTTGCCAATGACGGAAGTCATATCGGCGTTCTCCAGCCTGTCGTGGACGTAGTGTATGTAGCCTTTACCTTGCTCTTGTACGTATGTGAGTTCCAGGTCCTTGATGGGCCGCATATCGGCGGCCGCCACCACCTCCGGGGCAAAGTCCAGGGGCTTGGCAACGCGGTTGAGGGTTCTGTCGCTCATCTTCTCCTTTGGCGTCCTTTGATCGAGCACTTGTTGATAGACCTTCTTGTTCCGCATAGCCTTCTCCTTCTCGGCGAGGCCCGCCAGCAGATCGAGGTTCTTCGCACCAGCAATGTTCTCCTCTCGGCCCTCAACAGCGATGATGTGCTTGTTGTACGGTTCACTCGCCAAGGTCCTGCCGAGGTAGTTTTGCCCGCTTCCAAAGTCAATGAGATGCGTCATCTCCTGGCCGTATGTCGTGGATATGTCCTCCATAAGCCGATCCACATAGCCGGCAAAACTGGTGACCTCGTGGACCTTTTTAATGTTCATCCCAAGCGCCACCTGACGAGGCAGCACTGGCAGTTTTCCCTGCTTTGGAACGAAGGATCTTCTCAGGCTGAGTCTTCGCACATCACGAACGAATGTGACAAGGTCCTCTGGAGGACTTCCCGCACCATCTTTGGTGATTGGGCTGTCCAGGTCGTCTCTCAATAACACATCCAAAAAGTCCATAGGGTTGCAGGCCACCAGAAAGGGCTGCCAGCTCTCGGGGATGATGGTCTTGAAGAGGCCCGGCTCGGTGGTGAAGAAATCCAGAATGTGCACTCCACCACACAGAATCTGGAACATGTCCGTGGTGCTGGTGTATTCCAGGAGAGCCTCGATGTAGTCCTCGACAGACGAGAACTCGTCAGAGTACGGCAGGGGCTTTTCCGGAATCATTTTTGGACCACTGCCAGCCGCGCCGGGCCGGTTGTCGCCAAAGATATACAATTCCTTGAGTTGCTCGTCCTCTCAGATGAAATTTTGGCTTGGTTGGAGTTGAAAGGCTCACAAAATGTGTAAGGCCAGCCGCTGGCCAATCACGGCGGCGATGTGGGTCTCCCGAAGATCGCCGTTTTCCTTGGGTACCTACTTATTTTTTGGCCAACCTCGAACCATGATCCATTTTTGGAGCATCTCCCCATGCTCGACAACTGAAAGTGTATGCGCCAATTGCTCTCCGCGGGATGCGGCTACTGTTGACGGAATAAACGATCGAAGTCTGGACGCGCCATAACCGTGAGGGATACTCACCAGCAATCAGGCACAATGGTAGGTCTCTCTCGGCACGTCCGTCTCGATCAAACAACCAGCTGACTTCTGCTCCCAGGTCTTCATCCTAGGTGTCAACTTCCACGAGCAGAAGCTGGTCAAGGTATGGCCATCTTCCCCATCACTCAACGGTACTAGGTAGACGGCATCTAACCTAGGACCCCCAAACTGCAGAAAGCGCTCGAAAGCTTCTACGCCCTCGGCCCGCAGACCTCGGCCCGCATCCTCGCGAAATACTACATACACCCGCAGGCCAAGGTCGGGTCTCTGGCGCCCAAGACCGTCACGGCGCTCACGGCCGAGCTGTCGACGATGACGATAGAGAACGACGCGCGGAGGATAGTACAGGACAACATCAAGCGGTTGAGGGACATGGGCACCTATAGGGGTAGGCGGCACGCCATGGGCTTGCCGGTGCGCGGCCAGAAGACGAGGAACCAGAACGCGACGCCCAGGAAGCTGAACCAGGTCGAGCGGAGAGGTTAAGAGGAGAATGCATTCTCGAGGCGGGCGTGGATGAAAATATGCGGGCGACGGTGGTGGAGAGAGCAGTCAACAACTGGCCGTGGCTGACATCGGCACGCTCAGCCGATATGCGAAGGACTTGGGCTACCCGAATACGGCAGAGGGATCCAAAGATGATTCAGGCGTTGGCAAAACGATCGAGCCACCCACGTATTTTGTCTATACTAAAGAGTGTACGACTAGCCTACATTGTATAACATTTCAAAGCTCAACCACTTTTCTTTTGGACCCGACGGCATCAATAGGTAGTTGTGCCCTGCTTTTACTGAACGCCGGTCTTCAAGACTCCAAAAGCATCGCCTTCTTGAAACAAAAGATCGGGTAGATCGTCTTCAAGGATCGGTTCTCCGGCCGCCTGCATCTCGAGTGCGACCTTGTCAATCTCCTGCCAGACCCGGAGGATGTTGCCTCCCACAACCTTGGCAGCATCCGCATCGCTGACGCCATTCCTCAAGAGCTCGGCAACGAGGTCTGGGTATTTGGAGACATCCTCCATGCCTCTCGGGACGGTCTGAATGCCATCAAAGTCGCTTCCGATGCCAACATGATCGTAGCCAATCAAGTCGCCAATGTGCATGATGTGCTTGGCTATCTGGGCAAGGGTAGAATGTTCAGGATCGAAGTCCGGCAGGCCGTTCTCGTTGTCGGACTCGGTGCAGGAGATGAAGTCGGGCGCAAAGTTGACCATGACGAGCGAGTTCCTCTTCTTGACCAGCTGCAAGACGTCGTCTGGCACGTTGCGCGGGTGCGGGCACAAGGCATAGGCGCTGCTGTGGCTGTAGATGACGGGGGCCTTGCTGCCGGCCCAGTCCTTGCCGCCGCCGCCGAGCACGTCGATCTGCGTCTCGACGCTGGTGTGCGACAGGTCGATGATCATGCCGAGCCGGTTCATCTCGTTGAGCAGCTCCCTGCCGTCCTCGCTCACCCCGCCCCATTTGGAGGGCGCCTTGCGGAAGGGGTTCTCCCACAGGGCGGCGTCGACGTACTTGTTGGGGCAGTTGTGCGACAGCGTGCAGTAGCGGACGCCTAGGTCGTAGAACCGCCTGAGATTGGCAGCCGAGTTGCCAATTTGATGAAGTCCCTCGATGCCGAGAGGGGAGATGAGCAGCCCCTTCTTGAATGCCGCCAGTGCATCGCTGCTGTTGACCATGGGGGAGAAGACATCTGGGTAGGCCTCCTTGAGCCTTGTCATGACGTCGATCTGTTGGAGGGTCTTCACGACGCCTTGAATATCACCAGAGTATCAGTTTCAAGCGATTCATTCTACGGTGACCCATCCCGGTAGACTCACTCTCTGCCTGGTTCTCTGTAGAGATGTCCTGTCCATCCTTGGGACATTCGATAAAGACGCTCCAAAAGGCGCCGCCGCTCTGTCCGGATCTGAGTCTAGGCAGGTCCAAGTGCATAGGAAGCCCGCCATCTTCGAACAACTTGGGGAATTTGCCCTCACTGATGTGGTTGTTGAAGAGATACCTGATGTAGATGGGGAGATCGATATGGCCATCTGTGACCTTGTTAGAGACGTCCAAGACAGGCTCAATGATTCAATTCGAGGATTCAAAATTCATTACCAATTAGCGGCGTCTCTCGGAGAATCTTGGATGCCCGTTCTTCAACACTGAGGTTCTCGAGAGATGGGCCTCTCCAGGCGGCGGGCATGCATTTCGTGTGTGTATTAGTGAAAAATCCAAGGGCGAGGATGGCTCCAACAGCAATGAGAGCCTTCCCTTTGGTAAAGAAAGAGCTGGAGGGCCGGTTACTGTCTCTTGGCGCGGGTTGGCTCCATTGAGAGCTGGGCTTTTCTGAAGTCATCTTGTTGATATAAGACGTTCAGCGGTCGGCTAGTGGATAGTCTTCTTGTAGAGAGACCCGTTCAACTTCAAAATGATGGCCGATTATCCGTGCATTCAAGATGGCTGGGTCTCCTTGCACATCGTCAAATGGGTTTGTTTAAGCAACAAAGATTAGATAGAAGCTTAATGCAGTCTTTATCTCCAATGCTGACCCCTCTTCAACTTTGAGATAACATTGAGCCAAGTCAGGATGGGCAACTGGCGACGACTTGGACTTTGGTTGACGGAGCTGTCGGAGCTGGCAATACGCCGGGACGTATTACATAATCACAAGCCATCTTTCTCCTCCAGGGCGGGCTGCGTTGCAGACATCGGACGAGCTCCACTACCTCAGACTAGGGCCTGTTCTTTGCGCGTGTCTAACATTCTTTAGCCTTTTGGGGAGACTTTGAGGGGAACCATAGGACTGATTCAGGGGTCAAAACCGGCCGTTGCAGCGCTGCCGGTAACTAGCTGGAGCCCCAGTACTGGCTTGGCTCCAGTGGTTCTCAGCCGTGCTGCGCTAACAAACGCGGAAAGGCAACCAGGCTGCCTCTATGAAACCGCAAACACGGGGGCGCCTGTCGTCATTAGGCCAATGACATGCCCAGCCACACGTCCGTGCAGAGCTGGCCCCCGGAGACTCCATCACCATCCACCAGCCCAGCGAGCTTCACCAGCGAGACGAACCTGGTCATTTTCCAGGTCCACCGAGAGTGCATCAGCCACGCTGTAGCGAATTCCTTTTCTCGTATCAATAATTTTCTCCAGTTCCTGCTTTGGGACGGCTCCGTCATCGAGCTCCCTCCACCGTAACATTCAATCGTTCAACCCTCGTTGCGCTCTGCGTCGTCTTCGCAGTGCTCCCAACTCGCCCCCTACGCAATCCTGCCGCCTCCCTCTTTGATACCCGCGAGCCACTGCTTGAACGACGGGGTCGCCATCAAGCCTGTGAGACTCGGCTTCAATCCGTTCTTTGTACAGACGAGTGAGACACAAAGTGTCTTCAGCACACGACCCGGCGCAAACGAAGTCCCCTTCAAACCGAACCCAAACTCCCGTTTGCCAGGAGCTCGTCTGGAGCATAGCTGTCCACCATGCCTGGTTTCTCGGAATCCTTCTGGTCGAGCGACTACGCCGCAGGTACGCAGCAGCAAATGCCGCAGGCCCAACCCGATGCTAGATACTGACTGCGATCAGGACTGGGTGTCCTCTTCGGCAAGCTCCAGCAGGGCGTGATCGAGAATCGCCAAATCATGACCATTGCCCGGATGCGCGCAGAGGCCGAGGAGACATATGGCCAGAGGCTGGCCGATATCCCTGTGGCAGTCGACAAGGTGCAAGGCGGATTCTCCAGAGATGACGGTGCTAGTGTGCGCAAGGTATGGATTATCGTCGCGTGGTTGGGGGAGTTGACGGGTTAAGGTGCTAATTAGAACCACAGGCTTACGAGGGTGTCCGCACAGAGATGGAGGAGGCCGCCAAGAACCATCGCAAGATCGCGCAAAACATTCGAGATCTCGTCGTCAACCCTTTCTCGCGATGGTGCGAAGCGCACGAGGCCCGGATCCAAGACTCCCAGGACGAGCTGCAGTCTCGGATCAAGACGCATGATCGCCAAGCGGAGAACGTCAAGAAGCTGCGCAGCAACTACTTCAACAAATGCCGCCTTCTAGAGGACCTCGAGGAGGAGAACAAACTCGCGTTCCAAGACCCCGAAACTAGCCCCAAGCAGAACATCCCCGAGATCAAGGTGCAATCCCACAAGGAGGACGAGTTAGACGATGACGACGAGCCTATTGAGATCGGTGACGAAGTCTACCAGCCCGAACAAGTCAAGAAGATCCTTGCGCACATGCTCAACAACATCAAGACCGGGGAGACCAAGGTTCCCATTCTAGGAACATACCTGAACACCTCGGCCGGTTCGGATATCGTCGAGTACATTCAGAAGCACATGAACACCAGCAGCGTCAGCTATGCTGAACGCATCGGCCAGGATCTGGTGAGCAACGGGTTTCTGCGACTGGTCGGCAACGTTGGCAACACGTTCGCAAACTCGTCCAAGCTGTTCTATCAGTGGCGTCCCAAGGCTTTCCAACTGTCCGGAGTTCCGGAGAAGAAGGCGCCGCTTTCAAGAACTTTCTCGCTCCCGGCCGGTGCGTCCGATGTTGCCGACTCCCCTGTGGTTGGCACAGTCAGTGAATATCTGGAGAAGTGGAACGTGCTCAATACTGCCCATCCGAACGAGACTCCTTCGGAGCGCATGCGCAGAGAGGCACGAGAGTCTGACGACAAATACAAAGCCGGCGTGCGCAAACTGGACGAGCTGCGCATGGAGCTCGAAGAGGCCATCTTTGCTCACCTCAAATTCTTGGAGAGGTGTGAGCTCGACAGGCTCAAGGCCATCAAGACCGTCATCTTGGACTTCTCGGGCACCATCAGCAACGTCATCCCTAGCCTCCAGTCAACCGTCGATAACATGATGCTGTTCCAAGAGACAGTGCAGCCTCTTGGCGACTTGCGCTATCTTCTCGAGAATTACCGGACGGGCAGCTTTGTCCCGCGAGTCGTGACCTACGAGAATTACTACAACCAAGTTGATGACCAGATCTTTGGTGTTGATCTCGAGGCGCGCGCTAGAGCCGACAAGAAGCGAGTCCCCATCATTATCACTACTATCTTGACCTACCTGGATCATCATTACCCTGACCTGGAAGGCGACGAGGCCAGGCGTGGGGTCTGGCTCGTCGATGTCCCGTTGGCACAGACGCACAACTTGCGCCACAAGGTCAACAACGTCAAAGGCTTCTCGGCGGAGATATTCTCCGAATACGACATCCCTACTGTTGCAAGTTTGCTCAAGCTTTACTTGCTCGAGCTTCCGGGTGAGTAATATATTGTGGTACGGAACGACACGCTGTAACTGACCATCCACCTTGTTAGACTCTCTCGTCTCCTCACATGTCTATGAAATCATCCGAACCATCTACCAGACCCCGGCGGCGGACAGCACTGATTCTGCGCGCGTGCTGGTGCTCCAGCAGACCCTCTCTCAGCTCCGACTTACGAACATCGCCACCTTGGACGCCTGCATGAACCACTTCACCCGGCTGATCGAGCTCACCTCGGCAGACGAGGCCTACGTCGCCTCCCTGGCCACCGTCCTGGCGCCGTGCATCCTGCGGCCGCGCACGGAAACGTCCCTGACCATGGAAGAGAAGACGGCCTACCGCCTCCTGCGCGACCTCCTGGCCAACAAGGACGCCATCTTCAGCGAGCTGAAGCGCATGTCCACCCTGTCGCACTCGAGCTCCGTCGGCGGGGGCGGCGGCAGCAACCGGCCGCGCGCCATCTCGACCGACGAGAGCAACCGCAAGGCCAACATGGAGGAGCGCACCCGCGCCATCCTGGAGAAGGCCTCGGGCTCGCGCAGCCGCGCCACGTCGCCGGCCCCGAGCCCGCGGGGCGCCGGCCACCGCCGCGACCGGAGCATCGGCGGGCCCGAGACGAGGTTCCCCGTCGCGACGGGGTCCCCGACGGCGACGGCGGAGAGGGGCTCGCGCCAGAGCCTCGGGCCCGTCGTCCCCAAGCGCGCGAGCCTCGAGGTCCCCGACGGCGCGTCTTCTACCCCGACCGCGGCGGCGGCGGCGGCGACGCAGCAGGCAGCCGACGGCGCCAACGGCGTGGCTCCGGGGGAGTCCTTCGCCAGCCGGGCGGCCGAGGCGGCGGGCGAGACGCCCTCGAAGCGGGACTCGCTCAAGAGGAATAGCGCCCGGTTCGCGGGGGGCCGGCGCATCCCCATAGCACAGCCGGCGGCGGGCGACCATGCTCACCAGCAGCATGGGGTCACGCTTGTCGATGCCCCGATGGACGATTAATGATGGGCCTAAGCTAGCGTTTTTGTTGTTGAAAACCCTTGGTGTTCTTGTTTGATCAGTGACCATGATGATTGGGCCGTGGGAGGGGCGAGCCGGTGTATGGATGGATGAGCACCTGGGCGGACGGAAAAGAAGTTTTTTATGACGAACCCTTTTCATTTGTTCTAATCATGTTGTACCAAGAGAATATAAGGCATTTATGACTGGTCGCGTATCTCGTATTCCTGAGCTGCTTCTGCATCGGCAGCTGAAGCCGCAGTAGTTGACCACGAGGCCGGGCGGCGTTCGAGATTGCATCTGTTCGGGCTGCTGTTGTCAGCCGTGCGAACCTAGGGGCACCTGCAGGATCAATTTTCGAAGAAGCAATCTCTACCCATACTGCCTTGTATTGAACCCTCTATAGACCGACTGTTTTGTCTATTCTGTTGTGTTTGATTGTAATGATTGTAAAACCCGTTCCCCAAGACCCTCCGTAAACACCAGCCTTGCCATGATGAGATGGCTTTGTATCAGAAAGTCTGTTGAAGACCCAAAGACCACATTAGGTAGGCCTTGCTCGAAAGCTCCGAGCTCCCCTCGTCGAAATGCAAGCGCCCTGTTCCGTCTTCGAATGCGCGTAGCCACCTAGCCGGGACCTGTGCGTCGTGTTGGTTGCCAGCCACCGCGGGGTGCCGCGTCCGAGGACCTATTTACCAGAAGATGATCCCCCCGAGGAGCCAGTCGATCCGTTTCGCTGGTGCGAGCCATTCTTCGTCTCCTTGTGCTGAGTGTGACTATCCTTGTTGTCTCCCTTGCGTGTTTTGCTTCGTTCGGAGCCATAATGGCGTCGGTAGTCCTCATCACTGGAAATCCCGGGTCATTTAGACACGACTTCGTGGGCTTGCCAACGCGGTTTCCCACGCGAGGCCAAGAGCTTACCTGGAACAGCTCAAGCAACTCCCCATCTTTGCTGTTGCAGATCGTTATTTGTGATATTTGCTTCCAAGCGCTCAGGAATTTTCGCCGACGTGATCTTTCGGGTGCCTCAAGCGAATCAGGCTGGAAGTTGACCCTTCCAAATGCGAGAGACGTGCACTGCACCCGCTGAGAAGAACGCCCTCTGTGACGGTGCGTCCACCAGCCCCTTTCTGTCCTAGATTTTCTCCAGCACACACACATACACACACGCACACATGGTGCGGATTATGCGAGTGTACCTAGGGCATGGAAAACTCGATGCGGCCTCTCAGCCAGCCAGTGCACAGGGCGGCACCTCTCCCATATGCGACTGGCTGGGCGCACTCAGGTTCCAGGAGGTCTTGAGATGCCGAGTGAGATGCCAGAATGTCCCGCCATAGTACCTCCTTGGTGTTGTCGACCCAGCCAACGGCGCGAAAACCACGGAAGGGCTCCATCCCCCGGTCCGTCTGTCTCAAGCCGCCCATCGAGAATCCCTCGGTGGCTTTTTTCTACCAATTCTGAGAAGGTTGACATCGGTCGCAACGAGAAGGACACCGGACCGTTGACTGCTGTGGAACAGCGGATCAAAGTACCATCCTCCCAACCCCGGCCTCAACCCCTGCTCGGGCGTTTTTGGCTGACGTTTGTTCGATTGGACACAGTCGCGTGGCCTGAGCTATGCCATTTTTGTTCCGAACCCGGTTCCGAAACATGGGCTCCTGGTGCGATCATGGCCAGACAATCCGCTTGGAGTAAAATCATGTCCGTCCAGAAGCATTCAAAATCGGACTGTAACATGGTGAGAAAGCCTGTAGTCTCAAGCCAGGACCATATGAGGGACAGCGGTGGGGCCACACTGATATCAGCAATGATAATCACATGCCATCGCCCATCGAGACGCTTGTCACAGCGGCGCACATATCTCAGTAGCCGCAGCTGCCGAAGAAACCGCTCTGAAACCCCTTTGGTACAACAAGGCCGGTCTGCAATGGTGCAATTTGTGCAACTCGCATCCCGTGCGTGGCAGAAGCACCTGCATGACGGGCGGGCGGATAAAGATGGGGGTTTGTTGGGGTGTTGCGGGGGGATTCCACGCGCGATTGGTATGAGAAGAGTTGTCATCTCGCGAAGCCTGAGCAATGGAGATTCCGGCCCAACCCGCATGAGGAAGCTCAGTGCACTTGCTAAAAGGACCACTTGGCCTGAACGCAACACCAGGAGATAGCCATCCATCCACCCTCGGAGAGTTTGTTCCCTGGTCTACCCAGGCGAGAAAGCCTGCATATGAAGTCGTGGGATGGTTGCAGCTCGCAATCCGGAAAGCAAGGGGTAACTTGAGCATGGCAAATACCCTAGTCCTCCATGTGTATGGCGACCACTGTACTTGATACGAACAGTCGACGATTGTGCTTCTGTTTCTCGTGATGGGCTCCAGATATCGCAGGAGGCGTGTCCATGGTGTGTTCTTCGAGGGCGATGTCTTTCATGGATAGCGATCTGTCATCTGCGTCAGGGAAAGGCAATGGTCCATCGAGCAGCGACAGTTCCGATGAGAATATTCCCAGTCAAGTCTCCAGTTTGCATCGACCGCTTCGTCGTGGCAGATGGCAGGGAGACGAGGCACCGGCGTAGGCGGAGTGGGTACAACAACTGGTTCGAAATGAAATGGTGTGTGCGCAGAGAAGTAGGAGAACCTATTTGACTGCAGTGGGAACAACGTGTGAGATGGTAATACCAAAGTATTTATGAATCCAGCGACGGATAGATGGTAGTGATGATGCTGAAGAGAAGTTGGAAAGGAGACGTTTGACGAGAGAAAGGCTGGCGAGTCGATGAAGGGTGCTCACCGCTCTAATGTATCTCTCCTGCCTGCCGCTGGAATTTGTTGTAGGAGCGGTAGGTGCGACCTAGGCATATAAGGCAGCCCTGGTGCACAAATGTCGTAATGCAGACTCATCCCACGAATAGCATCCAAGGCCTAGGATGTGCCGTGTTCAAGCTGACGAGTTAGAAACATGTGCATCTTCACTGCCAGGGTGGCGCATACGGTATTATCTCGGCCCAAGAAAAGGGGGTTTGCTTCAGCCCAGCGCTCTCGTTCACACATCCCTTCATCTTCATCGGGGGGCTGCAGCAAGAACTTAGCCATAACATTCCATTCCATTCCCCTTCACTGCTGAATAGTGAAGCATTCTTGTCGTCCTCGTCGATTTCCAGTGTCGAAGACTGCTCCAGTCAATTCAAGGACTCCATTTGCTTGTCTGGCCGTGCCAAACCACGCCCCGTCTCGCCCTGTTTGCGTGCATACGAGCTGCCGTAAATCCCTCCCTGAAAAGCTGCGAGTACCAATACTCGGATGAATCCATTTTCTCGAGCTTCACGGCCCTTGTGACCACCATGCAGCATAGTGCCGAGTCTTATTCAGCTGAGACTCTAGCAATGCATTGAAAGTCCAAGTTAACACTTCATTCTCAAATGTCTATCGTTTTGTGGTCAAGGAGCTACGAGCCCGATAGTTTGCAGACCAGGATAAACCGCATCTCCTGCAGTTCGGACACTTGGGAACGATGGGAGTTGCGGCTCATCCACGAACCTCGATCGTCTACCATCGTACAAGAACCTATCCAGGAATATAACTACGAATGGCAATACTGAGGATTGTTGGTGTTGAGAAGAAAAATATCCTGGGATAGAGCTGTGTCGTGTCAAAATAGGGGCCCTTCTGCCTCCCCTCGAGGGGGGACAGGTTGTGCCAAATCTACGAGCACCATCACAATGATCGGGCACCACCCACCCATTCTCCATCAAGGAACAATTAAAGCAGGCAACCGACGAGTATTTGATATCGCTTGGCACCAATAACTTGGAGTGACATGTTCGAAACACAGCCTGGAGAGCTGCTTCTGGGTTCATGGTGAATACAGAAAAGGGGCCAGCGAGTCGAGGCCAGCTTCTACCTACTCCCTCCTAGATACAATGCCACTGAAGAGCCTCCATCTCTTGAGGCCTTCCGTCTAAATGCCTTCACCGCCTCCGTCATGAAGATTTGATCGCCGCGTTGGGCCACAATGCCCACACCCTTTCCTCCAGCCCAGTGAAGCACTGCCTCGCTTTCTCGTAGAGCCTTGCGACCATCAAGATCGAATTATGTGGTGACTCAGTTTCGATAACCCAATAGCAGAGTACCCTCGAGTCTGGGGCTTCGGTCCCAGCGTGGCGCCATGCCATGTGCATTGCAGTTGGTGATGTCGTGCATACGACAAGACGGGCCGCCCCCACCCCCCCGTACTCTGAATGGTCTAGAGAAATTCATGCTGCATCACTTGATGCTATTCAAAGTATCCTCTGCCGCCAACTCAGACTCGGAAGTAGAAAGGACTCGGTGTAGCCCATCACATCGGAGATCGGCACACCCTTTGCCAGAGGCTACCCCGCCAACACTTCCATCGTGAACCGCATCAACGAGGCCCTCAATTCGGACCAAGTTGGGCATCGCCACTTCCGTCGATTTCCTGCCTTGCAGACTTCTCTGTAACATGGCGGTGAAGACACGAAGATGACTCGACGGGTATTCTATAAGAAGGGCGGTTGGTTTGCGACTTGGAGGAGGGTTCTGTGACCAGCCGGATGACGAGATCAGGAGTAGCCGCAGAACACCATGGCAGGCCAGCCAGACAATAGCACTACTTTTGGGAAGGGATCAGTTCCCAGCAAGGCCGGGAAGTCTTGTCCTCGCCCAGACATCGAATCAGGTCCTTCCGCCTCTGCCGCCAGGGGTAAGTGCACGACCAGACCCCTATCCATTTGAGAACAACAGCAACAGATCTCACAGCAATTGCCAGGCTTAGATGACCACGAGCAACGTGAGAAGAAGTACCCATTCGAGTACGATGATGACTGTAAGGAAACTAGCCCACGTACAATGGGGGTACAGCAGACTCACGAATAGCAGTGGACAAACTTCAACAGATGCCGGGTGGCTGGAAGAAGCATGCTTTAGAGCAATGCGTTTACAGCGACCAGCGATTCCACCGAAGATTCGGTAGCTTGACACGCTTGTTGATCATATACTTGGAGATCCATGTCGGACGTTGGGAAGACATCATATCGCAGAAAATCGAGGCAAGCCTCGACGATAAATTCTTCAAGCCGCTTGACTTGGACTTGGACGAGAAGAAGGGCGACCACGTCGCAGCCTTCAAGCAATCCTTCGATCCATTTGTGCATGAAGTCTTCAATGTCATGAAGCTCTATGGTGATATTTTTGCGTCTTCCAGGTCTTTTGAAAGGGAGTGCCGCTGACAAACAGTGACAGAGCAAATCGTGTCCATGGACGTTAAAAATGCACACTACCATCGAGCATCTCTGTCCGTACACGCCGGTGTATACAGAGGGCTGAGAGACGAGCACGGCTTCTCCAAGGAGGAATGCGCATTCATGGAACGTGCCGATGACTTCGTGTACACCAAATGGGGCCACATCGAGGCATTCGCAGACGTGGTGATTCGTGATTGTCCCAAGTTGGTTCAGCGCGTAAGTCTCTCAGACCGTCCCGCATATAAGCACGCAATTCGTGGGACAAACAGCTACTGACCAATGCATGGGGAACTCAAGTGGCCGTTCTTCTATACAAGTCCGGACGGCAATGGCTCAGTGCAGAAGAGCAGAGTCATGGCGTTCTGCAGTTTCTTGATCGTCCTGGCCGAATTGATCGTTACTTTGCTCCCTATCGGATTCCTGTACCTCATACCTATGTCCAAGGCTGGCAGATGGGTTCTGGTGCTGGTCTCCGCTTTCATCTTCATGCCCCTGATCTCCTGCCTCCCCTGGGTGAGCCCCATGGCTGCGTTGGTCTGGCTCCTGGCATTCATGGCCCTGATGGTTGCATTTCTGGCTCAATTTCCGAACAATTGATTACGTTTAAGATTTCGAGTTGATTTCAGGCCAACAGATCTCCATATTCGTTGTTGTTTTGTTTCTGTGGTTGGTATGGATTTCTTTCGTTGATGTTGTTTCCCATATCGTCGCTTTTAGGTTGATTGGATGTTCAGGGGGTCCCTGAGCTTGCTGTTGCGCTGGCAGTTGAAAGGAAGCTCTAGCAGTTGATCATACAAGAACGAGCCGAGGAAATGGACGCTATTAGGGGCGTAATAAGACCCAAGGGATGTTGGGGATCTTGACTTGACGCGCTGTTGCACACGTTTGGTTGAAAAGTCTACACCTACTGTTTACCCCTTTTCGTACAGATTGAGTCAAGAGAATCAGTGATCTGCCCTCTGACATTCCTTCGTGGATGGTCATCTTTGTCCTCGGAGCCCAGCGCTGTTATTTCTCAACAGTGTTGCTCATTGATTAAGAGCCTCGTCGCCCCGTTGATCAAATGCGCTCACACTCCATGAGAGGACCGAACTCCTTCAAAGCTCAAGACCAACACTTGATTGTTTCCAAATGAAAAGATCGCGGCATTTTCTTCATCTAGCACTGCTCCTTCGGTCGCCATCCTTGCGAAGCGAATGCCTCGAGACTAAGTCATGTCATACGGCAACAAGATAAGCCTTGTCAGCTTGGTGCCGTGATAGGTTCGACTTCACAGTGTTCAACACAAGATATGTCTTCATGTATGATCTTAACCGTCCATTCTCTAGTGACGGCTTGATCACACGGATGAAAAAGATGCATCTAAATGGGAGTGACATTGATACACCGAAAAGTAACTAGATCGTAAAACCGAGCAAGCCTACTTAGAACAACTTCGTGGACGGGGGATTTGGATCTCAAGCAAAGGCGTCGCTATATCGAAGAGCGTGTCCAACAGGTTCCAATAAACATCGTAAGAAAAGTAAACATGCATGTCAACTATGAAGAAACACCAAAACTATTGCCACACTGGGCTGTCCGCAATCCCTGTCTATTCTTGTAATAGGCCCCTGTAGGGTAGCCGCATCGGCGCACTCCATGTCTCCACTGTGCTGAATACCCCGGGAATCTTTTTTCTGAATCAGCGGGAGGCCCCCAGCTATACCCGATCTTGCTCTTGTTTGAGTGACGAGTATAGAATTGACTTCCAGTATAGTCGCTTGTATTCATTCGTCGGTCATGGCAGCTCACAGTTGACTGATTGGACAAGTGCAGTCATTTCTGAAGCTGGTTCAGGAAGGGTGACATGATAGCCATGTAGCCGAGAATGCATACCAGTCGTTGCTGGAACGTGAGTCTGGGTAGAAAGTACACAGCAATCGTCACAACGCCATAAGAAACGAAAACAACGGCTAGACTCAGCCCTCTGGAAGTCGACGCGAGGAAGAGAAGACTAATGGGCAGTAGCATGACGGCCAGCAGCAGCAGGATGGTGCCTGTTCGAAGCCAGGACGAAACTGTGCTCCTTCTCACGTATTGAATACCATCTGGAGATTGCTGCGCCCCCTAGAGATTGGTACATTGTACATAGTCAGCAAGGCGACTTCACAAGTTTCATGCTAGATCAAGACAAGGGACACGTACTCTTGTCAAGAACCAAGGTCGTTTCTTGAACAGCCAGTCGATGAGGGCGTCAACATGGTCCTTGTAGAGCTCAACAATGTCACCATTCCTCCTCATCGACGCCAAGAACTCATCGCGCATCCCGAGATATCGATAATAACATCTGAAGTGCTCAAGATCATCGTCCGGAACAGCGGGTAGATCATGGAACTCTCGGTCCATGTTAAGCAATTGGCCTATCACGAGGATGAGTCGAACGCACACAGCTCATTTTGGGTGGTTCAGAAAGGTAATACGTACGATATGTAAGCATGTCTTTGGCTCCAGTCTCGATGTCAGCGTCATATATATCGCGAAGAGGCTTTGCCTTGTCAGCGCCCACACCTTCGGTTGGGCCAAAGGTGCTAGGCGATTAATTCGAGGCTCGTCGTTGTTGTAGTAACTCCTCGATCTTTTGTAGATCCTTTTCGTCCCGGACTCCTAACTTGGCTTGGTAGTATATGATATAGCCCTGTCTCAGTTCGCTGAACCGTGGTCGTACACGCGAATTAACGTAGAGACATTGTTCGGAGGCAAGTTTGAGTAACCCTGGGGGCATTCTGCCCACAGTGTCGGCTGGACGTTACGGTCAGTTTTGTCATCTGATTGTCTCCTGAAGGGCAGCATACTATCTTGACGTTGAATCGAAGGGGGCCCCTCGAAGTCAGCCGTGGACCTGACGTCTGGTTCCAGTGAGCTTTCCCAGTTCAAGTCATATGGGATGAGGGGACGATCGAGAGAACCTCACCTTCCGTTGGCGCCGTGCCGCGTTCTTCCAAGTCCGAAGGCTGAGATCGATTTCGGCCAGTCCTCTTGCGAGGGAGCCAAAAATGGCTGCTGGTATTGCCCATGCTGGTTGCGTTGTCTCCGGAAGCTTCTCCCGGGCCGATCCATATTCTCCATCACAAGAAGGCGAACATCCTTCGCTTTAATACACGTCAACGATACAGACACTGACCGCTTTTTCGGCCAGCGAGGAGGAAAGGCAACAGCCTGAAGAGCGCAAGGCTCCGTCCTCCATCACCAGAAAAGTCAATAATGCTCTGAGCCGTGTTGTTAGTGGGGCTATGGCCATTTTGAAGGGGTGTGTTGGTTGCTGATCTGATGGGTTGGGCATACTTGTATTCGGCCTCCTCGATGCGCTGGCACGTAGAACCACTGCGAATAGCATCCAAATGTGACTCAAAAGAGATCAACAATCCATTCGCAGCGATGGAGGTGGGGAAGCAAGATTCGGTATGCAAGCACAGCGCCTCCGTGACGTGCAGCTAATCTAGCACGATCAACTCGGCCCCCGCAACACCCCGGCTGAGATGATCGAGTGGTTGCATCAGGAGCAGAATGGAGCCCGGAGGATAAGGAAACAAATCACAGCGTCGTGAGCGGGAGGCCGAGACTAGAAGCGAAGTAGGTGGGATCATTTTCGCCTAACGTCGTTGATCGAGTCTTGTCAGTAGAAGGCGGTGAAGGAGGCTTCGGAGAACATGTACTCTTGTGAATCTAGTCACTTTGCCTTGTATCTTCAAGGACCTACAAGAACCTCTCAGTAGATACGCTGGGTAAATTTGGTGCTCACCCCCAAACAAGTCCAGGCTCTCAAGGAGTCCATTGAAGGAATGTGGATGATGATTCTGGGCCGTTCTACTGAGCAATGGCAGTGACGACGGAGAGAATTTTCACACGTAGAACAATATTCAAGGCAATGAACCTTTACTCTGCGCCTCGTGGGGAAGGTAGAGTCAATGCATGCCCGCCTCGACTGAACCGCCCGATGATCAAGCACACGTATGTCCTCAATGCTACATTGTACTCTGCAGATTCAGTTGGGCGTCTCTCGAATAGCTTCTGGTTCGATTCGTCAACGAGGCCGTCCATAGCAACAGCAGCAGCAGCAGCCTGACTACCTCAGAAGAGTCATCGTCGCCAGCAGGACATCGTGGGAGGATCACGTCGAAGCTCGATGGATAGTTCTTGACTAAAGTCGATAAGGAGTTCATGACCAGTCTACCACAATATATCGCAACGTAAACAGGTCCATTGTAAACAGTAGTGAGACTAAGACGCAGGTTCGATGCTATCGGGGCGTACAACGCTTTGATCGACCGGAGGAGGATGGTTTGATTGTAAGAGTGTGGGTTCTGCCCATCGTGAACCGGCAAGATGGTTAAATCAGGTACAAGCAGGAGCTCGAGGTGGATTAGCGTGGTATGTTATGCAGTGGTGATTTTTGGAAGAGAGAGAGAGTAGGTAGTCTTTGTAAACACTGATGATCGCGTTGCCTGGTTATCGAGTCTTTGAGGAATCTATTCGAGCTGCCATCTTCGCTCCACACCGAAGAACACGCTCTCCTTCGTGTCGACGCGATCTCTCCTTACCTTCCCTTGAAGCCTGGGCACCTTCCGGCAACATGCGTGACCCAACCCCTATCGCAGAGGGCTGCACCAGACCAAAGAGGTGTCAGGGTAAGATCACTGAGGACGACGCTTGAAGCGCAGCGTTGGCCAGGTCAAAGGGATGCAATCTTTATCGAGGTGCAATTTCAGACGAGGGAACTGCATTAGGATCGAGGAAAGAGCTGAGTGGAAGTAGATTCGGATTCGACACCTCGAGCCGGATGCCACCCCCAGGGGAACGAGAGGGGATCTAGCTAGTGATGACGAAGCACTCTTTCAGCCAGCTGGATTACCTCGGAACATTGAATGAAGGATCCATTGAAGTTCGGCAGAGGACTGCAATCTGCAGATTCCGATGCATGGGACCTCAAGCTCGACAAGGAGACATCATAGGAAAACTGAGATGTCAGGGATGCGAATGGTAAAGGTCATTGAGGAGCGCCTCGCACACTCCCATCCAGCACTTCCACCTCAGTGTCATAATCATCCGCGGTAGCCCCGGACCAGCGGCGCCAGCTACCAGGTCTGCAGGCGGTAACTGGCCAGCCATATTACTAACAGGGCCAGAGCTTATATGCTCCATCAGGAGGTGGAGGATGGAGGACCAACTGCTCCTTGAGGAGGGAAGTCCGCTCTTGGATGGGTGGAGTATGGTCATGTAGGTGATACCCTGTGCTTGATGAGACTTCTAGGTATCATTGGCTACTGTAGGGGTGACGCCGGGAGCGCCTCGCAGCTGGGATGCAGCCGAGGATTATTGGATGGTGTTGTGCGACGAATTGGGACGAGGCTTGTCATGGTGCCCGATGTACCCCATATTTCCCCTCGAGGCTTGATTCACCGCGCTTCATACTCCGTATCTATAAAACTCGGCACTCCCTCCTCGACATGCTGCCCCAACCCTCATCTGTCAAGCATCAGCATGACCACTACGCGCCGAACGAGTACTGGCGATCCTACCTCGACTTTCTCCTGCAGCGCTGAAAGCACCCGCGCCCCTTGAATTCGAGATCGAGACGGCATCTGGAATGGGCAACCACGGTTACGGCTGCAAAGGTCAACAAGCCTCGAAAGAAGCAAGGACCGCTGGAGTAGGGCAGGAAGGATAACGAATATCCCAGCAAAGAACAACCGAGGCACTTAGAATCCTGAAATCGATTCACATCAAACGAAATTACTCTCGCGGCTACGGCGCACCTCGCTGACCACCCCTTGTCCTCTTCCGAGAATGCTCGTTGGTTGAGTCTCGATGGCCGCGTCTGGTCAGATCAGGAAAGCCGTCGGCCTTGCGGGGGGGGCATTTCTCGTCCCACACTCGGCCCAGCTTGGGGAAATCGAGCTCATGTCACTCTCCTACGCTTTGCCGCCAAGTGGACAGCTATAAGTCTGGATTGCCAGCCACCTGCCTACCACCCCGTCATCGATGAGGGACGTACTGACGTCCCCCCCACGCCGAGGCGAAATGCGAAGGTCTTCTCTGCATTTGCAGCCTGATCTATGGCTGCACGTTCTTTTCCAGATGTGTCAAGCCGTTAGGTCATGACCAACCTGCCGAAGCAAACAAGTGTTTGTGGAGATGCAGATGGCTCAACCCAATCGGTGTTCAGCACGATCCTCCCTTCGGCGACCCGCAAAAAAGTCGTCCAGGCTCGGAATGTTTCTGGGAGAGGCACACCCGCGAGCAGTGATAACGTCTGCTCACTCAGTGCGGTTTCATTCTTCCGGCCCATCTTGGCCAGCGTAACGATACATGCGTCCCACGCTGGCGCCATTGGAGCCCGGACCTGATGTTCGGGTGGTGTCTGGGGTGTGGAAGAGTGGGGAAAGACATTGACTAGGATCACCGTGTCCCCTGGCCGTCCCCGACGCTACTCAAGGTACCCGCTGTTAGCTCGCGGGTAGATCAGAGTTTCTTTGACCCGCTGTTCTTCGTGGAGAATGGTATTTGCAGAGACCATTGCTTTTGGAGTTGTCGGGAGTCTCTGCGACGTTTCTCCTCATGCATTTGGTTGAGCTGAGAAGCCCCGGCAACGAAGGCGATCTGGCCGTGATATTGGGATGGACCAGGTCTATGTTATCGGTGAGCAGCACCTTGGGAGTTCCTACTCTGGGTCCAGATGGCCGCCAAAGTGGCTAGCTGTTGTGCTGGACAAGGTTCCTTGCTTGTGACGGAACTGGGAAACCCAATAAGAGGGAAGCCTCGTCTGTGCTGGGTCTCTGCTAGGGCTTGGACTATACTCTCCTGGGCGAGGGATTAATTCTGATGTGCGAGTGCAATATTGTGAGGTTTGTGGCAGCTGTCTGGAAGGCGCGTGGCCCAGGTTCGGATTTGTGTACGAATCGCAGCCAAAAAAAGGAGTCAGAAACCGATCCCGCAGAGAGCTTGATTCCAGCCGTGAACCTCGCAGAAAGGCCCCCCCAAAAATGTGTTTTGGCTGCGGCGACGGCGGGAAAAGGTGACGACCCCCCTTGATGGCAGAGGACGCGCCTCACGAACCGTTTTGCAGCCAAGCTGAATTGACACCTTTTGCAACGATGGCAGCGAGGACGTCAGGCTTGACCCTAGAACACTCCCAAAGGCCATGACGACGCCGCTGGACACGCCGCCAGACTCTCCGACAGAACACGAGCCACGCAATGCCCGACCGGCCGGCCAGCAGACTCGCCGGCAGGGAGCCCCGACGGCCGGCTACCCGGGCGTCAGTCGATCCTCCCGCGGTTGATCAACGACTTGCCAGCGAATAATGGGATCAAATGCCGTTCAAATAGGGCCCTTTCGATGGCTTAGAAATACCGAGTTCCTGTGGCAGGCTCGCAGAGGCCAGGGCAGACAAAAAGGGGGTTGGCGGGCGGGAGGGCGGGCGGTGTTGTGATTCGTGATGGGGAGGAAACCACTGTTTTTTCAAGGAGTATTCGGCAGATGTCGGCAGGCTATCTAGGCATACCGTGATGGTATAAATGGAATTCAGATCCAGAATTGTAAATTTTTCCACAAGCATGATGCTCTTCAGGATGCTCAAGACCGTGGCGGATGCGGACGAGATGAATCACAGCCTGGCCATGTCGTGAACTGGAGCGCCTGCGAATCGCCATCCCGCTCGCGTCAAAGAGGGCACGCTTCCATTCAGCATAGAAACACGGCGCGAAATGTTGTACTACCCGGAGAAAAAATCGATTCTGAAGTTTTATTCTACCTGCGTGACATCCTACATGTCTCGTTTACTCGTTTCGAACAATGCCAGCCCCCTTTCCGTGCTGCCCGTGCGCCGCGTGTGGAGGGAATGTTGAATTCCAACCTAGATCTCCACAGACGCCCTCGTCCACTACCCTTGACGCCAGAAATCCATTCTTGCAGGGGCGAGGTATGTTAATCGGACCGGGTGGTCTCCGAAGAGCATTTCTCGTCTCCCTTCTTGGTGGCTTTCTTCTTGGATTTGCTCTTGGATTTGTTGTCCGACTCGGTAAGGGATATTGGTATGCTTCGGCGTCTGGGGTTGTCTTTCTTCTTGGCCGGACGTGCTGGCGGCATGGGCTCGCTGAAAGACGGTCAGTTGGCTGCAAGCCATGCGCGTGCGGAAACACAATCTCATCACCTGTTGGATGAACGACCGCACATGGTTGGCAGTTCGTTTTCGCGGCTGATATGCGGGAGTTTTGGGATTGGATTTGCAATTACGATCTGGGGGGATCGAAACGAGCCTGTCGAACGAGGGTTTTGCGTACACAGACCGGTTCTGAGGCCCGGTATTGTGACCGTGCCCTAGGGGAGCACACCTCGCGTACGCAGATTCTTCTTCATGTCTGGCTGGCTTGCCCTAGGAGGAAAACAAGGCGGATTTCGACAGAGGAGCCGTCTGAAATTATTGGCTGCCAGCGCTCCCCGGAGGAGAGCCATGGCGAGTCCCAGGTTGACAGGCGAATAGGCAGTCTTAGGGGGGCCGTATCAAGTACCAGGTTCCCAGGGGATCCTGACAGTTAGCATGGACATCGAGCCCAGCGGATTGCGCGCCGACATCTTGCCCGTGGTTTGGCTTCTCGACAACGTGCAACTCAAGGTCGGAAGACCAGACAAGCTGCCGATGCACCAAGAAGACGGCGTCCCTCCAGATATGATGCTTCGTCGCAGACGACAATCAAAACATTGACCCAGTACGTCGAGACTAACGACCGGGTACAACCGATGTTTAGTGGCGCCGACACTCTGAACAGGGACAAGCTTGGAGGATCCGTCTCCACTACTCGAGCCCCCGTCGCGTGCGATGCGACGCCGATATTCAAGTCGCCAGCCCCTAGCACCATTTGCGGAGCAATCCTTCAACAGCTCTGGCTTGCTCTCTCATTTGGGGTTGCCTGCCATCGTAGCTTGCGACACACGCCGTGATAAAAGAGCATCGCGATATTGCGGTCGTCATTGCCTTGCGCTTGCATCGGACTTTGAAGAAGGAAAAAGCGTGTTGCCGGTCACACTTGGTCCCGTCGCAACAGCTGAGCCGCGCAGCCAATCAGCTGGTGTGTTCAGATCCCATATCCCAAGCCCGCGGAAACACTTGTTTCTCGGGAGATTTGGCACGTCCTCATATTACTACAAGTAATACGCGACGGGCTTTTGACCAGATTGAGAAGCGCGGGTGTACGTCGGATTCGAGTCGCCATTGTCCAACCCGAGCCGTCCCGGAACCCCCCATGTCCCATGTGGTACGACGCGGGACGGAGGACCGGTGAGGAGTCGTCAGTGTGGGGGAAGGAGAAGCGAGGCCGGCTGATAGGTGGGTCAATGTGGCATCAGTGCAGCGAAGCGCTGGGCGCCAAAGCAGCATGATACTTGACTGACGGAGACCTTGCTTCTGCGTGACGAGCTAGGCCTTGTCCAGCCAGCTGTGCAGCGTGGCGGCGATGCAGTTGACGAATATGCAGTCGGCCGCACACCGGAGAGATCTGCGAGTCATCGATTTGGTGGATCTGAGAGATAACCCTGCGGCCATCGCGGATGGTTAAAAATCCCCTGTTCTTTGCCCTTGTTCCGAAAAGCAAGGGTGTCCCGGACGGCCAGTTGGATGTTTCATATGCCACAGGATTCGGGAAGCGGGCCCCGGCTGCAGTGGTAGAAACCGGAGCCGGCCGTTATGCTTTTGGAATGCTGGAATTTCGAAGCCCCTCTCTTGCCATCTCCTGATCTCCTCTGCCGGAGCTGGGTCCTCGAGCTCCTGAACAAAGAAATCATATCCAACTCGACAGGCTGTAAGCTGGATTCGAGGATGTCGCAGGGTTTCGCTCCTCTCTGGGGGAAAAGGCCACAAGTTCCGGGCGTCGAAATATTCGCAGGCAGTTCGCATATGATTTGACGATGCCCTGGACGATGACTGAGGGACGAAAACCGATGAACTTGAGCAAATGGAGCGAGGTGTCTATTTATGTATGCAGTCAGGACAGGCTGGCGCCTAATAGGGGTACGAGGAGGCAAACAAGTGGCTATGATTTCGGATCTCGGTGGCCAAATCACAGCGCAGATTGTCTCCACGTCCAGCTGGGGTCGGAAAAATGACCATGCATTCCTTGGACGGTAGGGGGATGGGGGCCTGGTCTTTCTAGGGACGGAGGAACTGCACATCTTGAGCTGGCCGAGGCTCATTCAAAGGATCAGAACGACTCGCTCTCCAGCAGCCCCCTCCCAGTCTTACAAATAGAGAGTCACAATGCAAAAGCAATTTACCACCCACGTACGTACGCCTGAACTTTGGCTACGTCTAATCACAAGCTCTCAATCGGAGTCCTCGTTCTTTTCACCTGACCAGTGCCGGCCATCTCGAGTTCAGTCGTTATTTCTTGCTCGATGCCCGTAAAAGACACCTGGTACTCACACAGAACATTAAGCAGTTCCTTCCCTGTGCGTTGCGTGCTCGTACATGCAACCAATCGAGAAGCGGTAGGGAGGTGGCCAATTCGCGTCTCCTTTTTCGGCACCCATTTGATCCAAAACTAGAAAAGGTAGTCTCAACCATCTGCCTTCTCTTGGATAGAAACCCCGTTGGGTAAATGGTTGGATCATTATGTTCGTTTTATAAAGGTGCTACCGGCTTTTCATATTGTATATGATGATGCGCGGTTCGTGGAGCATCTCGCCTGCTCGAGTCCTGGCAAGTCAATCCGATCCACGAGCCCATCCGGGAAAGTTTTCAAGTCCACAAACTCCGGGATTCTTCCAAACAGGAATGGACACTAGGCAAGGAGCTTGGTGGATTGTACTTACATGACGTGGCAGTGTCTTGACGGCTCTCCTGCACCAGAGCGCAATAGCCTCGCGCCTTCCAGAGTACCACAAGTATTCCGAAGATCCCTACTGCCAGGCAACCCTCGATCTCGAGACCCAAAGTATCGTGAATGCGAACCAGAGGACATTGCCTCAGTGAATATTCTTGGTGCCCAACTGTCTGGTCTTGCATACTTCTCGACGAGTTTCCGCCCAGCTACGCACCAGACCCCCTGCGAGATCAACTCGCCTCCCTCGACGCTACACGCGATTCCAGAGAATCAACAAAGCTTAAAGGGCTTTGGCATATCTGCTCAGGGCGTTGAATCGTGCTAAAATCTATTGTAGATGCACTCTATCTACCCGAATCACAGTTCTCTTGCAATCGAGCCTCGAACGACCTTCCAAAGCACGGCCGAAGGTCGGCGGTGAGAAGCCTCGACGGCGATTGCCTCTCGCGCAAGCCTAACATCCTGGCCATCGCCGACATCATTCTATACGGGGATAGAAACATATGGAGAACGTTGGGCAGGCATGTGTTGATGGTTGCATGCAATGGGGTATGTTGGAAGGCAAGGCGGGTGCAGTCTGCACCGCCCCTTTGTCAGTCATACAAGCCGCTCGAGCATGCATTTACGTGATTCCTCGATCGTAATATTTCCAAGACCATTATCCCCTTGGGTATTTCATTTCACAGCCTGGTCACTGAAACTTGGCCCGTCCTGTAGAGCGTCAGCGTAACTCTCGGAATATCTATGAATCCAAGATGCCAGCACTGAATCGCGAGATATTTCCCATTGCAGGCTTCTCTCGATTGTTTCCTAGCTTTGATTGAAGTAGTAGCCTTCTGCGGTTCGCTTCTTCTTGCTTCGACACTTGAGAGTCATACTATGTCCAGCCTGCTCACACCGCTTCTCGTCGACGAGACTTGGACAATAGTGGTTGGGCAACAATGTACACACCATCTCTTCCTTGTTCGACAGGCAGATATCTCCGAGCATCGTGGCTTGGTGATCCCCAGATGTCGTTTACTGCATGAGACGATGATCTAGATGATGGATGATTGGCATGTTGCGGGGCCAACATCGATCTCGCCCCATGCACACTCTGCGCGTCCAGCGGTCTCGACGGGCTGTGTTGTGCATGACGGACGGGCCGGTCCCCACCCTCTGCATTCACGAATGGAGTGTTGGTCCGTTTAGAGTCATATCTAGATGCTATTCGCAATATTCCTGACCGACAGTTCATTCACTTGACGCTAGATAACTTGGCCCATCATATCACCAACCCTCACACCCCCAAGAGGGTCTCAACCCCACCGGGGATACAATGGGAGCCACATTGGGTCATCCAGGCAACAGAGGTCGAGCCTTGCGTCCTTCGTTCTTTTGTCAAGTCTCGGTGTCCTCCAGATGGAGTGGTAGGGGGTTGCAAATACGGAGTGTATAAGAAGGAGAGCTTTTCGCCATTTTGTGCCAGAGACAAGCCTTCTTTTCATCGAAATCAGGACACGCCAATGAACCAGCAGCCATGGGAAACATTGTCAGTCAAATTACTTTCCGAAGATGGGGCAGCGACCCAGGACAATCACCTCGCGCTGCTGACCCAGAAGAGGCTGTGGCACCCGTCGAGAGTAAGTCCACGATTTCTTTCTTCTTTCTCTCTCTTTCTATTCAATAATACTTTGCTCCTCGGTCAACTTCTGTCAGGTGCCAGCCAAGTTACACTGTTATCTAGTCACTGTTGAAGAGACACAATGAACGCATTGCACGTCTTTTGAGACGGTGCTACTTTCGTTGCTACTGTCGTCTAACTGGTTCTTAGCCACAACTCCCGTGGCTGATACAAAAGATATCCCGATCATACAAGATAGAGATGGTGAGCTGTCCTCGTGTCCTTTCCAACAGCAAAACGACTGACTGTCAAAGTGGATATGGTCTCGGAGATGTCTCCTGGCTTGATCAAGTTCGCCGCCGAGCAATGCCTCTACGACAACCTGCGCGTCCAACCAAGCTTCAGCGTCCTGAGGCGCGCTCAGATCCTTTATTTACAAACAAAGATTGTCTTGAAGGAATCCGAAGCGCTCAAACAAATCGCTAAGCGCCTTGATGGAAACCCAGCACCGGAAGCCCAGACTGGAGGCCAGGACAAATGCTGTCCTGGTGGCAGTACCACAAGCCAAGCGAGAGCTGAGGAGATGGCTATAGAAGAGTCCATCAGGCTTACGAACCAATACAGTGCGTGCCTTGCCATTGCACCTCGACTGTATAAGAGACTTGACTAATATGACGGACATAGATGAGCTCCTTCGAGTTGAGGGCGAGATGCGCAAGCTACCGCGCGTTCCGGTCATGCGCCACGATGACATGGTGCTCCAGATGAAGAGGAACGGGCTCTCCGACGAGTTAATTATGTCCTTCCAAAGGGCTGACGACCTTGTCGACATGGACCGAAGCCACTCCGACAGCTTTACTGACTGGCTTATCCATTACTGCCCTTGGATCATTCCTAGGCTGACTGCCCCTGATGGTATGCTGTCTATCAACCAGGACAGAGTGGAGTTCTGGTGTCGAATAATCGCCATCCTCGTCCCCTTGGCTGCCATGCTTCTACCAGTCAGCCTTTTGTATATGCTGCCCATGTCCAAGGGGGAGAGCTTGGCTGTGAGCATCACCGCCGTCGTTCTTGTGGCGTTCTTTGTCTCTCAGATTCCTGGTATCACATATCAGTCGCAACTGATCTGTATCCTGGGCTACATGGCTATCATGGTCCCCTTCGTAGCCCAACTTCAGAACAACTGTACATGCACCGTCATTCCACAGCCATGAGCGCATATCGCGTCTCGAAGACTACACATACAGAGTCACGATTTACTATAGACTGACCGGAGGTCTATAGTCTTTTCTACTTTGTCAAACAAGGCTGACAGAGCGCGGTACGCGAGTGCGGGTGAGGTTGAAATTACCTGTTGGCCATGCCGCAGATTCAGTGGGTCCCACAGGGGTGTTCAGCGCCAGGACCCCCTGGAAAGGCGTATCTATGAACACCCTACAGGGCGCGGTTTCAGGGACAGGGGTGACTGACAGTGCCGGCCGGGGAACAAAACACCAGGAATGATCTTGATCGAGTCTTTTCACTTTTGCCTTTACTCACGATGAAAATTGGGTTGAGAGGAATGAGCACGTTTTGTATCACGACTTCTACTTTCTATTTATTTCATTCCAATAAATCCTAATATTTTTTATAGGGAGAGCACTCTTTCTACACCGACTCATGTCTCACCTACTGTCTCACCTACTGATATTGATCCCGAGCGGTTGCCTCACCGCCATTTCCCTTCCTCGCTTTCCTTCATCCACGCCCCTAGTTCCTCATGGCGCCACACCTGTTCCATCTCCACCTCCTCAAGACTCAGCAACAGTTCCCAATCGCTGCCGATACCCGTCCGGGGCAAGACGTTGGCAGCGCCGGGGTTGCAAGACCATGTCTTGCGGACCCAGTCCGGTCGACCTCCAGACCCCGGCAGGCCAAAGTCGATCCCACCCCCAAGCGTGGCCCAAGAGCTGAAGTCGACACCCGTGTTGGCAGCATCGGTGTCTTCCTGACTCGTCAGTTTCGACTGGTGCCGTGCCAGATTGGCGAACCGACGACCGACATATGCGTCGTCGACACCCAGCACAGCAGCGTGGATGCGAACCGCTGCTGCTGCAAGGATGCCCGGATGTTGCATGCCGGCTGGGGGTCGCAGAGCCTCATCGTCGTCCCTATCCTGGGCATCGGATCGTCGGCGAGGTGGTGTCTTGCATGCAGGTCTAGACGTTTCCGGTAAAGGTGAAATGCATCAGCAAGGTGTGTAATTTGGGACCAGTCGCTTTGCATATCAAGGATCCCGGTCCCATTTACGCCCGGTTTGTAGGGCAGACGAAGAATTTTTTTTCCAGTCCGGCATGGTGCGCGAACCAGGGGGTAGGTAACTCTGTCTTCCCAGGCGGACTTGTGTCTGCCTTGTTCCATATAAAGGGGGCTGGGAGGAGTTGAAAAACTGTTACTAACCGTTTCCTCGCACCTACAAGCTCTCCCAGATTGGCTCTCGCATGGGCTTGGACGAACATATTGCCGAAGAACGTGGATGAAATACCATGGACGCGCTTTCGTGCATCGACTGCAGTGGTAAATGTTGTTATTGCATCCGCCGGCAAACGATGATAACGCGCCCTCATCACGGCGACCCAGACGAGGGCACAAATGCAATCTGTTGTGGTTATCCACGCGCCCGGGAACTCTTCACCGACGATTCTGTTTACCACTCTCTTCAGGTTCGATACCTTTTCCCCGTCCAACGTTATTATCCGACAGGTCTTGCCCGATGGCAGAGTCCTGTGCATGATCAATTGGCGAGAACTCCTGGACGTTGATCGCTGGGCCGAATGCTTGCTCAACAGACCGCCCAGGGGCTCTGCATGCCTGGCCAGATTCCACATCTCGGGCACCTCCCTTCGAAATGTGTTCTTCAGATCGACTGCCACAATGTCAGTCTGGCCTTCGTGGCAACCCTCTCGTCGATGATCACACCGACTGCAACAATCAATTAACTCACCAGGTCTTGAACTCGAATAACTTCGAACATTGGCTGCAAACTCCTCCAAGAACATCGAGATCGACGCGCCGTCAAACACCGCATGGTGAAACGCGAAACACAGTACCAAACCGCCGTGCTCCAGAAAACTGGCGGTCAAGGTCAGCGGCGGGTTGACCTCGCCAGGCACGGGATGCTTGACGGAGATGGAGAAGATCTCCTTCTGACACATGTTCGGGTCGGGACCACCACTGCTGGCGAAGTCGTCGTAACGATGCGGCCAGTCGTCATACCATACGATCTGAGCTCGAAAGATACCCGGATCAGGGTGACGGTGGCGGTCGCCAGCGACTGCCGTTCGTCGGGGCAGCTGGTACTTTAACTGTACCGCCCCAGCATTGGTTGTTGACGGCGCCGGGCACACCATGCCGGCCAAGAATGGCCATCGGTCAAGACTTGCGTCGAGGGCCACGCACAGTCGGCTTGTCGCGTCATGGATACCTTCGGCTGATACATCTTCGAAGGAGATAAAGTACATCAGCCGCACATAGATGTTGGACATGTGCTGGTCCAGGGGACTCAGTGCCCACGTTGTTGTTGCCGTCGGGCCTTGATCCTTGACTGCAACGGGTCCTTGCGAACTAACATAGGTCCCGCTGCTGACCAGTGCCATCAAGTACGACTTGTTGAGTGACTGTCTATTGGCCCTTACAATCTGTTCATACCACGTCTGAGTCTTTCGAAAGCGACGCCGCGAGCACGTTGTGACTGCTGACAACTTTTCGACCACTAAGTGCTTGCACCTGAGCGATATATCGTCTGAAAGTAGCAGGCTGTGGACGCATAGGACTCAGCCAACTTGATGAGAGTGCTTCGAGCAATTAATTCGTGAACGTAAAGGTTGCCATCATAAGTCTCTACTTCTAGCGAAAAAGACCCCCCAACCACATGATATACCGCCGAGTCGATGATGCAGATCAAGATGATCAACATCTCTGGGAATGACTCTTCTTATCATGTAACAAGAGTGGTAATCTAGCTGGGGGACACTAGGCCTCAAATGGAGGCCGCAGGTGATAATGTGCAATCATGCAGTTGGGGGAGTTGGGGGAGTTGCAGTAGTCCGCAACTGGATGTGCATCTGCAAGATATTCCTTTTGCCTGCACATCCAAGGTGACATGTGAGCAAGGAGAACCCCAGTGTAACCTTTCTCCCTCACAGACTGTGGTTTTGACTATGTGGCACCCTACAAGACGCCCTACAAGAGCTGAATGCAACAAGTCGTCCTTGTGACTGATCTATACTCTTAGATCTGAACTGTCAACATTTGACTATACTTAATTGGTACATGGCGCTCGTCTGGACAAATCACATACTTCTCTCTGTTACAATTAATCTGAGACTCGAGCAAGGTTTTTTATGTACAGCCTTGGTCTTTACATCTTGGCAAGAAGACAAGTCTACGAATGGATGGTAACTCTACCAGCCACCCGTATTCAAAGTTCTGACTCTTGTGCATCCTTGAGACTTGCAGGCTTCCTAACTCCTCTTGGCATCTAGCATATGGCTGCTTCCATCATTCGATAGACATTTAGCGCTTGGTCGCCATACAAGAATCGTGTTCTACCCATCATATTTCCGGCTCATGGTATCAAATTGAACGTTTGGACCCCTTTATCTCCCCTACCATCCACGACAGAATTCCTCTCTTCCATAATCATACTCCTGCAAGCCTAATCTGCCAGGGCAATGGGATGGAGGATATGTTGATACTCCTTGCGAAGGCGCTCCTCTTCTTCCTTATATTCCGTATCGATCCTCGACCTCCCCTCCTTAGCCGCAACTGTGTGCCTGTGCAGTTCATCGTGCCCCGGCTTGGTGTGTAAGTCTCGTCGGAGAAACTCGAATGTCTGCCCTATGAGCCTATGCCAGATAGAGGCCAGCGGAGGAGGCAAGCGAGAGGCGCCCTCGCGCACCTCGGCGCGATACCTGCACACCTCCTTGAGTTCGTCATAATAATCGTCACGAGCTTGATTGAGATCCCGCTTCAAGGCTGCCCGCGAGGCGATGTAGCGGTCTCGGGCTTCCTGTCTCCTCCCCAAGTACTCTTGGTATCTCTCCATGCCTTCTTCGGTTGTCAAACTCAAATAATCGGGGGAGCCGGTTTCCGATTTGAGGAAAGCTTGTCGTGGCACCGGAACGGTGGCGATACCCATACATTCGGGCTCATCCCCTGATTTTGCCATGTGAAGACCGTTCGTCATGTCGTCAAGATGTTATACCGGCTGATGAATTGAAGCAGACTTGAGAAAAGGAGGGATGCATTTGAGAATGTGGAATAGGCCAGGGCGAAGGTCTTTTATGTGCAATCTTGCTCGGAGCAGGATATTTGGTAGGGCCTAGGTGGCGTTACCACAGGCCTTGTTTTTCTGGGAGAGATGCCCATGGGATGCGCTTTCGATCGATATCAGTCCCTGAGCACGCACGAGCCAAAGGCCTCCAATACTGCTGACTGGTTTTCAGGGGGGCGGCATGTGGCGGCTTGATCGGTTGGTCAAGTTCAGGTCAATCATGTCGTCCTGCGGTGGACTAATGATTCCATTTCGGGAAAGGGGAAGTGGAAGAGGAGACAAGGAAAAGGGGGAGGACACGGGTTCGATTCACAACCACGGAGCAAAATCCGCCAGAAAGGGCGAATTTTCGAAGCATACCACCCTCCGGGCTGATGTGCGAGTTTTTTTCTTTTTTTCGCCTTCTTATTTCTTTTTATACATTTTGCCTGTGTGCCCAGTAGGCCCTACTTCTCCGGCTTGGGTGGCTCGAAAGCTTTCGGCGTGACTGCACACGACGTGCGCTGTCCGGGTGCTCGTCGACTAGATGATTTTGCGAACCTCGAGGATAGAGAACTCTTGTGGAAAACGATCTTTGATAGGCTTCATGCGGCCGGCGGTATTCTGGTAGGTTTCAGCCTTGGTCCATGATCGACTCAAGATAGAACATAAGTCCTCCCTGCTAATACGGCCAGAGTGGTGTAGCGTCGTCCTGAGACGCCAGCGGTATGATCGAGAGGCTTGTCCAGTGTAACCACCGGGATGCAAAATCCTCCAGGCGATGAGACGGTAGATCCAGCGATAGATAGGTCGTAACCACAGGTGAGCTTCGGTAAGGCTTGTGATTGGGCATTAAGAATGAACATGGACAGGACATGCTAAGGGATGACAGCCGAGCCATCTCTCTGGTGGCTCAACGCAGGTCAGGGACGTTTGAACAGCGGGATCCTCAATGTTGCGGATGTCGTGGAGGCATCATAACACTTGACTGGCCCAGTCAGGGGTAAGGTCATGAAGGCCCTGTGCTTGCTGTGTTGGACACAAAGGATAAATTAGGACAACCCCATGGTCGAAAGGAACAATTTTTACTTCTCGCCGGATATTCTGATGAGCAGAGTGCCAGAGATTTCTGATATTATGAAGTGATCTCGGAGTCATATGGTTTGGTGCAATGCAACCATATCGTGAGCAAACCTATCAGACTCCATTAAGAGAGCACCGAATTACGGTCATGGTCTAGTTGAATTTTGATATGCCCATAAGCTCTCTTGTGTTATGACAAAAGCAAAGGCCAAAAGGCGAGAGACAAAAAAAAGGCAGAAAGGGGGCAAAAAAGCTCAGCCAAGGTGTCACTCGAACCCTGACCTGCGAAAAACCCCTTTTGGGGTTTTTCTTTGCTCGAACACGAGACCAGCCACATTAATGTTTTGTGGTGTCCTCCGTCGTGAGGGTAGGATGGCGTGCTATTTATTAAATGGAATCCACGTTATCGTGGTCATAAACCATTGCACCATCCCACCCCCTATGGAAACTAGGTACTCTATTTAGAATAATAACTGCCTTTCGCGGGGGAGGGGGTCCGTGTGCGCAGTTGGCCTGGTGCACGGAGGCTGCCAGTGTGGGCGAGGAACGAAATATAAATGTGGCTCAAGTAATAAAGAAGTAGGAGGTAATGCATTTCCTCCTGACTTGAGTCAGGGCTGCAAAGAGTGGCAATGGGACAATCCTTTTGACAGAGATGGTTCGGAGATCGGAACTTGAGCCTACTACCTCATCTATATACCCTCGAATACCAATTTTGACCGAGTCCAGATGCCGGGAACAGTATCCAATCCACCCGCTCAAACCAGTTTCCACACGCCGTCCTGGGTCTCGATCCTGACCTCCCTATTCTCGTCGATGCTCCTCCTGCCGGCCTCGAGGATGGCCGTCGTGGCGACGGTGTTGGCCAGCGTCGGTAGGCCCTTGGCGTCGAGGTCGGCGGGCTTGAGGCGGCCGGCGTTGACGGCGCGGCAGCCGTCGACAAACTTCTCCATGGAGACGTAGCCGTAGCCGCCCTGGCCGCCAAAGTTGCCGTCCTCGTCGGGCGCGTACTTCATGTAGAAGGGGTTGTACCACATGAGCTGGCCGGCGGCGTCGTCGGCGACGTCGTAGCCGCGCTTGGCCTGGTCGACGCGGATCTCGCCGTTCTGGGCGAGGTAGTGGAAGTACTGGTTCGAGTGGACGCCGGCACGCTGGGGCGCCGTCCACGAGGCCGTGTAGACGCCCGTGGCGCGCTTGGAGGGGTCGCCGCGCTTCTCCCAGTGGACGAGCAGGGAGATGGTGTCCTCGGTGGCGGCGTGGCAGCCGAGCCCCACGGCGACGCCCTTGGAGGCCGAGGCCGAGACCTTGACGGGCACGTAGCCGGCGCCCGAGACCATCGAGTCGCAGATGTCGACGTGGTGGCTGTTGAGGTAGTACGAGATGTCCGAGTCGACGCCCGCCCAGGCCTTGAAGGTCTCGAGCTGGGACTTGGGCTGGGACATGTAGCTGTAGAAGTAGTTGAAGTCGCCGAGCTTCTGGGCCTTGAAGCGGGCGTCCGAGTAGGCCGGGTCGAAGCGCTTGTGGTGCTCGACAAAGACGAAGACGCCGTGCTTGCGGGCGGCGTCGATGAGCTGCAGGTGGTGCGCGAGGAGCTTGGTGGCGGGCTTGGTGATCATGACGTGGATGCCGCGCTCGATGGCGTAGAGGGCGATGGGGAAGTGGGTGGTGTCCGGGGTGAAGATGGTGATGGCGTCGCCGGGCTTGAGGGCGTCGATGGCCGTCTTGTAGGCGTCCGGTTCGACGGCGTCGTTGGCGGGGAAGGACTCGAAGGAGGTGTCCAGGTTGTTGTAGACCTCGGTGATGTTCTTCTGCAAGTGTTCCCCTACGGCGCCGGTATGTTAGTTCGTCTCGTGGAAATCATGCGCCGCCCTTCCCGAGGCTTCTGCTGGCTGCACGTACTTATGGCGGGAAACTTCTTGCCGTTGACGCCGGCCATGCTCAGCTTGCCGACCTTGCCTCTCCGGCGCAGGTCGAACATGGAGAGGCCGACGACACCGACCTTCTTGTCTGATCCGGAAGCACCACCACCGACGAATCCTGTGGTGTACTCGCCGGTTCCAACCTGTACGTCATGTCAGTGTTGAGCACTAAGGTGTGGGATTCTGCACGTTGACTTGCCATCAGAACGTTAAGAGGCTCCATGGTTGTTTTGATTTACTCTTGGTCTCTCACTGGATAATGGTGGTAGTCCAGTTGTTCGAGATTGTATCTAGCTTCCCTCGAGGTGAAGCTCGACGCTTTTGATACTAAAAGCAGAGGATCTCTGGTCTGTGATCCGATGGCGTTGACGGAACTTTCCTCATCCAATTGAACTGGAAGATCAAGTCAAGAAGGCAAGAGAGAATTGGGATAGGATCAAATTACACAAGACACTGGACAAGAGGTGGCCTTGATTTTCAAGGGTCCAGAACGCGGACGTCTCAATGCGCAGCTTGGAGCACTACCTACATAGTTACTACACTACTGGTAGCTTATTACAAGGAACGGAGAAATTGAGGGGTGAGGGGCCATCAGATTGGGGCCGGTTGGAGACAACCAGACAGTCTTCTTTTCTTGGGTTCGGCTTGGAGGTGTACCAGTCTCCAAGTACTTGTGTTGAATCATGAGTTTAGAGTTTCTCCGTGTACTGGAAGCGCTTTGCGTTGCGGCAACGGGCATTCTGGAAGTTGGCAAAGCATTCACGAAGGACATTTCTCTCGTCTCTCTCCCCTCCGGGTAATTTTCTGCTCGCCATTGAGACTCATATGCAGAGCAAAATGGGCATCAGGATGAGCGCCAGAGTCCCCTCCAGGTGCCTCACGCATCGCAATGATAGCAAGCCCACCGTGAAATCTAGCAACCCATGTGATAGGGATCCGGTGTCGAATATCGCGGCAGTATCTCGATCTGGTGCGGGAGCCGGTCGGGGATCCGAAGGGAAATTGGGTAGCTCTAGTGGAGCAGCAGCCCCCGCCCCCACGCTAGAACGCTAGAGATGTGCCCCGCAATGTCAGTTCATTGCAGCATTAGGTGTACCTAGGTAACTAGGTACAGCATTACAGGGAGCTGGGATTGAAGTATCCTCTGAGGGCATCACCCCGCCCAACTCGCTCTTGCCCGATGCCAGAGTTGTTCCTTCAGTCCTACATCAGAAGGAGATGCTCACATTTATCTCTGTCCTGCCGACATTGCATCGCCAACTTGACATCAGCAACACCGCCAAGCTCCTTTGCTTTCTGATTCAACCCTTCTTGCTTTCAACGGTCGAATCAATGCCTGCTCAAGTACTTACTGCATGCCAGTATTGGTCAAGTCACGAATGGAGGCCCGGACAAAGTCTCGGTGAGTGGATCTCCGGCGGCTGTCGAGCCTGACATCGACAATCTTTCAAACTGATGTACTCTATGTACCCAGGCTCTCTCGGGATGTCCGCCCTCGCTAATCATCCACAGTTTTAGATTCTTGAGTTCGCCAATGACTGCCAGAGGGTTGACTGGTGTTGCGCCTCGTGCATTCACACACGCGTGCCGTACCAGGCCGGTGTTTCCTATTGGTGGCTTTTATTTCGCCGCTTGCTTAGTCCCTGCAAAGTATGCGGCTTAGGGGACTAGGACCGTCGACGTTCATCTTTCTACCGTCCGCCATGGGGGAAGAAAGCGGCTTCAGTGGGACCCGTCTTCTCACGACGAGAAAGGGAAATCTGCCCGGAGTGGCTTTCAGTACCTACGTCTGGGCTGCTTGGTGCCATCTTCTGGTCTGGGTCTACCTCAGCACTTTACTCTGCCCTAGTGGGCCGAGAGCTTCCCTCATCTCTCTCTCGACCAACGCCAGACTTACACCTGGACAGACTGGCATGCCGGCTCACGATCTCTGGCCACCGCCTACCCTTCTCGAGCCTCCTTTGCCTTTGATCCAAGGCGAACCCCGCCTTTTCTGCCGTGCCTACGTTCCCCTCCCTTTCGATCCTCTTCTCTGTGCACATTGCTTGCCCCACATCGGATATTTCCAACTTCACATCCACAGCCAACTCCACAGTTCCCAAGGGCAAGTTGCCTTGCAGCTGTTTCTGAATGATCAGAGAGCTTGACCAGATCTTGTTTTTGAATGCGTGTCTATCCGGTTCTCTTTCGGGCACCGTCGGCAGTTCTGGAACCGCTGGGCACTATTGCGTCCTGATTGTTAGCAGCCTTTTACCGTACCTCTATGTAGCGAGTGCCCGTGTCAGATGGCCCGCATGTCCCTGCACTTCCCGAGGAAACACCTCTTTCCACCATCACGTCGTTACGGGTTCCTTTCGTCTCGTGGCCAAAGGGTAGCAGTTGCAGCCTCGCTAGCATCCTGGCATATTGTGTTCTGGACTGGCATATACTTGTAGACCCGATTTGCCCTGGTGCATACGGCGTCGCCCCACTCCTGCCGTCGACCCAAGGGCCCGGCCAGTGCCAACGGTGACTGACACTGAGCTGCCTGCTCGTACAAGTCCCGATGCAAATCTCTGCCTTTCCTGGCTTCAAGTGACCATGCCATGACCACCGAGAATACAAGTACATGCTCAAGGGTCACTGCTCTCCTGCCCGTGATCTTCGCATCGTGGCCCTGCTCCGGTCTCGCAGGTGCTGCCGACCTGGTTAGGGCGCCCGGGCTACCCCACGCTAAGGCTCTCGCCCATGTACCTGTTTCTTTTGCGTGTCAGCGCCGGACGGCGGGCGGTACTTGGCCCGGGCTCCAACAGACTCCTCCGGGGTCACGTCCCAGCTCTGGTACCTGGATCTGGCATCGGCTCCCAGTCGAGAAATCAGGTTGATCGGGAAATACTCCGCTTCGTCATTGCCTCTCCGGACGGACCGCATGTGCAGCCGACCTGCTCCCGGCAGAGGGTGTGGATGCGTGATTTCTTTCCGCATGCACCTACGCTCTTCATTCGCTATATATTGCTTCGTTATACGTTATACGCACCTGGGAGATGTCTCTGCCGCAGTGCCGTCGGGCTACGTGTGTACATGTGGATTTCGGACCCCTCCTGTGTTAGGTTTTAGTCAGTCGTTGACGAAAAAAGCTAGTCATCCAACCTTTTGATCTTCCCCAAGCCCATCGCCCTGGTTCTTTATTAGCCTCCCCCTCTGCAGCTGCATCCTTACCTCACTCCAAAAAGTGGCCAGACTAGTTTGCAAACAAGTCCCCAAATTTGTGGTGCCTTCGGACCAATGTCATAACGAGCCAACCTCGTGGTGTACCTAGGTAGGTCGGTCAGACACTTTTGACTTTCGTCAAAGGACCCTTTCTACCCCTGCTACCCGCTATTCTGTGGCCCATCACCTTGCGAACGGAGTGAATCCCCTGGAGAGCTCGTCGTTTCTGTTTATAAGTCAGAGACCGTCCGCTCCGTCATACTCCCCTTCCCCTCCTTCCCTTTCTCTTGCTTTTGTGTATTGTCCTGCTTTCGTGTGACCCTGGATCATACTTCTTGTTACCTTCTTCGAAAGTTCGAAGCGTTCCTTGTGCCTATCTCTGTTTGTCTCGACCCGGTTCTGGGATTCTTCCATTCACCATGACTGTCCCCAATGGCTCTGCCGCCAACGGTCACACGACCTCGCGTCGAGAACTGCCTCTGGGCATCTATGCACCGACTATGACCTTCTTCGACCCTGAGACGGAGGAGCTCGACATTCCCGTCATCAAGAAACATGCCGAGCGTCTGGCTCGCGCCGGCCTGGCCGGCCTCGTCACCATGGGCTCCAATGGCGAGGCCATCCACTGTACGCGAGAGGAGAGACTGGCCGTAACAAAGGCCACTAGGGAGGCATTGGACGAGGCCGGCTTCAAGGACATGCCTATTATCATTGGCGCTACCGAGGGCAGTGTCAAGGGCACCATCGAGCTGTGCAAGCTCGCCAAGGAAGCCGGTGCCGACTACACTCTGTTGCTGCCCCCCTCATACTTCCGCACGCTCATGGATGAGGAGGCCATCACCACCTACTTCACCGCTGTGGCAGACGAGAGCCCTTTGCCTCTGGTTCTGTACAACTATCCCGGTGCCGTCGCCGGCATTGATATGGACTCGGACCTGATCATCAAGCTCGCCGAGCACCCCAACATCATCGGCACCAAGTTCACCTGCGGCAACACGGGCAAGCTGACCCGCGTCGCTCTCGCCACCGACGCCAAGACTCCCGGGTCCAAGGGCTCAGGCTACATGGCCTTTGGCGGCATCTGCGACTTCACCGTCCAGACGCTCGCCAGCGGCGGCAGCGGCATCATCGCCGGCGGCGCCAATGTCATGCCCAAGCTCTGCGTCAGGGTCTGGAACCTGTACGCCGAGGGCAAGCGGGACGAGGCCATCGCGCTGCAGAAGAAGCTGTCCAAGGGCGACTGGGTGCTCACCAAGGCCTCCATCGCTGGCACCAAGTCGGCCATCCAGAGCTACTACGGCTACGGCGGCTACCCCCGCCGGCCGCTCAAGAGGCTCGACAAGGCCCGCGTGTCGGCCATTGCCGAGGGCATCAAGGAGGCGATGGAGATTGAGAACAGCCTATAGATGAAGTGTGGCCCGGTGGAGGGTTGTATCATGATGGGGAATGGAGTCACTGTGAGCTTGAAAACAAGGCAAGCTTGACTCGATGTCGTCGTTTGTCGAATTTTTCATGCCGTTTCCATGGTTCTTTTCGGGTACATTGAGATGGATTGCATCTTTTCTCTACTTTGTTCAATGTCTGTCAGCGCATACAGCATTCATTCTTGGGGTCTTTTTCCCCCAGGCCATCCCTTCAGGCTCTTGCGAATGGGCTCCGAGATGCAGGGGGACGTCGTCTCTTGAGTAATTAAAATGGAAACAAAGATCAGAGTGGTGGAGGAACATAACCGTTCGTTGCTGCATGGTCCGCTGGTTATAATTCTAGGTTCGAAATGGATGGGCAGAGGGAAGAAGAAGGGTGGACGTCCGGACGCCTGCTGACGCATAGAGTGGAACACAGCAGGAGAAGGAGACTTTGGCATGTTTTGAGGGCAGATAGAGAGAGGGACGGGATCAAAAGAAGATTTTAATGATTTTGAAAACGGTGCCTTGCGGCCTTGGCATGCAAAAGAATCAGCTTTCGGTTCAGACTTGATCGGATCGCTTTCGCTCGTTGATCATGCTCCAGAGATAGAATATCGTAATCCACCCCGACTTGGTTCCTCACATTCCTCCCAGATCTATCATCCTGCACAATGGACCAAGCTCCCGATCCGATCCGGGCATACTCGACAATGTACTAGGATGACCTTTATCAACACGGCCAGGCACCCGCGGGGGGGACTACCTAAGCAGGCTCTTCCTCTTCCTAGCATGAATGGGCGCCCAGCACGCCGCCCGGCCACACCCACGCCTCGTTCTCTCGGGGCAGGTCTTAGTCTCATTTCCACGAAACACGTTTTCTCCTTCCCGATTCGGTTCTGCTCTTCCCGAGAACCGGTTTGGGGAAAAAAAAAATGGCCCGGCCCATGCATGTCGTTGGGCGTCGTGCCGGACCACCGGGTTGTGTGTGTGGCATGAGATGGGGTCCGCCCCCGGGAAAACAAAAACCACCCTCTCCCAATCTCTGGGGACCCCAAAAAACCCCCCGGTTGTTTTACCACCACCAAGACAAGACAAGACAAGACGAGACGAGACGAGGAGGACCCCCCCTGAACTGGGTAATACTAGGTAGAGAACTCGGGGTTTCAACCCCAACGAACACTCTCCACGGCCCACCGTGGAGCATCATGGCCCCCCTGCTGTCGTATATATATATATATGTTTTCAACTGCCACCATCCCAGGACAGAAAAAAGTGTATCCCGTCACCGAATCCGCATCAATGGGCTCCAACCCGTACCGCTTCATTTCCCGACAGACAGACAGAGACCAGGACGGGACAAAAGCTGCAGAGGGTTACACGAGGTTTCAACCCTTTTTCTTTCAATAATAATAATGAATAATCAATCATCATCGGAATGTTTGAGAACTACTAAACCTTGTACCTCCTGGGGTCGAGCTTGTCGACGTTGGCGCTCCTGGCCTCGCCGTCGAGCAGCATCTCGGCCATGAGGCAGCCGGTGCCGGGCCCGTTCTGGACGCCCCAGCACGTGTGCCCGCTGGCGACCCAGAGCCCGCGCGTGGACGTGCGGCCGACGAGGGGCGCCTTCTCGTCGCCGAGGCGCATGTGGCGCGGCAGGTAGCAGGCCTGCTTCTTCTTGACGGGGGCGGCGGCGAGGGCGGGGCTCACGGTGGCGACGTAGGCGACCAGGTCGTCGCACTGGGCCTCGTCGCACTGGACCATGTCGGCCGTGGGCGGCAAGGGGACGGTCGAGTCCGGCTCGCCTGTGTTGGTTGAAAAGCGCGGGGGGTATGTGTCAGCGAGAGAGGAGGGGGGCGAGGAGGGGAAAAAAAAAAAATAAGATGCGTAACAGAAAACCTCCTTCCATCTGAAAGAGTTGGAAGAGGCAAAAAAGAAGAAGAAGAAGAGGACTTACCGCAGGCGTAGACCTCCCCGCCGGGACGTGCGTAGATCTCCGGGTCCACGTTGCCCGTGTGTTTCCTCCCCTGGCCCAGCTTCCGCCTGTGCTCGGGCACGTAGTCGTCCGGCAGCTCGATGTCGGTGAAGACGGCATAGGGGCTGACGTGGGCGTTCCAGACGACGCTGTGGGCGCGCAGGCCCTCGACCTTGGTCCTGGGCAGGACGACGCCCGTCCAGGGCCCCGCCGCGACGACCACGTCGGTCACGCCGTCGATCCTGCGCGACGAGTTGGTCCGCCGCTCGAGGTACTCGACGCCCGTGACCCTGTCGCCGTCCTGGTTGATCTTGGTCACCTTGGCGCCCAGGCGGATGTCGACGCCCTTGTCCTGCGCCAGGGCGGCCATGGCCGTGGTGAACATGAAGGGGTGCACCTGCGCCGTCTCGGTGGCGCCGCGCCGGCCCATCTCCTCGTAGTGCTCGACGAGGTCGGACCGGATGTAGTCGAGGTCCGGGGGCAGCGGCGACTCGTGCAGCAGACTTGACGCCGCGACGTCCTGCTTGGGCAGCTTCTCCCACTGCTTCTTCTCCTCTCCCTGCTCGACCTTGGACTGGATGGGTAGCGGAGCCGCCGTGGCGCCGTTCATGGTTCCGTTCGTGGCCGCGGCGGCGCCATTGGTACTACTACCGTTGGCACTGCCGTTGCCGTTGACAAGGCCAGTCCCGTTCGTCCTCGGGGGTCCGGGTGACGGGACCTGGGGCGCCTTGACAGGGGTCGCCGTCCTCACCGAGCTGGCCTTCAGGGCGGCTATGTCGGAAGGCTTGACGACGGCGCTGAGGCTCCCGCAGCCGAGCCTCCGGTAGCCCCATCGCTCGGCTCCGCCGTGCTCGGCGGCTAGCTCCTTGTGGAGACGGTAGGACAGGGGCACGATCTCGGCCGGGTAGGCCCACAGGCCGAGCAGGCCGCCGGCCTTGCCCGAGGCGCCCGAGGCGATGGCGGTGGCCTCTAGCAGGGTGATTTTGTGCAGCGCCGGGTCAAATTTGGGATGCCGCGTCAGGAAGTAGGCTGTTGTGCACCCAATAATGCCGCCGCCTGCAGGGGGGGGGAGGGGAGTCAGTAGAGCTTATCTTGAGATAAGGGGAGCTGGGAAGACAGAGAGAGAGAGTGCGTGTGCATGTGTGTACGCCGCAAAAGGTCCAGCACTGGCTGGTTGGGGGCAGACGACTTTTTGCTTCATGGAGATATGAGAGTGATGCGCAAGGCAGTGAAAAGCAAGCATACCTACCGACAATCACGATGTTCCGAGGCTGTTGGACCTCCATGATGGGTGTTCTGCTGTGGATGGAGGCGTCGGACTCCGCCGGCGCGCGCGGGCAATGCTCTCTTCAATGTTGTCTGTGCTCTGTGCTGGGTGACCAGGCGAGAAGGGGAAGGGCGAGAGAAGGAGAAGGCGTGAGGATCAGGGCGGGAGCCTCTTGAGAAACCTCTCTCGGGGACTGCTCAAGGCACGCGTTTGGAGTCTCTCGACGAGCCCAATGAGTCGAGAGGCAGACAAAGAAGGAGAGCGATGCAAGGGCCGCGTTCACAATGCATGTCACTTTGGCCGGTGCTGGTGTACGTAGACTGCGTATGAAGTCTGGCCATTTGTTGGTGAGGTCAGGCCAGAAGCTGCTGGCTGGCTGGCTGACTGGCTGACTGGCTGTGCTGCGGTCTTGGGATTCGCTATCTCCACCCCAACCTTGCAAGCCTCCAGCTGGCAGCCCCTCCTCCGTCGACGCCCCGACGGCCCAAGCTCCCTAGGTACTCGGGCTCGTCGGGCTAGCTTGGCAAGCCCTGGAGGGCGGGTTGTCACAGGTGCTGTCAGATCTGCTTAGGCCGTCAAGTCGGTGTGCAATTGGGGGACCCAGCGGGTTCCTTTCTGAAGTGGTACGCTAAATGGACAGCCCAGGGTTTTTCCAAGGCTGTTCGGGATAGAGAGCTCAGGTGCTTGCAAGAGGTTTCCAAGTTGCATTCGACACCACCATCGCTCTGATATGATGTATCTGATATATCTTGCTATTTACACAATGCGATGTCTGGTGTTATGCATGTTGTTCATCTGATCAAAAGACTTTATCCAGAGCGAAATGTCTTCTCTCGACAACGAGGGGAAGGCACTGTGCTATATCCACAAACGTACCAACCTTGTCATTTGCCTGCCGTCGACTCACTGTGTAAAACAGCGATGCCAGTAGAAAAATAAGTCCTCTAGAGATACTAACACCTGGAGGCTCGAACTGAATGTACTCCCAAGCCGCCAAAATTAAAATTAAAAAATCAAAAAATTCCAGTGCAGGTTGGCCCCGGAGCTAAACAACTTGGCTAAATTGCCCGATGCCCAAAGGCAAAGAGCTAGTCATCCAATTGACAATCACATACTGAAGCTTTCCATCTCAGCGGGTCGGTCAGTGTCTATGATGGAATATGGGCATCTTGGAAACAGGAAGCCCTTTGGGGAATTGACTCCATCTGAATCCAGAACAGGTATCGAGGTGGATTGCTATCCATCCACAGTCCGCGTGACGGGGAGTCTTCTTCTTCTCCCATTCGAGGTAGTCGGCGCAATTCAAGCCCCGATTCGGGAGTGCCGGAGCACTACCGTGGCCATCCGATCAAGCCATGGCTGTCCTCCGAGCCTGCCACCATCTACAAGTACGGATCGGGGAGATGCCGAGGTTCACTACATTAGCATCATTGCCAGACCACCAAGCAGAGCTTCCGCCGTGTTCTGCCTTGCCGTCTTGTGCGGGCGGGAGCCAGCATTCCTTCGCGGGTACGCACACTCTGCAGCCAAACAAGGAGGACGGACGGACAGAGAATGGATGGAGGCGTGTGTGTGCGTGGATGCTGCGGGCTGTGCTTGTGCTTGTGCCACGGTACGCCACGGAATAGTAAAAAAAAAGATGCCGTTGTGAAACTCCCGTATCTGATGATCGTCAGGCCTTGCGTGTGTCACATCCCCCCGAGCGCTCCCGTTCCAGACCCAGCCAGCCCTGCAAACCTTGGAAGAAGCTCCAAGCTCCAAGCTTCAACCCCACCATCCCATCCCATCCATCCCTTTGATTCCAAATCCCCTGGAGCTATCGGACCCCGAGCTACATGGAGCTAGTTCTGTGACGTCTTCCCCTCGAGACAACAAAACCCCCCCCGCCCCTCCCGATCTCTCCATCTCTTCTCCCCTCCAATCCATCGCGAACAAACCCCGTCCCAGATACAAACCTGGAACATCGAGTCTGCTCCCGAGCACTGCATGTCTAGCACCTGCTCTCGAGCGCCATCACTGTTGTTGCACGAGCTTCGACGACTCGGAACCAGCTCTCCTGCGAGAACCGCCATCATCAGAGACGTGCGCCCCGCCAACAACAGAGTCCGCATCAGGCCATTCGCAGCCATGGCTTCCGCAACCACCTTTTACGACTTCAAGGTCAAGGACAGTAAGTGCCAGTCACCCACCCGTCGTTCGCAGCAGCTTCCGGGTCACGCTCGTCGACATTGTCCGCATCCACATTGCCGCGCCGTAGATTGGACCCCCACGCTGTTGTCCCCCTTCTCCGGGACCGCGGACGGGGCCGGAGCTACCTCGGCACTGCCGGACATGTCAGCTTACGCCCGCAGCCGCACACACCAACACCACCGAGCACCGGATTCCGGCCGGCTAGTCCCGGAAGCTGCTTTCCCCGATGCACCAGCGCTCCCCCCCAAAAAAAAAACACAATCTTTTCGCTAACCAATCATCTTCTTCTTCCCCAACAGAGAAGGGCGAGGAGGTCTCGATGGGCGACTACAAGAACAAGGTCGTGCTCGTCGTCAACACGGCCTCCAAGTGCGGCTTCACCCCGCAGTACGCCGGGCTCGAGAAGCTGTACAAGGACGTGCGCGCCCGCCAAGACGTCGGCGACGACTTTGTCATCCTCGGCTTCCCCTGCAACCAGTTCGGCTCGCAGGAGCCCGGCTCCGACGACGACATCCAGCAGTTCTGCCAGGTCAACTACGGCGTCAGCTTCCCCATCATGGGCAAGACCGAGGTCAACGGCGACGCCGCCAGCCCGCTCTACACCTGGATGAAGGAGAAGAAGCCCGGGCTCATGGGCCTCAAGCGCGTCAAGTGGAACTTTGAAAAGTTCCTCATCGGCCGCGACGGCGAGGTCAAGGGCCGCTGGGCCAGCACCACCAAGCCCGAGTCGCTCGAGAAGCCCATCCTCGACGAGCTGGCCCACGGCCAGAAGGCGTGAGTCTTTTTTTTCTCTCCTCTCCTCTCTTGCCGAAGAGGGAGCCGGTGGAGCAGGAGAACTCCTCCGCGTGTTGGTTTTGCTCTTTTTTCTGATGCTGGGTGGGTGGGTGATGTTGCACTTGCGGAGAAAAACAGTGGCTGTCTCGGCGTGAGGGACGCGGTCTCTAGGACAGAAGACCGCGAAAGCTAATGCGTTGCTGCTGGAGAAGAGAGCCGAGGCTGTAGACAGACGATGAGATGACTTGATTCCCTCTCCGCGTTCTTGTTTGAGATTTGGGTTATCGCTCTATGACGGGCCATATCGGGGCGGGAAAGATAGCTCCAGATGAACACCTAGTGTGCGAGATCTGGTTCATAGAATAGTCATTCATTTGCTATCCCGCTTCCAAAGTCAATACACACCTCTGTTTATCACTCACACTGCCCCTTGATGGATATCCTAATACCCATACGACTGAGCTACTCTGGCAGGAGAGAGAATCCATATTCTTTGTTTCCCAGACAGACTCCGCCGCAACGAGAAAAGATCTAGAGCCCCAGCCTAGCTCGCTGTACATGGAGATACATGTCGTCCGCAATGCAACCTCGAGGGACAAAACGATCGTCGCTTTTCCCCAACTCGCCCCAGCAGACACATGCACATGTCCCCCCTCCCCCCCTTTTATTTTCCCCTTTCCCACAGAATCGGCATCCCCCAGCAGACAAACCAAGTACGCTTAGCGTCCGACCCGGATCCGGGCAAAGATCGTCCGTCCTGGAAAAGAGACACGCATGCCTACCCCGGTGCATGGGTGTTGTCAGGAGATCATCATTCCTCCCCCTTCCCCCTCCCACCCCCCTAGAAGAGCCACCGTGATAAGAACGTGGTGAAGGTCGAGGTTGAAGGGTTGCAGAGAGATTAACAGAGCCCTACGCACAGCGGACATCTCTATCTCCCTCCCCCCTCGGGTGCCCCGGCACCGCGGCCGCGGCCGCCAGGCACACGCCACACGATCGACGGGGGCGTCCCCACGCGGGCCTGGACGGTTCGATGATGGGGGGCGGGAACGGGTTGGCGCCGATCGCCTCTTGCGCGTCGGTTTGCCAGCAAGCCACTCCCCGCCCCGCTGCCGGGGAGGAAAGATTATGTTTGTGTGTGTGTGTGTGTGTGTGGTGGTCTCTCAAGCTGAATCGGGGCGGCGAACCCCGGCCGAGCTTCGTCTGCGCCTCCTCCCCTCCTCACCCCCGGCCAGAAGTTCTCCAGATACGTATGGGTAACGTTGGATCGGGGCGCGAGGTTCCCCCAGTCCTCTTCTCCTCCCCGCCCCCCGCTCGGCTCCAGCCCCCTGTTCGAAGGAAGCTTGCCACGCGCCAACTCGAAGCTGAGTGTCTTGAGCAATGCACAAAGGGGAGGCACAAGGAGGCAAAAGGTTTAAAAAGACCGTGATGCAGGGGACAAAGATGGGGTCTTTCTGCCTGACCTGGGGTCATCGTCTGGGGGAGGCGGGTTTCCATCGGCTCCCGAGATAGGGGCTTCTTCCTCGTGCCTCTCCTTTTTACCTACATCCTACGTACCTGCCGGCCGATAACTCGCATGCCCCCCCTCAACCCCCCCCCGGGGCTGGTCGTCCGGCTTCCCTCCCCAAACGGCGTGGCGCTTTCTAGGGGCGCCGCGGTATGGCTTACGCGGTTCCCCGGGCAGAGCAGCTTTTGCTGCTCGGGGGCCGTTTTTGGTAGGCCGGGGGCTAATATCAACACACGGCCGAGGATTGGTCTTGGAAGAGACTAGACCAACTACATGATGCTTCGGGCTCGCTCTCTCCCTCTCTCTCTCACGGTGGTGTACTGAGAGGAGCACAGCTCCGCCCTATGATTTGTCTCACTCTTGCGAAAAGCGACAGCTACTCTCCCACTCTGGCTCCGAGGGTGGCTCCTCCCCCCAAGTTGTAGAAGAAAAAGGTCAGTCAGACACACACACACACACACACACACACACACACACACAACACCCTTGTTGCTTATTGAGCGGGGTGTGTGTATTTGTGTGTGTGTGTGTAAGCTCGCTGGTGGAGTTTTCTTCATCAGAAGAAGGAATCTGTTACGGTAGCAATACTACAAGCCTCTGTGATATCTACAATAGCTTTGTTACCTCTCTCTCTCTCTCGCAACCTTGTGCTCTTTCTGCTCCTGCATCCAGGCAGACAAGACGCAGGCCAGTCTTTTCGCACCTTCGCCTCCTCTCTCATCTAACGTGACCTCCCCGTCTTGACTCAAAACAACTGCATCTTTTCTACGCACTTGCAGTGAGCGGCAAAACGTGACCCCTGACGCAATACTCACCCCTGCCTTTACAAACATCGATGTCATTCATGACTAGGACTACAAATCTTGTATCACCGCCCGCCAAGAGGCGAAGGCTTACTTGTAGTCTGAAGGGTTGTCGTCATTAATATAATTCTGGACACGCTCCCTGGCCCCGTGGGCTGATAAGCCACAGCCTACTACTACTGCTGCGGACAACACACGCAAAAGAGTGTCGGTCGGCGTAGGGCGCGGTGAATCTCATCATAAATTATTCTGGGCGGAAATCTCGGTCATCTCCTGCGGTGCCAAAACAACACAACAACGGTCGTAGGACACTTTTTTAGTCCGCGTGCAACCCCCCTCCCCCCGGTGGAGAGAGCTTTTGTTGCATAATCTGGGTCCGTATATTGCTTTCGTGGGTCGGAGCGCAAAAGTCCTCTCTTGTACTCGGAGAATCTTTGAGTGTGGTAATCAAAGAAAGGTTTTGGTAGATGCCGCTGCTGCTCTGAAGCTGTTGAGATTGTCGAGATCTGACAAGGGGGGACTTGGTTCCCTGAGATCGGGGGGTGTCCTCGGATATGGTCTAGGAAGGTCAGTCAGTCAGCTCGGGTGATACCGAGATGGCCCTCACTCTCTCTTGTCCGACCATTGATTAGTAGGCAACGAACGAACCTCCGCACATGATCATCGAACCGTCAGACCGTCCCCACGGCCCGGGAAGGGCCGCACGGGTGGGAAGATGCGACTCGGAGGCGAGGCAAGCCAGCCCGGATCACGCGGGTAGCGGTCTAGACACGATGTCGTGTCAGATCGAGGGGCCCTATGAGCTTTTCCAAGCCTCACTTATCAAAAGGGGGGCTTCGCAGCTGCTTCTGACTCTCTGCACAAAGGACCCCGAGAAGGTCCGGGCGTCGAAGGATTTGGCATTGCTTATTGCTCTCGTCGTCGTCGTCGTCAAGTATGCTTTTTTTTTCCGAAAGCGCCAAGACCCGTCGTCGTCGTATGGCTGACACCCAGGCATATTAAACAAAAAGCAGATAGACCGACCTGCGCCTCGCTTGAGTTTCTGGGAGATGGAGGGCCTGCTTGCATACGCGAGCAAAAAAGGAGAATAAATTAAGCTTTCCCGCGTGAACCACGCTTCCGTCTCTCTGGGAAACCCACCGGAAGATGAACAGGGAGTTGTGGTTTCTTCATGAGAGATGGTGTTTGGACAAAGCCAAATGCAAAGTCTCTGCTCGTGACCACATCCGAGTGGCAGCCGCCAAGTCTTGATATTGAGGATATTCTTAGAAACCACCCCCCTCGATATGGCTGTCAGCAAACTCTGACGCCCGGGCCGGGTGTTCATCTTGAGGGAAGACGGGGCACGAAATCCTCGATGGATGCAAAGGTCGTAAAAGCCCTTTCGACGTCAGTCACATGCTGGCCACTCACTGGAGCGCTTCAACTCAGACTCAGTGACGCAAAGGCAGCTTTGGCTACCTTCATATAGCGAGTCCGAGCATGGTGCCAGAGAGCCATGTCCGAGCTCCATTGGACATCGAGAGCCAACAGTCTTCTTGATAGAGACAGCAGACGAGCCGTGAAGAGAGGAAGCAGTGAGACGGCAGAGACTCCCCGGAATGCAACGCTCCCGGCCCCCGCGTAAGTGGCCCGGTATTTCGAGGAATTGGGTCCTCGCCAGGCTACTGGCCGGCGCACATGAAGTTTCTGTCCCTGCTCCCTCCGCCCCCCCTTCCCCCTTGCCCTACATGGCCGTAGGGCATAACGGGACGGCTTGAGGTTTTCCCCCAAGAGGTCGCTGGCGAGTGTGAAAAGAGCAGTGCGCGCAATACCCGGTAACAAGGAGATACAAGGCAGGAAAAGCAGGCTAGCAGGGCCACCCGCCCATCCTGGACCCAGATTACAAGATTGGAGATTTGAGAGTACCTGCCCGTACCTGAGAAATCGCCCGCCGGGCCCTTCTTTTCCCCAGCTTCTCTCTCTCTCACATCAAACCTACCTACGTACCCTTGACACACCCATCTCTGGCCTAGTCTGATGTCATCCTGCCTGCCCGTCTCGGTGACGGAAAAGGGCAAGTGTCCACATTGCAGGCGTCGCTTATTAGTTCTTGTTCCAAAGGGGGACCCCTCCTCCTGATAGCAGAGTTTGGGACTAGAACACCGCAACATAGTGGTTGGCACTTTCTTTGCTGGGTAGTAGCCGGGGGGCAGGCCTGGCAGGAGGGCACTGCAATCAACAGCAGCCAGAGGACTGAGAGCCTCTTTTCTCTCCAGTCTCTGTAGTGGGTGGTGCGTTGTTGTAAGTGCCACCACCGCGGAACTCATGACGAGCTATGCAACCCCAACCCTCATGTTGCTCAAAGCCTAGCGGCAGTCGGGCAGCCAGCACGAGACTATCTTGATTAATGACCACTCCATTACACGAGACAAAACTCCGCCTGTGCGTGGCGCCAGGCGGCGTGCGCGCACCAGAGTTCAACAGGAAGCTCCGTCGGGGAGTTCAAGGGGATCTTTTACGATTGGGCGAATTGTCCAGCAGGGCAGGAAAGCAAGTCCCAATGTTGATTGTAACGTTCCATTCAGAAACTGGCTGGCGTGCAGTGACGGTGCCAGGTAGGTAAGTTAGTTATTTTGCCCACTAGCGGCGGGGGCCTCGATCTGGTTAGGTTTCCGACGGGGCCCGGGTGGAGCGGGCTCTGCTCTGTCGAAT